TTTAAAATGTATACCTTAACCTCCAAAATTTAATCTAAATACTATGTTATCGAATATTATAAAAAATATTTAAAAAGTCATTATCAAACATAGTTAGAACATAGTCAAAATAATATAATTATTTCAAGAGATGACTCCGTTTTTGTTTTTGGAGCTATCTCCCTCCTTGTTCCTATCTCCATTAACGCAAATAAAAAGAAATACTTTATTTAACTTATAATATAAATGGGAAAATGTTTGTTGAGACGAAGAGAGAAGTCAAGTGTAATATACATCAATATATAAAATCGAAATTGTAGCTGGATAACATTAAGAAAATTCTATTTCGTATGACCTGCTTTAGGATTGGAGTAGGTTTTGAAAATCAAATGCCGTATTCCTCCATTCTTTGGCTCGTACCTATTGACTTCAACTAAAAGGCAAAAAAAAAAAAAAAAAAAAAAAAAAAAAAAAAAAAAAAAAAAAAGTAAAAAAAGGTAAAGTAAATAACTAAACTAAATAATAAATAAATAAAGGTCTCAAGGAGAGCAAAGACCTGGAAGACGCAAGCAAGTGAGAGTCCACTAAATCGTACGGCTAATGCACGGCGCAATACGTGGAGGAGGAGCGATAAATCCGGATAGTTGTGGGTCCCAACATCTACTTAAGTGTCAAATGTCTTAAATATTTGGCGTGTACATAATCGAGGCGAGGGTAGGCTAGTCATTTCTTCTTTTGGCAGTGGTTTTTCTTTTTTTTTTTTTTAGAAGACCTTTTGGCAGCGGGGTAGTTACTCCTTTATGTGTGTTATACTTGACTTAAACAAAGTTAGGTTTATACCTGCAGCTGCACTTAGACTAATCAAATCATATTAGCTGTTAGGACTGGAGGAGTGTTATGTTATCCACTTTGTAAGTGCAAAGTCTATTATTCGATTTGATAACAGAATTCCATATTTGAAACTCATATTTATTTTTATTGAATTTCAATTCTTTTTTTTTAGAATACTTGAACTTAGCTTGATTATAAAAAACAATTAAATTTAATTGATTTATTTATTAATATTCCATAACAATTAAAATATCAATCATTTACATATTAAATATTTTGGATTTTCCAACAACCATACCATGGCCTTTTTGTAGTAGATATAACACTTTTTAGCATTAATAAACTAGGGGATTATCTGTATAATTTTTTTTTAATTTATCAATAATTATAGTCACTACCACCAGTCATCATTTATCACCAACCACCATATCACAGACTATCACCACCAGCCACCAGCGGCTTTCATAATTTACATTTTTTTTCATTCTTCTCATATTTAACAATAAAATTTTTAAATTATAAAATTTCTATTATTATTAATATTTTTTATGATCCTATGAGATAAAGACTTTAATATTTTTAATTAAATTTTAATATTATAACCAAATAATGGAAAATAAGTTATAACCAAATAATGGAAAATAAGTTATTTGAAAAATATTTTCCTTCCATGAAAAATATTTTTCAACAAGTTATTTTCCTGTAAATTATTTTATGGAAACAAACAGAGCATAAATTTGAGAACAAATTTTCAAAATATGGGCAACAATAAATCTCAATATTTGAGCGACAATAACTCAGATCTGTATATAGATACGAGGATTATTTGCAAAAAGAAAAAAAAAAAAAGGGGAGGAAGGAGTGACGCACTCACCTATGGCCGCCCGTGGAAAAAAAAAAAAAAACTTTTAAGTTTTAGATTTTAAGAGAAAAAAGAGAGAGCTGCCCTTACGTTAATATTTAATTGTGGATGTTCTTTCATTAAAATTAAATACTCTACTTTTATATGTTATTTTTTAGAATTTTATTTTGTCCAAAATTGTTTCTTGTTTTTGACAAGATTAATGGATATCATTTTTTATTTTTTTTTTTCAATTTTACTTTTATATATGCTAAACACAATAACTATATATTTTATAAAATTTTTAAAATCCATCTTATCACCTCTTTATTCTCAAAATAATTTATATTTCTTGACGAAAAGACTATTTTAAAACGATTTATATTCGTGGATAAGGAGAGTATTATATAAGAGATCTAATTGTTCTTTTAATTAATATGGTAAAATCATAGATGACAAAAAAAAAAAAAAAAGAAAAAAAAAAAAATAGAATGGAGGGATAAAAAAAAAAAAAAAAAAAATAGATGGAGGGATAAAACAAAATACCTGCTCTAACTTCTATATATATTCAGAAATATACCTAAAATGGTTAAATTATAATTTTATTTGATTTTTTTCTAATATTGTCATTATATTAGTATTAATATAATCCAAGAATCAAAGAAATTAAAATTATAGAATTGACTAATAAAGGTGACAACAATATTAATAATTATGTTCATTTCAATATTTGATTAATGTTATTAGTAATATGTTTGTAAATAAGGATGCACGTTAAATAGTAAACTGTGAAAATTATCATCTTTCAAAATTAAATAAAAATAGAACTATAATTTTGCAACAAACGAAAAGAAAATTAAGTCCACTATTACAAAATAGTGAGAGCATAATTTTTGAATATACCGTGCGAATTAAGATTATTAAATGTATGGAGTTAGATGGCAATAATAATAAAATGATTTATATTTATGGATACATTTAAGTGATTTAATTATTTTCTTAATTAATATGATAAAATTGTAAATGACAGATAAAAATAGATGGAGGGATAAAACAATAAACAACTATGACTTTCAAATATATATTAAGAAATATACCTAATATGGTTAAATTGTAATTTATTTGATTTTTTCCTAATATTAATTGCATTAATTAATATTAATATAATCCAAGAATCAAAGCAATTAAAATTACGAAATTGAGTAATACAGGTGACAACAATAATAATTTTATTTATTACCATGTTTGATTAATATTAATAGTAATATATTTATAAATAAGAATATACGTAAAAGTATCATCTACTAAAATTAAATAAAAATAGAATTATAATTTGCAACAAGTGAAAAAGGAAAGTAAGACTATTATTACAGAATAGTGGAAATATAATTTTTATAATTTTTGAATATACGGATTAAGATAATCAAATGTACGGAGTTAGGTGGCAACAATAATAATCAATAAATGTAAATTAATAAGGGATATAGCAGGAAAATGTAAAGATTATTTTCTCTCGAAAAGAAAAATTACTCTATAATTTAAGATATGAGAAAAAAAAAAAAAAAAAATATGAGAAAAAAAAAAAAAAAAGAGAAAAAAAAAAAAAAAAAGAGAGCTTATTTTTATTGAATGGAGGAAGTAAGATCAACCTATTTATATGCAAAATCAATGAAAATGCAACTTTTTTGGAAAAATCTTGTACAAGCGATGAATCGCAATAATATTTCCTTTCAATACTCAAAATTTCTTTAATTAAAGATTTGAATTTCATAAATTACAATCTCTAACTATGGATATATAAAAAAGTCTATGGTAATTGTCTTAAAATTTTATGGTAAACTTACTGATTGAGCAGTATTCAGAGCATTTATAATACTAATGTGAATTGATCTTTTTAATTATCACATTAGAAAAATGAAAAGATTATTTAAAAAAAATACTTTCAAATGGTAATGTTTATTTGCTATGTCAAACTGATGTGTAAAAAATAAACGCAATTTCTATTTTTAGAGGGTTTCTTAAATAATATAGATATTTATTACTATATAATTGATTGTATATTAAATTATGGACCCAGGGAAAAAAAAAAGATGATACAAAAGAATTTGAAAGTAATGCATCAGAGAAGGATTTTTAGAATTCAACGTCTATAAATATATATATTTAGCCACATCACTATTCACACCTTCAATTCTATACAACATGCCAATCACAATTTATCTATATTTATATAAATATATAAAAATAGAACCTTCAAAGCTGACATGGCACAAAACTAGAGCTTTGAATGCTAATTTTTTTTCTTTTTGCATCTTTAATTTATTATTTTATTATATAACTATTAATTATTAGCATTTATCAATACAAAGTGGGGAATTTATATTTGTAACGGCGACAATCAATTAACAGTAGCCTTTGCCTTAAATGTGAATATATAATTCATGAATACATCAGACAAAAATAGTATAATATAAAGATTGACCATAAAAATAAATAATTCTATTTCCTCTCTCTCTTTTCCCTCTGAAAAAGGAAGCCATTGGAAACCAATAACAACACGCTAGAAGAAAATAATAGAAAAACAAATAATTAGCAAGTATTCCTTTTACTTTATTATAAGGATTGCTAGATCTATGATTACAAATAAATATGAATTTTTTTCTAAATTTAAGACAACAAATATAATGAAATTTACATTCTTTATTTTTCTTTTTTTTTTTATTGATTATTTAGATGAGCATTGAAGAATAATAAAAATAATAACAAAAATATTACAATTCCCGCATCGCGCGAGAACATGATTAGTTGACCTTAAATTGGAGATACTCTAAGCTATTAGAGTTTTTCCATATATGACTATTTGTATTACCAAATTCAAGCAGACCAGAAAAAAAAAAAAAAAAAAAAAAAAAAAAAAAAAAAACAAAGGGAAATGTTGGGAAAAAAAAAAAAAAAAAAAAAAAGGGAAATGTTGGGACAGACCCTGTAATCAATGTCACAACTTACGATTGAAGCAAAGCGGTTTCACATCTGCCTTGAATGAAAACCTCTGGGATTCCCTCTCCTTCATTGTTTTATTTCCCAACATATCCTTACCTTTTTGACCAAAAATACTCTGGAAGTGGATAAACCCCAATGGCATTTTGGTCAACTAAAGATAAGTAAAAACTTGATTAAGGTTGAAAGGGATTACCGCCAAGGTGGGTGTAAAATAAAAGTGAAAGGCTTTTGTTTTAATTAAGTAGAGAACAAAAAAAACAGCACTAATTAAGGATGATAATTGGGTTTTCTTTTCTCCTTTTTTTGACACTTTCATGCCTTCTTTGCCTCCATAAATACCACTCCACTCTTCACCTTCTCTTCACATCCCAAACCCCTCTTGAAAAACAAAAAAAACCCTTTTCTCTTTCTCTTAGAAAATTAACATAGGAAAAATCAATGGGTCTGAAGGGCACCATTAGTATTTTTTGTTTGTTACTGGTTCTGAAACTAGCTGATGCAAGAATTCCTGGGGTTTACTCTGGTGGAAGTTGGGAGAGTGCTCATGCTACTTTCTACGGTGGCAGTGATGCTTCTGGGACAATGGGTATTCCCATTTTTTACCTTTACATGCTTCTTTAGCTCATTCTTCTGAGAACTAAATGCTAATTCCTTTCTTTTTGTTGAATGTATATTGTTTGATTTATTTGTATTCTGGTTTCTATGCAGGTGGAGCTTGTGGTTATGGAAATCTGTATAGCCAAGGATATGGTGTAAACACTGCAGCGTTAAGCACAGCTCTATTCAACAATGGGCTTAGTTGCGGTGCCTGTTTCGAAATCAAGTGCGCTAATGAGCCACAATGGTGTCATTCCGGTAGCCCATCGATCTTTATCACCGCCACAAATTTTTGCCCTCCTAATTATGCTTTGCCTAGCGACAATGGCGGATGGTGCAATCCTCCTCGTCCTCATTTCGATCTTGCCATGCCTATGTTTCTTAAGATCGCTGAGTACCGTGCCGGAATTGTCCCTGTCTCTTATCGCCGGTAAAAGACTGCTCTGTTCTCACTCTGTTTTCGTTTTTTCTCCTGCTTATTTGTTTCATAATTACTTGCCTATTAGTGAAGGAAAGAGATTATAGGTGTGAATAGATATTTTGACCATGAAAGGCAGGAATATCTTTGAATTTTGATTTTTGTCAATTTGGTATTTAAAAAATATTTAATTAAATATTAATATATGGTTTCTTACCAATTTACTTAAATACCCATATAAAATTATTGAATTTTCTACTTGTATCTTTTTTACAGGGTGCCTTGTAGAAAGCAAGGAGGAATCAGGTTCACAATCAACGGCTTCCGTTACTTCAACTTGGTTTTGATCACCAACGTAGCAGGTGCAGGAGATATCGTGAAGGCGAGCGTTAAGGGTTCAAAGACAGGGTGGATGAGCTTGAGCCGTAACTGGGGTCAAAACTGGCAGTCAAATGCTATTTTGGTTGGTCAGTCACTCTCCTTCAGGGTCACAGGCAGCGACAGGCGCACTTCCACCTCCTGGAATATTGTTCCTGCAAATTGGCAATTTGGTCAAACTTTCACTGGAAAGAATTTCAGGGTCTAATTTTTCTTTTTTATTTCAAAATTTTCCCGCTTGGAATTCTTTTCAACCTTTTTTTTTTTTGTTTTTGCGGTAAAAGTTGAAATAGGAGAGTGTGTTTGGCCTTCTTTTTAAAAGAGGCCGGTGGGGATGGGTGTGTTTTTTATTTTCCTGTTTTTTTGAGGGTAAAAGGTGAAAAAGTGAGAAAATGGAGGGAGAAGCTGAAGAGGCAGCAAACTTAAAATGTAGCCCGCAGCTTTTGTTTACCATATAATTTAAATATATATAAAAAAGGATATTTAGTTGTCTGAACTTGATGGCTAGTATTTGTGGTTGTGGAAAGTAGAAAAGCTTTTGATTTTGGTATATAATTTGTGAATGTTATTTATTGTTGAAGCATAATTAACACTTAACAGGTTTTTTTTTTTCTCAAATTTATTGTATGGTTAGCAAATTTAGTTGGAAAGGAAAGAGTTCCTTTTTAACTTTGTTAGATAGAAGGCAAGAATAAGTTCAAGTTGAACCAATTGAGTGGAATTGTTGCTTTTGGTATACTCTTGCATTTTGCTTATGGATACAAATACACTTGTGCTTCATCCATCCATTTGAAATTGTTTGCTTAGAGTTAGAGCATTCAATATTGGATATTCTCTCTTTTTTCACACTCAAATATCTTCATAATTTTTTTATAATATCAGTTTAATGATTGTCAGTTTCCATAAATGTTAATATATATATTTTTTAAATATGAGTTAAGTTTAACAAATAACATATAAGATCGTTCATTTTCATCATGGATCAGTTTGATTGATTTAACTCTTAGCTTGGATTTCAATTCATGATACTGTTATTGGGTATCGTTTGAGGTGTGAAGAGTAAAGCATGCAGCTAAGTATTAAGGCTATATAAAAAGTTGTCCATACCCATTTTGGATGTTTCTATTCTCTCTATTTGAAGTCAAATATTCCAACTAGATACATAAATGTTAATAGCTGGATTCATAACTCCTATCTTTGATATCTTTGACATTGCAGGCTTAGTATTGTCATCATATGCCAAAAAAATAAGAGAAAAAGTGGCGACCAAAGAAAAACACCATTGTGGATGTAGGCAAATGCAATGTTTTAAAATCAATTTAATATCATTTACCACAATCCGATAAAAATAACTCAAACAATTGTCACAGAAAAGTTTAACTTCATTGTTATTTTTTTCTATTCTTTCATTTTTTCCTTACTTAAATTAGGCCTCGGGGCCTCAATAATTACCAAATACACATTTTTGTGACGCACTACTTGATGCATATTAGAAAAGCAAATTGCTATACATTTCTTTATCCTTTGAGATTGGGAATTGGATATTTGAATGTACTCAAACTTATCATGTACCCAACGAAAAAAGTCAGAAACTTTTTTTTATAGATGTAGACTACGATTTGAATATTTCATTAGCTTAGGACAATTTATTCTATTTGGATAATAACTAACCATTAATCGTTTAATAAAGCCTTCTATAAGATCTTTGCTTACTGATTATTGTTAAGATGAGAGCTTCAAAACTATTTAGTTCACAATTGCATATTTTTTCTCTTTAATAATCTGGATAAAGAGCATTGGAGAAATTTTTGCATAAGCAAAGAAAACATCCAAACCAAGGATTTGCATCTTCATAAAATGAAATAACGATCCTATCCCACAAGAAAATGTTTACAGGTAGCTTCATTTGTTCAAAGTGTGTACATTAAACATACATAAGAAAAACACCAGTGCTGGTATCTTCGATTTAAGGAGAACGGGGAATTGTACCTCTTACAATACTCAAATGACCAAAAAAGAAGAAAAGCTGACTTTTCCAAAACATTGGTGCCTTTGGCATTTCTAACAAGCACATTTCAAAAACCAAACACCTCTGTATTCGACTTTCACCATTCATATTCACTTGTACAACGAGGTTGTCTTTAGATCATGCACTGCTAACCTGCAACAGAAAAAAAACACATCCACTCGTTTGTGTCTACATTTATTTGCAATAATAGAAACTTAATCATATATGTTCTCGAAGTGAATAAGATATGCATAAAAGGAAGAATTTCAAAGTTGTATACTATATGATGCATCCTCACAAGGTAAGAATAAATAACTGTTCTCTCTTTGTTAAATTTTCTTTTCTTACAAGCATAAACATGTTTAAGCACAAACGCAAATGCAAGTTTTATCCAAACATTTCCAATCCCAACAGTAACAGTTATCAAAAATAGTTTGATAAGAGAGTGAATCTTAATCAAGGGTTGGATAAAAATTCACAGTATTATACAAGCACACTAGCCTTTCATCAGAATTCTATCCAAACATTTGTCAATGACAAAGTTTCACATGGCAGCACTATTTTAACATGTAATTAAATCAATCGTAAAATCAATCATTAGAAGTGAAACCCACAATTAATCATGGTTAACCAGTCATAAAATTCTATGATACTGCTATATATAATCCAATTAAATGTGACTCACGTAAGCACTATCCAATTCAGCGTCTCGGTTGGATTCTTTTAGGCATATTATCAAACAAGTTCAAGGCTTTTCAATTCTCACACAATTAAAGCATCAATGAACAGCACAACAAAAAAACACTTCATGTGCGTGTAATAACTGAATAGATGAAATAAAATGTGAGATGGGATTTAGTAGATAAGCGATATCAATCACTCGCCATCTGTGGATACCATCCCTACGGTTGTCTGGCCGCTGCCTAATTCCAACCCTAATTTCCCAAAATAAGAAAACAGGGAGCAATAAGGCTTTCTATGTATGCACAGTTGTTCAGTAAGAAAACAATAACAAAAGAAGTGTTTCCTCACATCAAAAACAACAAATGCGAATCAAAACCACAATAAGTAAGATGATAAAAGAAAGTTTGCTCATGGGTTCATATCAAGTGTATAAGATAGAAGATCCGTCACTGTGGGAAAACCTAAATCGAAATAAAAGGTTAAAATCCGGAGAAAAAGAAACGAAATAAATTGGAGAAACCCAAAGCCATACTCTACAAGAAGAGTGGCGGCAATCTCTTCTTTCTTCCATTTCTTTTCCCCGTCAATTTTTAACCTTTCACTTCATTTCCCCACTCAAGCCTCTCTCTTTCAAATCACAACCCATTTGCTTTAATAGACTTATCGTATATCAGAAGAAACATAAAATGAAAGAATCGCATTACAAAACCCTAAAACAGAAACTTTGCTAGGGTTTTAGCAAGAGGAGATTTTGGCGACGGCCATGGATTGAAGTAAGTTAGGTTTTTCTTATTTTTATAGTAATAAGTTTAGACCTTCAGGCCTCTACAGAGCCCATTCCAAGTGCAAAATTAGTATTCCTCAAGCCCATTGTCCAATTAATATTTTCGTTTTCGTTGATTTAATAAAATGACACTAATAAATAATTAGTTGGAATTTATGAAATTTCCATCTGCAATTCTATGCTGCTTGAATTTCAAATTGAAGAAAAAAATTATCCATTGTTACAATTATTCAAAAATTCAACACATTTTTAAAATTTATATCAAATTTTTATGAGATATATTAATGAACTTCATCTGTTTATTTATAGAATTAATTATACATATTCTTGTTTAATTCGATTAACATTTATGAGATATATTAATGAACTTATTTAAATTTAATATATTGGTATACTTCATTGATCAAATAAATAAAAATAAAAATATTTTAAAAATTATTGGTGCTAATATGTTTTTTATTCAAAATCTAATAATAAACAACTACTTGTTCTCTTCCCTCTAAAGGGTATTTTTATCATTAAATTTTTTTTCTAAACTTTGACTTGTATTTTGTACATTAACTTATATAAAAAAAAAACATACTCCCTTCGTTTCATACTAAGTTTTTTTCCTATTTTTCTTTTTTATCCGCTCCAAATTATTATCTTGTTTCATCTTTTAGAAGTGAATAATATTTAAAATTTAAGAAAATCTTATTTAATATGATTTTTTTGAAAATATAATTCATTAATAATAATATCAAAAATTATAAATAAGCTTATAGACCAGAATAAAATTTTACTATTAGTAGATAGTTTGCTCGTCTTTTAACGAAATAAAAAAATTCATATCCTTTTAAATGAAACTAAAATTAAAAAATATAATATTATATCTTTTCGCTTGGAGTTGATTTTGACAAAATATATAAATTTTCATAGCAGCAATTAATCATTTAATTGATTTAGACCTCAAAATAATAACTCTTTTGGATCTTCTATAACTGAATTATTTTTTTTTTCAATAATTTGCAACATATGACGAATACAAAAGAGTTTCCGTTGCTATGCGTCAATAGCATTAATGGAGGAATAAGCCACACTACTAGGCTCAATCGATCAAAGATTCACACCTGCAAATCAAGATCTAAAGTCTCCAACTAAATAAAATCAAATGTCATAGTTTTGTTTAATACTAAACCCTCACAAAGAAGGGACAAAAAAACTCTAAATACGGAGACAATCAATAATAACAAAATAAAAAAGACAGAACTATTATAGAAAAACATATCTAAATTTATTAAAGTAAAAGAAAATTAAAAGCAAAAGAGGGTGAAATGAAAAAGATATTAGAAAGTAGGAGGTAGGAGGCTGCCGCTGTTAGGGTTTAGAAAACTAGAGAGAAGAGAGACATCTATTAGCCTCAATACGGATGATTTCAACATTTATTCAGTTTGAAATTTTTTTAATATGATTCTTTAATTATTATTTTACCATTAATTAAATATTGATATAAACTATATACAAATATGGGATACATGTTGATATATTTTATATTTTTGTATAAAAAGTTTAATAATAAACTATTTATACAAAGGATAAAAATATATAATTTTGATTTCAAATATCCAATTGAGTTAACATAATATAATATATGTGTCATGAGATCGCTTGCTTCACTTGGTGGCTATTCATGACCACTGTTTGGCTTCATGGTCTTTCTACAAATATGATGTAGTTACTTTCAAATTTGTTCTTTTTATTAGAGAGAAGATATGCAGTTCTTTTTATATAAATGCCTAAATACTAAAAATCATAAAAAAAATCACCATATACTGATAACAATAATAACTTAAAACTAGATCTAAGAACAAAATCTCAAGATATAGGTAACAGTAAATTTTAATATTTGAGCAACAATAACTATTATTTGAAAAAAAAAAACACAAAAAAGAGAAATAGGCGACCATCAGTGAGTTCTCATCAATGCTACTGCGGAAGAAGAACACAGAACTTATAGGTTTTTGGAAAAAGAGATACAATAAAACTTTTGAGTCTTAATATTAATCTTTATTCTTTAAATAAAATTCTATTTAATTAAATGCGTGACTAATTTAAAAAATAATTTAATATTTATCATTTAATTATATAGATATTATTATAAGGATATATTAGAAAAAAATGAAGCAGAAAAAGTAGTTTAACTATATTAATTAAATTTTCTTAACTTATGTGTAAGTCAAATTAAAACACAAATTATGGAATAGAGAGTATATAATATTGACAGAAGATCATTAGACGGAAACAAAATACAAGAATAAAATAGTCTACTTTATAAGAAGGAAAGATAAATTAATTATTTTTTTGCAAACTATAAGTATCAAATTATATTTTTAGGTACTGATTTAAGGAGCAGATCCAGCCCAAAGAATCAAGGGGCCAAACTAACTTTTTTTTTTCAATTTCTTTTTTGTACTGGGGCCAGGGCCCCTTTGCGCCCTTATGCATTCGCCTCTGACTAAGGATAGAAGTGGTGCGAGTATTTTAGGGTACTCGCCCCGCTCCGATCCATTTAAATATGATATAGGTAGTTATAGGTAGATTTAGGATGAGAATAAATAGTAAAATTACTATCCGTAATGGATATAGATAGGGAACAGGCTTAGGTCATTAGGTACCCACTATCCGTTACCCGTTATTGGGTACTCATGAATATCCTATCCATCATTAGTAAAAATAGTATTTTAAATAAGTTCAGATTTGAATAGTTAAGATTCACAGATATCCTACCCGTATAAAGGGACTTTAAAAAAGTTTTAAACGGGTACGAATGGTAAAAATTTAAACAAGTACTTAAATTGATATTTAAACGGATATGGGTAGTAAAATTTTAAATGAATATGGGTGCGAGTAACTTAAATTTCATGGGTACCGCTTGCTTTCATCCCTACCCCTGACTAGTTTTATAAAATTAAAATTCAGATTTTTTATACAGAATTAGTTTATCCTCATTTATAAAAATTATTTATTTGACTTCAAATTACTCTATCTCCTCTAAACTCAATAATCTCTATCAAGAAATGTACCATTTTACTATTAATCAAACCTTAAAACAAAGTTGCCCTCAAAAGAAAAAAAAAAAAAAAACCTTAAAACAAAGTTTATATTGGATAATTTCATAACTTTAAAATATGAATCATCAACATTCTTACAAAAAGTAAATAAAATATTAATTATATTTTTTTAATCCGTGTAAAAATTAAATTATGTTATTGCGAGACGGAAGGTATTATTAGGGTTGTTAACCTCCAACCGTTGAGTTATTCTATAATTTAACTTTCAGAAATATCAGACGTCGGAATCTTATGGTTGCATGCTCAAACAACCTAAACAACCTGTATGACGTGTTGAACTGAGAGGTCATATAAGTTAGCAAGAAGTTCCATTGCACTCCAAACAAAATTTTCATTTTTTAATTTTGTAAAAAAAAAAACTGTCACTCTGCGAAATATTATTTTTTTTCTTTTATTTTGACTTTTTGTACTTTGGACATTTTAGTACACTTTGAAGGCTGACCCTAATGATTTTGTTTTTTTAATTTAATATTTTTGTGTATAGATGCATATATTATGTTTTATGAGTTTTTAATATTATCCTCAAATTTGGAATTACTTCCCTTTTTCTGTGATTTTTTTTATGCTAAAAGGTTTGAAAATAGGTCTTGATGATTATATGTATATATATTAGCTGGTGAAGTTGAAAACTCATGAAATTTAAATGGTAAACAACCATATATGATATACCCGCTTCCAAAAGACATGAGCCTATTATCATCTTCGTTTCCATTTTGTGCAGAGGTCTTAATTTACTCTTGCACTGATTGCACTCTTCCAATGGAGATTGGTATTTGGTTCCAGCTCTTCTTTCCAGTCGGAATCTGCAGCCACCATACGAGGAAACAAAACAGATCAAGAGGCATTGCTAGCCTTCAAATCAAGAATTACACAAGACCCTCATGGAGTTTTAAGCTCTTGGAATCATTCTCAACATTTCTGCAATTGGCCAGGCATTATGTGCAGGAAGCGACACAAGAGGGTCACCGTGATAAGTCTAAAGTCGAGAGATTTGGTAGGTTCATTGTCTCCTTTTATAGGAAATCTTAGCTTTCTTCGACGTATAATACTCGGTAACAATACTTTTCATGGTCAAATTCCTCCTGAAATTGGTCGCCTTTTTAGATTGAACTTTTAAGTCTGACAAATAATTCCTTCGAAGGTCAAATTCCATCCAATTTGTCTCATTGCACCAATCTCGTACATCTATCTGTTATAAACAACAAGTTAACAGGAAAATTTCCTTTAGAACTTGGCTTCTTGTCAAAGCTTGAATTGATAGTAATTTCTGGGAACCATCTAAGCGGAGAGATACCCAACTCTATCGGTAACCTTTCCTCTCTAGAAATTCTAGCTGCAGCTTATAATTTCTTCAAGGGACAAATTCCAGAGAGTATAGGGCAGTTGAAGAGCTTAACTGCATTGGGGCTGGGAGCGAATGAACTATCTGTTAGTAATTGCCTTTAGTATTTGACCACGTCTTTACAGTTTTTTATTTTTTGCTTTTTGAATAAGTCTTTAAGCATGATTTACTTGTTGCTTAATTATAGGAGATTAGTTCAGTTTTTTTCCGGATTATTAGCAGTAGTTGCTAAGTAGTGATGTCTCTTTTTCTCTATAAATATTCAGCAGTAAATAAGAATGATGTGCTTCCAAGTCCAATATATTCCAGTTTATAAAACATTTTCCATATATCTTCATATCAGTTTTTTTACTACACTATCTGGTGTAGTGCCTCCATCACTATATAATCTATCGTCGCTTACCATTTTCTCTTTGGGTTTTAATCAATTGCATGGAACCCTTCCCCAGAATTTAGGCCTATCTTTTCCTAATCTCCAAGAAATTGATGTCCGCTATAACCAACTTGTTGGACCAATTCCATTGTCATTAACCAATGTTTCTGATCTCCAGTCTGTTTTATTCTCATCAAACAATTTTACTGGAAAAATATTGAATACATTTGGAAAATTACAGTCTCTTTCAACTTTGGATTTGCATGAGAATAGCCTGGGAGATGGAGAAGCTGATGAGATGAATTTTCTAGTTTCTCTAACCAACTGCAGCATGTTGTCGGTTATGCAAATAGGTGACAACAGATTAGGAGGGTCATTGACTAATATTGTTGGGAATCTTTCAAGATATCTGAGAATTTTTTCTGTTTATGGAAATCGTATATCTGGAATTATTCCTGCAAGTATAGGTGATCTAGCTAACTTAACTCTGCTATATTTTGATGAAAATGAATTCAGCGGAACAATACCAAGTTATATTGGTAAACTTAATAAATTACAAGCATTGGGGCTTTCTGCCAATGGACTTTCAGGAAATATTCCATCTTCTTTTGGAAACTTATCTTGGTTGGGTGAGTTATATTCAGAGTATAACACATTGCAAGGAAATATCCCTCCTAGTTTAGAGAATTGCAAAAATTTGTTGTCATTAGATCTTTCTAACAATAACCTTAGTGGTAGCATACCAGAACAACTTTTTCAAATCTCCTCTCTATCAATTTCACTAAGTATAGCTCATAACCAATTAACTGGTTCCTTGTCTTCATCTATTGGTAATCTGAAAGGCTTAGGGGAATTGGATGTTTCTTGGAATAAGCTGTCCGGAGAAATTCCTAGTAGTCTTGGAGCATGCTCAAGTCTTGAAAAATTACACATGGAGAATAACCTCTTCCATGGATCCATTCCTTCATCGCTTAGTTCTTTGAAGGGTCTTCAGAATCTTGATCTTTCTCATAATAATCTTTCAGACCAAATTCCAAATTTTTTTGAAAAAATTCCTTTCATATTTTTAAATTTGTCTTACAACAATTTTGAGGGCGAGGTTCCAAAGAAGGGAGTTTTCTCGAACGGAAGTCGAGTGTCAGTGGTTGGAAATAACAGGCTTTGTGGAGGCATCTCTCAGTTGCAACGGAAGTCGAGTGTCAGTGGTTGGAAATAACAGGCTTTGTGGAGGCATCTCTCAGTTGCACATGCCTAGGTGCCAGAGGAAGCAGGGGAATACTCGGTTTCATCCATTGTTAGTGATCATCATAGCTTGTGCTCTTCTTCTTGGAGGTATCATTCTGTCATCATTCCTCTTCTATTGGTTCAAAAAGAAGAGAAAACAACAAATTTCTTCTGCTACTTCATTGAAAGAACCATTTGCCCAAATACCATACGAAAAACTCCTTCAGGCAACCGGTGGCTTCTCTTCTTCTAATTTGATTGGTGTTGGTAGTTTTGGTTTTGTGTATAGAGGAAGCATTGATGATGAAGATGTTGCAATCAAAGTGCTTAACCTTGAGCGGCGAGGTGCTTCCAGAAGTTTCATAGCTGAGTGTAAAGCCTTAAGAGAAATTCGCCATAGGAATCTGGTCAAGATCGTAACTTGTTGCTCGACCATTGACTTTAAAGGCAATGATTTTAAGGCTCTAGTGTATGGATACATGCCTAATGGGAGCTTAGATAAATGGCTGTATCCAGACAAAGAAACATACAATTGTCAAAATAATCTAAGCCTTGTTTGTAGAATCAACATTGCCATTGATGTGGCTTGTGCACTTGATTATCTCCATCATGGTTGCCATCAGCCAATCGTTCATTGTGATCTGAAACCAAGCAATGTCCTCCTTGATAGTGACATGACCGCCCATGTTGGAGATTTTGGGCTAGCAAGAATTCTTCCACAACTTACAAAGCCAAATGAAAGCAGCTCATCAATTGGAATTAAAGGAACTATTGGATATGCTGCACCAGGTAATTTAACCTCAATTCATTTACTCATGCTGTTTCTTTCAAGAAACTGTTTGTATTGATTTCAGTTTCATTCATCCAACAGAATATGGTATAGGAGGAGAAGTTTCAATACAAGGAGATATCTACAGTTATGGGATTTTATTATTAGAAATGATAACAGGAAAGAAACCAACTGATAATATGTTTGAGGCCAGTCTTAACCTTCACAACTATGCTAAAAACTCTCTTCCTGACCATGTTATTGATATTGTTGATCCAATGCTTCTTAGAGATGACAATGACAATCAAGTTACAACCATGAGACAATCCGTAAATGATACCAAACTAGAAGAGTGTCTGATTTCTATGGTTAAAACTGGAGTTCAATGTTCCATCAAGTCACCAAGAGATCGAATGGACATGAGTAAGGTTATTGAGGAGCTGTTCAAGGTTAGGGATGTTCTTCAAAGAAACTACAACTAAGTCCCAACAGCAGCTATAAAGGTACCTATATATATTTATTTATTTACTTTGTTTTTTTCTTTATTTAACATATCTTTTCTGATATCTGTTGGTGCTAGACAATGCCATTGCATCATGCATCATCAGGTTACTGCTTTACCTTGGAGGAAGAGAGTACACAAGAACAGGATCGTGACGAGTTGATTGAAAAAACAAATGATAGCTTTTCAATGATTGTAAATATGAGATTGGAAAAAAAAAATGTTGCATTCTGTTTCAACAACAGAGAAGTTTTTATCTTATCTCTTTTTTAAAAAAGATTTGAAAAATGTAAAATAATGTGTAATTGTACCTAGAAAGCAAATCCAAACATTATGAACTTATTGAGATGTTGCAATTGCACCTCTAAGAAAAATTAAAATTGATTTTTATGGTGCAATTGCAATAGATCTATATAAGTTAAGGGTGCTTCAGATGTTTAGGATATATGCATGTGTGTGTTGAAATAATTAAAAGATAAAATAATTGTACACATAAGTGTTAACTCGGCCGTTGAACCTCCTAACGAATCAAAAATTTTCTAACTTGGTACGATTATGATTTGAATATTTGAATATTGCAATCAATAATGAAAATTCTGTTTTAATTTTTTTAGAATACTAATTAAAACAAGTTAGTGGAAGTAAATGCATGTATATATTCAAAGATAATACTCTATTTATCTCTTAGACATAATATGGATATTGAATTATGTCAAAAATAACTTCTTGAAACCAAAGTTTTAAAATCAAACAAGAGCTCGATGGATAAGCCAAGATCTCCAAGTAACTTGAACCTCCTAATGATATTGACACGAGAGTGTCTTGGGCTATAACAGTAAAAATAATTGTATCAAAATTTAGTTTTTTTTTTTTTTTATATTTATTTCAATTCTTGAAGTTTGATTAATTTAAAGAAAGCAAATCATTAACAAGAAGAGCTTTTGTACTACAAGGAATAAAATCCCAGACCCAGCATAAGAACAAGCTGAGCTTGTCCAAGTAAAAAAAAAAAAAAAAAAAAAAAAAAACAAGTAAAAAAAAAAAAAAAAAAAAAAACATTACAATAATTGATTTTTAAATTAAACTTTATAAAAAAAATTACTAATATTTTTTCAAAAATTAATATTTTTTATAACATTTTAGTTATAGTTAATTTAAAAAAAATAATAATTTTCAAATTAAATATTATTTAAAAATTTTAATTAATATTTTTTATTTACAATAAATAAAAGATAATAATTTCAATTAAATATTATTTTAAAAATTTTTAATTAATATTTTTATTTACAATACAATAAAAGATAATATATTCACCATAAAAATTAAAAAATATATACAGATATTATAACATTTATACCTTAATAATCATTATGTTTTATAACTATTATGAAATTTTTATCAAACATCATTATTTATCAATTAACCGTCATCAGTCAATTAGTAGCTATCAATTATCAGTTTGCACCGACAATTAAATGTTACCTGCCCTCACTGTGATACACGCTCATTGTGGAATCAAAGTAGGACTCAATTGATCATGAAAAAGATTCAAAAGCTCCATTAACGTGCTCCTGTTTTAAACGTCCATAGTGGAGTTGGTGGAGAACGACCAAAATTTTAATTGGGGAGAGACTCTTTTTTCTTTCTTTTTCTATTTTAGATCTTGTTCGGAAGCATTAGCTTTTAGAATTTTCATACACTCAAAACTCTATTTCTATTGATCGAATATTAATAGTAATATAGTTTTCATATAATAGTGTTTAGCTTTTATCTTTTAGTATTTAGCATTTAACTTTTAATTTTTTTTTTTTTGACAATCATATCCATTATTTTTTCCTTCCGAATTCAGTTAATTAAATAATTAATATTTTTCTGTGTCACTTTAAATTAAATAGTTAATTAAACATCTATTTTTATTAAACACTTCTAATTTAAATTGACAACTAATAGCTACTAAAATAACTAATATTGTCGAACACACCCTTGGACAGTGTAAATTTGGTTCAGCGTTCCATTAACTTAGTTGAAAAAAATGAATTTGTTTAGTTTCAATTTAACTGAATGTATTTTTATGGTAATCAAATTCGAATCTTGAACCGAATAGTATAACAATCGATCCAAATTGAATTGAATTGATTTGGCTCGGTTTGAATTGAGTTATTTCAAAATCAAATTAACTATTTTGGATTTAAAAATAATTCAATTAATTATGTATAGTAACCAAACAAAAATTGAAAGTCAAACAGTTTTTCGTATTCAAACCGATCTGTAATTAAATTTCTAAACAACTATCCGAATCTGATCAAAATGAATCGATTTGATTCAATTTTTTATAAAAACTGAGTATTGCTCACTCTTTGATGGAAATGTAACTCAAAAAAGAATCGGTGAGTCAATATCTAACGTATTGGCAAAATTTCTATTCGAGTAAAAGACACCAAATGTATTAATTGACATAAGAACTTTATAATAAATTTTAATAATATCCTTAATTTTTGTATTGACATAATAAATCCTTCGATTTATAAAATTGTCTCTATTGAATACTTTAATATATAAATTTAGATTTATTAAACACTTTAACATGTAAAATTAATTATATTTATTCAATGCTTATCCAATAATTAAAAGTTTGAAATTTGTTTTGAAATTTTGAGAGTTTTTATGCTAAAAGGTTTAAGAATAAGTCTTGGTCACTTTATATATATTAGCTGCTGAGGATGAGAACTGAAATGTAAATGGTAAATAACCATATATGATATGCCCGCTTCCAAAAACATGAGCCTATTATCAACTTCATTTTCATTTTGTGTAGAGGTCTTGACTCTTGCACTCATTACACTCTTACAATGGAGATTGGTACTTGTCTCCAGCTCTTCTTTCCAGTCGGAGTTTGCAGCCACCGTACGGGGAAACCAAACAGATTATGAGGCATTGATTGCCTTCAAATCAATAATTACTCAAGACCCTCATGGAGTTTTAAGCTCGTGGAATGATTCTCAACATTTCTGCAATTGGCCAGGCATTACTTGCGGCAGGCGACACAAGAGGGTCACAGTGATAAGTCTAATGTCCAGAAATTTGGTTGGTTCATTATCTCCTTCTATAGGAAATCTTAGCTTTCTTAGACAGATAACACTCTCTAACAACACTTTCCATGGTCAAATTCCTCCTGAAATTGGTCGCCTTCTTAGGTTGCAAACTTTAAGACTGACCAATAATTCTTTAACAGGCCAAATTCCATTCAATTTGTCTCATTGCACCAATCTTGTAAATATATCTCTTCATAACAATAAGTTAACAGGAAAACTTCTTTTAGAATTTGGCTTCTTGTCAAAGCTGGAAGTGCTAGCAATTTCCCACAACCATCTAAGCGGAGAGATACCCAAACCCATCGGGAACCTTTCCTCCCTACAAAGACTATATATATCTTATAATTTCTTTAAGGGACAAATTCCAGAGAGCATAGGCCAGTTGAAGAGCTTAACTGTAATGGCGCTTGGAGTGAATGAACTATCTGGTATAGTGCCTCCATCACTATATAATCTATCATTGCTTACTGCTTTATCTTTGAGTTATAATCAATTGCATGGAATCCTTCCACATAATTTAGGCCAATCTTTTCCTAATCTCCAACACATTGATGTCCGAAACAACCAACTTGCTGGACCAATTCCATTGTCATTAACGAATGCTTCTGATCTTCAACTTGTTTTATTGTCATCAAACAATTTTACTGGACAAATATTAAATACATTTGGAAACTTACAATATCTTTCAATGTTCGGTTTGGATGATAATAGTCTAGGAGGTGGAGAAACTAATGAAATGAATTTTCTAGTTTCTCTAACCAACTGCAGCATGTTGTCAGTTATGGTAATAGATCAGAACAGATTAGGAGGGTCATTGCCTAACATTGTAGGGAACCTTTCAAGATATATGATTGAATTTTCTGTTTCAGAAAATCGTATATCTGGAGTTATTCCTGCAGAAATAGGCAATCTAATTACCTTAACTCTGCTAGATTTCAGTGAAAATGAATTCACCGGAATAATACCAAGTTCTGTTGGTAAACTTGGAAATTTACGGCGATTGAGACTTGATACCAATGGACTTTCAGGAAATATTCCATTTTCTTTTGGAAATCTATCTTGGTTGAGTGAGTTATATTTATATTATAACACATTGCAAGGAAATATCCCTCCTAGTTTAGAGAATTGCAAAAATTTGTTGTCATTAGATCTTTCTAACAATAACCTTAGTGGTAGCATACCAGAACAACTTTTTCAAATCTCCTCTCTATCAATTTCACTAAGTATAGCTCATAACCAATTTACTGGTTCCTTGTCTTCATCTATTGGTAATCTGAAAGGCTTAGGGGAATTGGATGTTTCTTGGAACAAGCTGTCTGGAGAAATTCCTAGTAGTCTTGGAGCATGCACAAGTCTTGAAAATTTACACGTGGAGAATAACTTCTTCCATGGATCCATTCCTTCATCACTTAGTTCTTTGAAGGGTCTTCAGAATCTTGATCTTTCTCATAATAATCTTTCAGACCAGATTCCAAATTTTTTTGAAAAAATTCCTTTCATTTTTTTAAATTTGTCTTACAACAATTTTGAGGGCGAGGTTCCAAAGAAGGGAGTTTTCTAGGGTCTTCCCAGAACTTGATCTTTCTCATATATAAGAGCCTTTCAGACCAAGATTCCGCAAGAATTTTTTTGAAAAAGATTCCTTTCATTTTTTTTGATCTTTCTCATAATAATCTTTCAGACCAGATTCCAAATTTTTTTGAAAAAATTCCTTTCATTTTTTTAAATTTGTCTTACAACAATTTTGAGGGCGAGGTTCCAAAGAAGGGAGTTTTCTCAAACGGAAGTCGAGTGTCAGTGGTTGGAAATGACAGGCTTTGTGGAGGCATCTCTCAGTTGCACTTGCCTAGGTGCCAGGGGAAGCAGGGGAATACTCAGTTTCATCGCTTGTTATCGTAGCTTGTGCTCTTCTTCTTGGAGGTATCATTCTGTCATCATTCCTCTTCTATTGGTTCAAAAAGAAGAGAAAACATCAAATTTCTTCTGCTACTTCATTGAAAGAACCATTTGCCCAAATACCATACGAAAAACTCCTTCAGGCAACCGGTGGCTTCTCTTCTTCTAATTTGATTGGTGTAGGTAGTTTTGGATTTGTGTATAGAGGAAGCATTGATGATGAAGATGTTGCAATCAAAGTGCTTAACCTTCAGCGCCGAGGTGCTTCAAGAAGTTTCATAGCTGAGAGTAAAGCTTCAAGAGAAATTCGCCATAGAAATCTTGTAAAGATCATAACTTGTTGCTCGAGCATTGATTTTCAAGGTAATGATTTTAAGGCCTTAGTGTATGAATACATGCCTAACGGGAGTTTAGACAAATGGCTGCATCCGGATCAAGAAACATACAATGGTCAAAATAATCTAAGCCTAGTTTGTAGAGTGAATATTGCCATTGATGTGGCCCGTGCACTTGATTATCTCCATCATGATTGCCATCAGCCAATTGTTCACTGTGATCTAAAACCGAGCAATGTTCTTCTTGATAGCAACATGACTGCCCATGTTGGAGATTTTGGGCTAGCAAGAATTCTTCCACAACTTACAAAGCCAAACCAAAGCAGCTCGTCAGTTGGAATTAAAGGAACTATTGGATATGCTGCACCAGGTAATTTAACCTCAATTATATGCTGCACCAGGTAATTTAACCTCAATTTTCTTTCACTCACATTGTTTCTTTGAAGAAACTATATGTTTTGATTTCACTTTCATTCTGTCCAACAGAATACGGTCTAGGAGGAGAAGTTTCAATACAGGGAGATATCTACAGTTATGGGATTTTATTATTGGAAATGATAAGGAAAGAGACCGACAGATAACTTGTTTGAGACAAGTCTTAACCTTCACAAGTATGCTCGAACTTCTCTTCCTGACCATGTTATGGAGATTGTTGATCCAATGCTTCTTAGAAATGACAATGTCATAACCATGAGACAATTAGTAAATGCTACCAGATTAAAGGAGTGTCTGATTTCCATGGTTAAAATTGGAGTTGAATGCTCCATCGAGTCATCAAGAGATAGAATGGACATGACTAAGGTTGTTCGTGAGCTATTCAAGATTAGGGATGTTCTTGAAAGAAACCACAACTAAGTCCCATAACAACAGGCATAAAGGTACCTATATTTATTTATTTAATCTTTTACTTTGTTTTATTTCTTTATTTAATTTATTTTTTATAATATCTGTTGGTGCCAGATAATGCTATTGAATAATGATCTCACTTTTTTTATCCTTGAGGACAAAGAGAATAAACAAGAACAGGTTTGTATGTTGATTTTTAGCTACCAGGGAATAAGATCCTGGTGTGTTGTTGTTAGAATGCGTGAAAATTTTCTAGACAGATCTTAATTTGTGGTTTAATTCCATAATTTAAGGAAATGAAACGGTGTTACTTGTGCATGTGAGTAGTATGTGCTTAATCTTAGTAATGTTGTCTCAATGAAGAAATGTTTTAGTTATTGTATTAGATAATAATAATGTTTATTCCTTCTAAACAAATTCGAGAAACATTGCACTGGTTCAATATTCATTGACATTTACACTGTTTTTCACTGTTTATCACAGAAGTATTTAACTTTAATTTTTGACAGTTACAGCTAAAAGGATTAAAAACATCAGCTTTCTGTGCCAGGCTAAAACTGAAAATTCATACCAGTTTCTTATAGTTTCTGTTACTTTTGCCATTCACATATATTTGATTAAATTCTGGAAATTGGAAAAGAATCAAAATATCAAATAAAGCATGTCTGTTCAGTCAGAGTTAATACTTGAATCATCTTCTTCTTCCTTTTTTTCTCTTGATGTTTATGTATATTTTATTGTAGGTAATAATAGAAATATTAAATAAAGATAGTATATTCTCTTGATAATTTTTTTTATATTTATATAAATTCCAATTATTCTTCAAAAAAGAAAAAAAAAAAAAAAATCTTATCTTCTGTTGTTCACTTGCCTATTTTTTTTCTGTATATTATTTTTCAATATTTATATTATATAAATTCCAATTATTCTTCAAAAAAGAAAAAAAAAAAAAAATAGAGCAATGCAACAACATAATTTAAATTTTGACATCCATCATTCCTCCTAACCCCCTTAGCATAATTTAGATGAGACCTGTAGGCAACGTAGAAATCCCAAATTATTTTTTGCATTCGTCTTATTACTTTTATGAGGCATGTCATTGTATTGTGAGGTATAAGGGTATTTTAGATGTTTATATGATTTTTGTTTGAAATAATTAAAGGATAAATTCATTGAAGCATATAAATGGAGACATAATGTAAATTGTAAAATTTATTTAATTGCTTTACTCTTAAGTTTGGTTTCCAGAATCATTATATATATATAAATGACAATCATTACCAAAAAATTAGAGTCTCTTTTTTTTTTTTTTTTAAGAAAATGCCACATCACCACGATTCTCTTCTAAAAAAAACTATATGTTTCAAAAATACACTTTTTTTTTTTTAAGTTGTGGCTCTGTCCATTCCACGAATGAAAATTTAATTCATTTAAAATTGTCATTGTTAGTGTAACTTGGTTGGACGAATTATAATTTAATTTCATGAATTGCATGTTGTCTAATTCTTCTCCTATTTTTAATGATATTTTATGCATTTTACGTTTGATATGTACAATAAAGCCTTTTAACTGTTTTAAAATTCAAATTCAAAATTAAAATTCATCACCTTCCAATCTTCCTTAAATATTTCAATTTAATATCCTAAATTTTTAAAAATTATCATTTTGTTGTTGTCAAATTCTTCCCCTTCCTAATGAGATGGTAAAGTTTTCAATTCTCAATAAGTTCAAGATTGATCTCTAAAGTTTGAAAAATCAAAAGATAAGATGTTGAGTATTTTTTTTTTCTCTTGGTTCGGTTAATAATAATTTTTAGTTTTCGAGTAAATTATTGGGTACAAACTAGATCAATGTTTGACAATAGTCTCGTACAATTTAAAAACAATAAAATAAGATGATGAGACAATAAAATAAGATGACGAGTAATATTCGTCCTGTTTTTCTAATTTAGAATTCGAAAATTTATATATCATAAAGTTCAAGATTCTCTTTGTTAGCTATTTTATTTTCCTTTTTCTTATATATAAATTTTTTAAATTTTTTTCTATGGTTGAAAGCTTAACTTAGTTCTTTAAATTACCAATGGAAAGAAGAATATTGTGGCCCTTTATTATTTTGTTTGAGTTGTTTGCTTAGTTTGTTTTTTCATTTTCATTTTGTATTTTGCTTAGCTTAGTTTTATTTTATTTTGTTTGTTGATTTTTCCAAGAATTTAAATGTGTGCAATTCAAAAGGATTTAAATATGTTTTTTGCAATAATAAAATTAATTATTATGTTTTAATATATTTTTTTAATTAGATACTTCCAATCATAAATCTCTAAAAAATAAAAAATTAGTATTTAAATAATTTAAATTGCCTAAAAAACTTTATCTCTAATAAAAATATCAATCACTTTTTCTCTAAAAAATAAATATTTATAATTAATTCCGCATAATCTCTAATAAAAATATCAATCACTTTTTCTCTAAAAAATAAATATTTATAATTAATTCCGCATATATATCTTACATTTTAAATAAAAAAATATAAATATTATATAGCGTTGCGAAACACGGAGTACTGCTTAGCTATATTAAAATCAACAATTTTTCATTAATTCAATGAATTTATTAATTATTCTTAAATAAGGGAGAAAAGAAAATGGAAAAGAAAGCTGAAGTGGGCATTTTATCTATCAGGAAACAGCATAATTTGAAGCAACGACAGAACTAGAGGTGGGCGATAGTGGACTCCTAACTGTAATTTTTTTTTTTTAAATTTACCTTATAAAATATTAAAAAATTTACTTTTTTCTATAAAACAATAATATGTTTCAATATTGCCCCTCTAAATTTTGAAAAAAAAAATTTCTCTAGTTATTTTTGTTTTAATCTGCCACTGATTTGAAGTCCAGATTCTATGATGACAGAATTAGGCCATTATACATTGATCCACTAGACAAATAATAAAATCACTTATATTAATTAATACACACTTAATTAAGTTTCTAAGGTGATATGATTATGATTTAAATGTTGCACTCAATACTAATTAATTAATTAATTAATTAATTAATTAATGTGTTGCTTGTTCAATTTTTTAGTCTCAAAAACTTAGTGGAAGTAAATGAGTCTTTGGATCAATTTAGGACGAGTATTTTATTTAAGGGTCAATTGAGTCCTATTTTTACCCAAGCAATGAGCATGTTTCACTTTTAATATGTAGGGCTATTTGTGGGTCGATTTAATTCGGTTTGAAATAATAGTCAAATCGAATATGAAGTGGCAATTTGGAAAAAAATTAAAATCGAATCAAACCACAAAAAATTTCAATCCCAACTCAACATTTAGTGAGTGTTTAGTTTGATTTCATTCAATTAAGCGGTTTGAGCAGCTTCAAAAAAAGAGAAATTAAACTTGATAAAAAAAAAGAAAAAAAGATTAACACTATGTTAAATTATAGAAAATGAATGAGTACAAACTATGACATTATATAGACATGTTTTTAAATATTTTGATCCCAAAATCATCGATTGAATTAAAAGTTTGATTTTAAAATTTTTACAAATCAAATTAAACCATCAATTTTTTTAAAATAATATTTTTGAATTTTTTATAAAATAATTATGTAATTTAATACGAAATAATACTTTAATTATTTTCCAATATAACTAATCAATGCAAAAGAATTTACAAAAATTAAGTTGAATTGAATTATTTATGTGTGATAAATATATATAGTGATTTGGTTCAATTTTGACCCTAAAATTATAAATTGATTTAAAAGTTTGATTTTTAAATTTTTACAAATCAAACTAAATTATCAATTTTTAAAAAACTGCAGTTTTGGATTGATTTGTGCGGTTTCATGAATAAACTTAATTATACACTGTTTATGGATTCAAAATTTGATGCAAAAGTTTTAGGCATTATAATAATAAACAAGCAAAAATTATAATGGGAAAAAATTTGGACAAAGAAATATGAGCGGAACTGTGGAAATTGGAGCGTAGAGGTAGTTTTGATTAAGGATGGATAGCAGGTACCTATGAATTTTGAATTACCTGTATCTGTATTATTTGGATTTTTACTATTCAAACCCCTTTAATTTTATTAATTACTAATTTGTTCTCATAAAAAAAAAAAAAGGTAAAAATTATCCTTCATATGTACAACATAATTGCATGTTGAGCTCTTCCCATTTCATGAGTCGTTCATTCACACAGTTCGCAGAAACTTGTCTCTGATCGAACAAAGCTTCATGGCAACATCACTAATGCTCATTCGCTCTGTGGGCAACTCTACAGAACAAGCTACTCCAATCCCAATTATTGAAATCAAGCATTCCATAATAATAATATCACCATTTCTCTTTGCTTTATTTCGTTCTTGAAGAAGAATTGGATCTGCAATCTCAGCCACTCTATCTGGTAAAGCTAATTCTGCAAACCTGTGAATGTTCATACCCTCTTTGAACGTGTCATGGGTGGGTCTCTTCCCTGTAAACATTTCTAACAAGAGGATTCCATAGCTATATAGATCACCATATGTTGATACCTCACTTCCTAGCCCATATTCTGCAATTTACACATTAATCAAGGCGTTCAAAATGGTTGGTATAGAGTATAAATTTGGAAACCCAACATAACGTGACAAATCAGCTATATGAGCATGGAAAACTAGAAGAGGATGTTGAAACACAAATAATGCAGCTATTATAATGAATGATACATGACGGGGATTGATTACCTGGAGGAGTATATCCGACAGTTCCTCTTAATCCCACAGAACTCGATTGATCAGTAGAGTCCTCTAGTATCCTCGGCAGACGAAATTTCGCTAGACCAAAATCGCTGATATGACCAGTCAGCTCGTTATCAAGAAGAATATTGCTAGGCTTGAGGTCACAGTGAACTATTGGAGTTCCACAATTGTAATGGAGATATTCAAGTGCAGAAGCAACATCAATAGCAATATTTAGCCTTTGAAGAAGATTTAAATTCTTTGGTGCCGCTTGATTGCCATCACTTGCAGCAGGTGGATGCAACCACTCATCTAGGTTCCCATTTGCCATGTACTCATAAACTAAAGCCTTGAATTCATTGCCTTGACGATCAATACTTGAACATGCAGTAATCACCTTTACAAGATTCCGATGTCTGATATTTCTCAAAGCCTGACATTCAGCCACGAAGCTCCTAATTGCTCTGTGGTTTTGCAGGTTAAGCACCTTAACTGCAATAACTGCTCCACCTTCTTCCAGAATTCCTCTATACACAGAACCAAAGCTGCCAACACCAATTAAGTCGTTTGAGGAGAAGCCTTTTGTAGCATCATGGAGATTTTGATAAGACAACCTCAAAAGTGAAACATCTGAAGAGGATGGAGGAAGTTCCTGATGTTTCTTCCTTTGCCTTGAAAGAAATACAACAGAAAGCACCAAAGCCATTCCTAATACCGCCGCTACAGTAGCAAGAATGGCCTTTAGTTTAACTGTCAATCTCACATTCTTTTTGAAGTTACACCTGGGCAACTTAAACTCAGGAATCCCACCACAGAGTTTTCTATTTCCCATGACTGAAGTAATGGTTGCATTTTTGAACAATCCTTTTGTTGGCATTATTCCTTCAAAATCATTGAAAGATAAGTTCAACTTCAGCAGCAGAATAAAACTAGCAAAAAATTCTGGAATTTTGCCCGATAAATTGTTGTGCGAAAAATCTATTTCTTGAAGACCTCTTAGTGAAGTCAAAGACGGAGGAATGGACCCTTGAAAGTGATTGCCATGCAAGTCCAATTTTTCCAAACTTACACAACTGCCAAGGCCGGCTGGAATTTTGCCAGAGAGCATATTATCATGAACAAACAACTGACCAAGATTTTTTAAATTCCCAACTTCACTGGGAAGAGCACCAATGAAATTATTTTCAGATAAGTCGAGATAGATTGATAAGGATGCAAGGCTAAAAACTTGTGGTGGTATAGGGCCAGTAAGACTGTTGCTGGAAAGGCCAAGTGCCAACAAATTCTGGCAATTTCCCAAACTTAAAGGAATAGTTCCCTGAAAATTATTTCTATCCATATACATTTCAGTTACCAATGTCAAATTACCTAGAGAATAAGGAATTTTTCCAGAGAATTCGTTTATTGCTAGATTCAATAATACTAGCTTTTGTAGTTTTCCAATAGAAGGGTGAAGATTACCCGATAAGTGATTATTCCACAACTTAAGATCCTCTAGGTTGACAAGTTTGCCTATCCCACCGGGCATGCTTCCAGATATCATGTTGTTATCCAGCCACAAGATGCTAAGAGCAGTTGACAAGTTGCTGATGCATTCAGGTATTGCTCCTCCAAAGTTATTCAAATTTAATGCCAAGACTCGTAAATTGGTAGTGTTGGTCAACGAGCATAAGAAGCTCAAATCATTTCCAAGATAATTGAAAGAGATGCTGAGTACATCAAGCCTAGGTAGGTTTTCCAAAGAAGGCACTTCTCCTGTAAAATTGTTATCTGGAAGTTGAAGTTCAACCAACGTTGAGGCATTGGATATTGAAACTGGAATTGGCCCAATAAATTGATTGGATGAAAGAGAAAGCCGCTGAATATTTGGAAGACTGATGCCAATGTTAGAGGGAAGACTCCCTTGAATTTTGTTATCTGACAAATCAAAAGTTTCAATCAAAGACAAGTTGAAGAGTGAGGGTGGGATGAGTCCAGAAAACTTATTTCCACCCACACGGAAATCGGTCAAATTTGTCAATTTGCCTAGGACACTAGGGATGCCACCATCCAAATTATTTTCAAAGAGCCAAAGCGCCTCAAGAGATGATAAGTTCCCCAAAGAAGAAGGAATTCTTCCTGTTAGATTATTGTGATGTAAAAGGACAAACATAATCTTTGACAAAGTCCCAAGCTCCGTAGGAATTTCTCCTACCAGCTTATTTCGACCAACATTAAGAAAACGAAGATCATAGCAACCAGATGTATTGGAAGGTATTTTTCCACTGAATGAGTTGTTTTGCAGTCTTAATGCTTTTAATCTGTGCAAGTAACCAATTTCTGAAGGGATTTCTTGAGTGAGGCTATTGTTTGGAAGATTTAATATTCTTAGAAAGCTTAAGTTACCTATGTGAGGTGATATGGTACCTGCAAGTTTCAACGAACTTAAATCCAGCACTGTGACACGCTGGTGCCGGTGACCACAGGTAACACCATACCATTGGCAGAAGTGAATGCTAACATTCCATGAGTTCATCACTCCAAGGGGGTCATCAGTCACTTTAGCCTTGAACTCAAGCAAAGCTAGTTGATCTGTCTCATTTCCAGATGGCATAGAGATTAATGAACAACTGAAGCATGGCAAATTTGAGCCCAATAATGAGAGGAGAAAAAAAGTTGCATGGATGCAGAAAAGTGACCAGGAACCTCTTGAACTCATATATGGAATTCGAATTTGTTGGCGGATTTCAGATTGTTTGGTTTCTAGACTAGCTAGCAGACAGTGTTTGTTGAGTGGCAAAAACTTGGAGGGGGAAGACAACGTTTACTTGGGACTTAAGTGCAAGAATTTAAAGAAATTGGTAGGTTGAGATTTTCAACACCCATCTTCAAACAGAGAAAAGAAAGTTGGAGAAGATATAAATTGTAGAATTAATTATAGATATTGGCACTCCTCCATTTTTTGACAATCAGTTAGTGGAAATGAACGCTGGTAAGCCACTAACAAAGTATTATGATTTCGTATATCTTTAACTTTTTTTTTTTTTTTTTTTTTTTTTTTTATAATCAAGGAGAATTAAATTTCCACTGCTCCCTTTATACGCCTTTTTTTTTTTTTTTTTTTTTTTATAATCAGGAGATTTAATTTCCATGTCCCTTATAGCCTAAAGGTAAAATGCGCTTTCCGGAGATAAAACTTGTATTCTCACCTTTACTGGATTGAGTTCATTGTTCACGTCAAATTACTACCTTATTGGGTTGAACTATTTAATTATTTCTATAAATGGCACGTACTTTTCTTTTTCTTTCTTTTTTGTGTTGTTTTCTTTTTCTCTTTTTATCACCTCCATTGTTCTCTGGTTATATTCATCAGAGGCATCAGTTCTCTATAGAAAAAGGAACTACTTGAACTAATATATGCCATCATATGGACACAACTAGGCAAGAGAACTCCATACTTTTGCAGGTGAATAATTGAAAGCAAGACAGATATAAAAGTGTACCTTTTGTGAGATCAGTATCCAACATCATACAGTAGACAACAAATCCAACTGATGCCTTCCAGGTAAATCATCAGCTAAGTGCAAAAATTATATCTTTGACTACATGATGGAGTTAAACCCATTGATCATGCAGAGAACATACTTACAAAGTCACTAATAATAATTCAATTTAACAATAGAGGAATATAAAGCAACAATCCAGAGAGTAGAAACATAAACATGTTACCTGATCGAGTCTAAAGGGAAGCGAAGGCCTTACAATTGCAATTCAAGTAAAAGAAATGAAGAGTAAAAAGGGTACCTGTCAATTAGTTTCCTTTCAATCTCTTCCTCATTGTAGGGCTCACCTGCAAAATTTGGGTAATTTATATTAACAACAGACACAGCCATTATTGCATAATTGAAAGACAGAAAAAAAGATCCCAAATATCAAACAGCTGCACTTTGTTCTTGTTCTTAGAAAATGACTATACAGTATACATGGACCAAACTAGGTAAAAGAAACTGCATACTATATGAAGAGATAAGAAATGCATATGCTTTGTTTACCCATTTTCTGGGTAATGAATATGTTGATCAACATCTTAAAAAACTTGATAAATTTGTGACAGGTAATTTAAACTCAATTTTCTTTTACTTGCGTTGTTTCTTTCAAGAAAATATATGTATTGATTTCACTGTCATCATCCAACAGAATACCTCTAGGAGGAAAAGTTTCAATAAAAGGATATATCTACAGTTATGGGATTTTATTACTGGAAATGATAACAGGAAAGAGACCTACTGATAATATGTTTGAGTCCAGTCTTAACCTTCACAAGTATGCTAGAAATTCTCTTCCTGACCATGTTATGGATATTGTTGATCCATTGCTTCTTAAAAATGACAATGTCATAACCATGAGACAATCAGTAAATGCTACCGGATTAGAGGAGTGTCTGATTTCCATGGTTAATGCTCCATCGAGTCACCAAGAGATCGAATGGACATGACTAAGGTTGTTCGTGAGTTGTTCAAGGTTAGGGATGTTCTTGAAATAAACTACAGCTAAGTCCCATAACAACGGGCATAAAGGTAACTTTATAATTTCATTTGATCATTTACTTTGTTTTTTTTTTCTGTAATTTAATTTAGTTTTTCTAATATCTGGTGTTGCCAGATAATACTATTGAATAATGAGCTCACTGCTTTATCCTGGAGGACAATGAGAATAAACAAGAACAGGATTGCATGTTGATTTTAGCTGCCTAAAATCGCAGTCTAACAAAGGACTAATGTATTAATTTCAAAATAATTAGGATTTAAAAATCTTTCCCTAATTTAAATTTTGACGCTCTTGGCAGAATTTATATGAGAGACCTCTAGTTGAGGCAGAAATCTCAAATATTTTATGACGCATAAATTCTTTTGTCCAACTCGGAATGAGAAACTGATTCCTCTTGTCCAAACAAAACTTTCAACTGAATTTTTCATTTTACCTCTTTACCATTGTTGCTTTTCTTATTATCTGCGTGGTCTCATGACTTTGCACACAGCGCTCTGTTCTAGTGATAATAAAGTTAGAAATCGGAAGTGGATGATATATGTATTCGAAAATGAAAAGAATTGAAATCCGACTAGTCAAGCAGATTTATGGCTACCACTTCCCTACAAATTGGTCCTAAAACCATCAATTTCACAGTTCACATGGACAGTTGATTCCAGGCAAGCTGTCCTATAAGAGCAGCAAATCTGACATCATGAAATTAAATACCTTACACAACAAATAAGCTACCCTAAGCTATTTTTGCTCCCTAGCCTGAGATATAGCTACACTGGGTTAATACAATACAGTTCCTGAACACAAGGAATAAGCCTGCACAGAATGAATGGCTCGAAATATACGACACCAAGAGACAACACAGCAGCTCGTCTTCACCACCTCATCTTATTTGAGACGTCTCCCAATTTTCGGGCTTATCATCTCAGCACCAGATATGGCTGTTTCCTGTAAATAGCAAGGCATCAACGATTCTACCTTAGAAGTAAGAACATAGATGTCAAATGGAAGACAAGTGCAGAGCTCATAACCGGTTTGTATTTACTGTTGCACATTGTTTCAATTATTTGTTTCAAACAAAATTTTTGCAGTATGAGCCCACAGTACACACTATTTGAAACAGAAACATCATTTAAAGCATCATGATCATGAAATGATGATGAGACAAAATAATCAAGAAAGATAATGATCATGCAATGCAAATGAGAAAGAAAACAAGTGACAGTTAAATGGTCAATTCAACAGTAATTGCTTGTCCTTTTCCAGTAACTGAGAACTGTACCAACCTTCAAACAAACCTCTTGCGTTTAGCTACTTGCCACTGCTTCAATAAAAATGAGACTCCTTCTTTCAAAGTGGCCTTTTTCCCTTCTTTATAGTTCCACAACTCCGAGATTATATACCTTCCACTTGGGTTGTATTCATTGATCTCCATCAAAGCATCAGTCACAGCCTTGTAAACTTCATTGCTCATCTCCTTTCTCAATCCTTTCAATTTTTCGTCCTCATCATTAATCACTTCCTGAACCAACACAATGGAAATATAGCCATATCATTAGAGAGGAAGCAACAACCAGTTTACATTTACATAGAGAGAGTAAATGTCAATGGAGTACACATGATTACAAGAGTAACAAAATAAATTGTATAAATTAAAACCATTGAGTAAACATGAAAAGAAAATCTTTCAACAACTCCCGAATTCATGTTCAAGTAATTTTTCCAAACACATTGACTGCAATGCAATTAACATGCACATGGCTGCATAAATTCCTTAAGAAAGTAGCAGAATACAAAAAAAGAACATATTAAAAGCACATGCACGATTGCATACAAATGCAGACAAAGCTCTTAGATGACGGTAAACATAAGGCATACTATTCATATATTGATTCTTGAAAAGGAAAATCACAATGAAGACAACATGTACAAATGAGACTGGGAAATTGACTAAACTGCAAACGATGTACTTATGTAAACTTAGGAAGATTATACTAAACAACAAAGAATTTAAGGTGCAAGACTAAAGAAAAAAGCAGCAAACTGGAGGCACATTCCATCGCAGAATGTACAATGGTATAAGCACTCAATTTCTCCATTTGTTAATCCTTTCACGTGAGGCTTGAGAATAGGATAATAAAATTATAAACATTTTGGTAATATAACGTGAGCTGAAAAATAAGATAATCAAATTTAATTAACATTTTGGGTAAATAATAATATATATGATATATATATATATATATATATATATCAGCTTACCATAAACAATATAGGCACCCCCTTCAGTATACTGGAATAAACTAGTCTTCCAATACTATTTTCATGTATATTCAAGCACACCAACATGCCAGTTATATAAATTAACAATGAGTTCCTATTATGCCTGTGGAACTTCACCGTAGAATTAGAGATCCATCAAATGCATGCATAATAATGCAAATGATGAACATTGTCCAAATATACAGATTTTCCATAAGATAACTTGCTGGCAACAAGATATTATGAGAAACTTGCGAAATGCATACCTTATGTTTCCCATCAACCATAACAAATTTGAAAGGATGCCAATCAGGATCTTTAAGATATTCCATCCACAATGAACAAAGTTCAGAAGCTCGGACTTCTGCTTCATCCTCAACAAACTTTTTCTTCATGGCTTCAAGAAATGGTTTACTGTCTAGTTCTCCCATCCTCTTAACACCAATGGAAGCACGGTTTGATATTTCTTTCAGGCCCTAAAAAGGCAAGTGAATGAATATTGTATCACAAGAAAGAGGTAGTGACAAGGGTTCTAAAGCCTCGAGCATAACTTGGAGAATTATTTGACAAGCTTCTAAATAATAAGAACAGCTTTATCTCGGTAATTAGCAATTACATCTGAAAATATTAATATTCAGGTTCAACCTAATCAATAAACATTAAAATGAAAATAATACAGGCCATCTGATTTAAGGCTCCCTATCTATGTCATCAGTGACTCCCTATATAACTATTTGATTAAGATGACTAACATAGCATAGATACAGTCAGACCACAAAAGAATAAAAATACCAAGATGTTGCAGGATTATGAAGAAGGCATATATCCTCTCTAACATAACTTGATTCGAAATTTTTGAAAACAGCAAAAATAGGAACTACTCACAGTAATTAACTCTTTCCGGGCTTCCTGCAGTTCATCATTGCTCTTGCGTTCCCTTACAATAAGAGCCTGGTTTAGTGTCTCTAGCTCCTCAAGTTCTCCTTCCTTTTCTCTCAAATTTTGAATTATTGTATCCATCTTTTTCAAAACTTCCGCATCACCATCATCTCCCATGTGCTTTATCACATTCAAGGAGCCTCTGAGTCTCTCTATTTCCAATTCTAGAGCTTGCTTGGCATCCAGCTGTTTTTCCAATTGAATGATTCTGTTGTGCAGTTCCTCTTTTTGCCGCTGGATAATATTGAACAGAAATTTTAATTTTTTCACTACTAGCAAAGGAATATTCCAGTAATTATTCAAGCACTTCAAGACAATGAGTATACCTTCTGATCTTCAGCCAATTTCAACACACTCTCATCAGCCTTTTGTTGCTCCAAAGAAGCCAACTGAAGTGAGCTATTTCTGATAGCATTCTGGAAAGACAAGAAAATCGGAATTGGCAAGCTTATGAAATAACCAACATAAATGAGCATATAAAAATAAAAACACTTAAACTCATGCTAGAAATGCAAATAAAAACACAGAGTTCTGAACGAGCCTCTTTTCCCCTCCCGCCTTCTATTTTTTTCCCCATTTTAAGCCATATTATCATAAAAAAAATAAAGAACAAACCAAAGTAGAATCTATAATAATGACAATTCTACACATACAGCTTGATCAAATCCAATGAACACAAAATCATTGAGAACACAAACCAAGGATGATTCAAGTTAAACCTCCTTGTATATTTCAGCTTAGTGAAAAGATGATTTCTTTTACAAAGCATATGCCACGACTAGCACGAGATAATTTAACTATATACAAACGATAGGTTTAAAGTAAACTCTAGAGTAACAGTGATCTGCTATCACCTTGTTAAGTGAACCAAGACATTATTTGACTGTGACAACTGACAACTTTGCAGCATCTTCCCCCTACCTTATTCAAATTCAATAATTTTGAATGTATTAACATTAATATGTAGTGTGGTAAAGGCAGTCATTGTTCGTTGCTCTTCTTCTTCAAATAAAATTGAAATCAGATTGTAACAATGAGTAATTGAGAGCATTTTGTAATGCCAAAATATGGATGACAATATTACAATAACAGTTGTTCCAAAGGCAATAGATAGCAGAGCTCATTTAATTGATGCATTTAAACCAAACAGAAAATACCTTCTCAATTTCTTCAGAGAGCAGCCTTCTATCACTTTCATTCCTGGCCTCACGTTGTTCCAGTTCTGACCCACGCATCTCAAGCTCTCTTTTCTGAGATTCTAGTTGCAACTTAAGCTTTTCATGGTCATTGAATATCTTTTGGAAGTGCTCCCTTGCACTCATTTGAATTTTTTTTATTTCTGGAAGGCCAAGAGACAAGGCAGAAATTAATTCCTCTACAATAACACGGAACAAAGGGAAATCCAAGCCACTTATTCCTAAGTATATGAAATTCTGCAGTAATGTAAATGAAACTGCTGAAAACCTTGATTAATAACTAAAGCGTAGTTCATTGACTATTATAATATAGTAGTAAGTAAATAAAAAAAAAAATACTTAGGGATATTAAAAGAAAAGCACCTTCATTGTAGGCTTGAAGAAGCCTATCTTTCTCTCCCATCAACTTTTGAAGGGAGACTGTAGTCTCACTACACTTTTCCTCCATTTCTTGTAAGTGTTTATTTTTAATCTCAATGATGTTATTGAGATTGGATATCAGTTTGTCCTGCTTTCTGGCTTCTTCCTCCATGATTTCAGAAACAGTTTTAAGGTCTCCAATCTTCCGCAAATGTTCTCCGATTATATTATCTGCCTTGTAATCATCAGCACGTGCAACCCAACAGTAGACACCAGATTTTTCTCCACCGGTAAACCATTCTTTCTTTCCGTGATGATCGGCCTCATATGCCTTCTCAAATGAAAGGGCATTATGTAAACCAGGCCAATCTTTACGGAATTCCACAACAGCACTTCCAGAATGCCCACGATAATTCCATAGCGGATGAACTCTCGTGGGATTAAACCCTCTACTTATCAACTCATCCCTAAACTTGGATCCACTTGCTCCTACAAACCGTCCATCGTCGGTCCTTGTAGTTGGAAGATTAACCACAATGCCTGTCCAAGGCCACACAAGTTTCTCATAATGATCACATTCACTAAGAGGGTCAGTGTCACTTTTTGGTTCTGATGGACTGCCTGTAGCTCCTAGATCCTTTTCCAAGTACTTAACTAGTGCCAGGTGATTTGCCTTCTCCTTAGCAGATCGTTTATTTGAGGGACTCTTGCCCACCCCAACAGCATGTTGGAGGAGATCCTTGTATAGGTAATCTCGCTTTCTCTTCTTGGGGCAATAAGGACAACTAAAAATCTCATCGGAAATTTTCACGCTGCGGGTTCCATTCTTCAGTTCTTCATAGGATTGAGCTTCATACTCTTCCATTTCAGAATCACTCACATCCGTGTCCTCATCTGAACTGTAATCCATCAAGCTCTTGTTCCAATTCCTTGAAAGAGTACCGGAGATGAAGAGAAACATTAAAGTTAAGTGGCAATATTCTGTTCATAATATCCACATAAAACTACATTGACATGCAAGCTCTTTGGAACAACAGCCAAAATAACAGTATCCATTATAATTGGCAGAAACAAAGAAAATAAAATCCATAATACAGAAAATTTTAGTCAAAATGAGCGACAGGAAATCCTTTGAGCCTGAGCAAACTACAAACTTAAGCACAATAATGCCACTCTAAAACAAAATATAAAACTGAGATATATGAGATGGCAAAAGAATGAAGGAATTAGAACACTCCAGCAAAATGAGAAATTCTACAATGCAACAATTTTGGTTTCTGTGGATAATTGGGAGCTATTTTCAGCAGAATAATGAGCAGGACATAGACTTACAGATATTTCTATTCGACTAAAAAACCAAAAGGAAATAATAAACCACTTAATGTATCTTTTTTGGCTTGTGTAATTCACATTTCTCACTCTCAATGATACAATTTCAGGGTCCACAAGAGAAGACAGTCAGATATATCAATCTACATTTCACAGCAACCCAGTTACAAACGTAAACAGAAATGATGGCAGAACACGTAACAGTATCGGCCAAACTGAGCGTTTGATTGTCCTATTCCTTAGAAGCAAACGTAAATTAGCTAAACCAGCAGTTTTCTTCAAAATAACTTTACCAAGAACCAAGCAGAATCACAAAAAAAATAAAAAATAAAAAAAAATACGACACTGGAACTGGTAATAACAATAATAGTTAATAATTTAAAACACATGCAGATCGGGGAAAACAGGGAAAGAGAGTTAACAAAACAAACTAAAAGATATACATTATAGATATAAAATCTAAAATCAAAACAGCCATGCATGGATCAAAAAAGGGTCAAAATGAACGGTAAATAAGAACCAGATAAAAAATGCAAGCCAAGCAGAAACCGTCGTCGTTTAACTAATCGGAGCTCGAGATTGTGAGACTGTGAACATCTATGATAGAATCGGTGGAGAATAGAGGGCTTTGAGAGGTTTTGAAGACGAAGAATTTGGGGCTTTGGAGACAGTGGAGGTGTTTGGTCCCTGAAGAAGCTGACAAAGGAACCTGCATATTTGATGTGAGTTTAGAGCTACGGACTACAGTGGATTGCACGCGCCCTTGAAGCGCCAGGTAAAAGTGGGAGAATGAAGATAAATTATTACTTTTGGTGGAACAAATAATTTTTTTTATACATATTAGGTCGAATAGGTCTTCCGATGATATTCACCGGTGGATCCAATTCATGTGTCTTTTAAATTTTTTTTTATACATATTAGGTCGAATTGGTCTTCCTATGATATTCACCGGTGGATCCAAGTCACGTGTCTTTTAACATACTTCATAAAATTAATCTGATCACACTTAACTTTAATATATTAAAATTTAATTATAAACATTTTTAAAAATTTGTATTTTATTATGTAATTGCAGTTATATATTTAGCTGTACAAAAAGTATTGAATATTATTTTCTATTGTTTTGAAATACAAGAAAATATATTACTTAATTTTCTTCAAATATATACAATTATACATTTTTCAAAACGTTTAAACGTATAAAAGATACTTTTAAATTTATTATAGGCTAAAGAATAATTACATAAAAAATGGCAAGCTATGACATATGATCAACGATGAACCAGTGGGAAGTGAAAAATCATAGCCATGGTTGTTTACACATTATAAATTTACATATAGGATGGCTAAAAATTTATATTATAAATTTACATGGTTGTTTCTTTTTTTTTTTTTTCAAGTAGAAAATTCAAAATTGGTAGTAAGGGATCTTGTTTTATATATTAAAAAGATGGCAAGCTATGACATATGATCAACGATGAACCAGTGGGAAGTGAAAAATCAATAAGCCATGGTTGTTTAACGACATTATAAATTTACATGATAGGGAGTGGCTTAAAAATTTATATTTATAAGATTTACATGGTTGTTTCTTTTTTTTTTTTTTTCAAGTAGACAAATTCAAAAATTGGTAGTAAGGGATCTTGTTTTAATATATATAGTATATATATATATATATATATATATATATATATATAATATAGTAAATTATTTTATTAATAGATGAATATATCAAGACACTTTGATATAGTAATTGGTATACACTAGATTCCCATATTTGGTCACAACATGGAGTCATGAATTTAGTACAGGCGAATTTTAAAGTAATCACATCTCGGACCTGAAACGGTTTACGAGAGTGGGTTAAAAAAAAAAAGGTCAATCTATAAATTCAGTTGATAATATTCTAGTCAATGGCACGTTACTCAGAAGCAGGAGTTTACATGTTTTAGAAAAGGCCATCTTTCTTGGTTAAATTTATCTAGATGCTGACGCGTGGCATAGTGTAGTTTTCTTTTTGGGACTATATGTCTATTTCCCTCTTTATCATTGAAAAAAAAAATAAAATTACTCTATTACTATTGTAACAATTTTTTGATAATCATGATAACAAAAAAAAAAATGTAGTTAGTTATATATTTTTTTAAGAATTCATTTGAAAAAAAGAGCACTCAAAAGATTTTAAAAAATCAAATAAATATAAATGAATTTAATGTAATTTTATATGACTTATTTGTAAATTTTAAATTTTAATACTTAGCATTTTTCATACTTTCTATAAATAAAAATTACTTAAAATTTTATAATATTAATTTTACAGGATTTATTATTACTTATATTACCTTCATTATATTCAAACTGTCAATTTTTTTACCTTTTATACATAAAAAAATGATTCATTTATTTTAATTCTATAAAATTTACATTCCGAATTACTTAAATTTTCTAACATTATACTCTACACTCACAACTGGGTTTAATAAATGAATAAAGGTACAAAGTAAAAATATAATAAATTCTTTCTTAAATCTTAAAAAAAAAAAAGTAGTACAGAAGGAGTACTAAATTTTTTAAAAAGTTAATAGAATTTACACGTGTTAAAAAACTAAAAAGTATAAAATTATTAAATTAATGAAACAAATAAAATTAATGAAAACTTTATATTAAAGGAAATTTTTTATTCAATTAAAATATAAAAACTTATTTGTTAATAAATTTTAATTTTATATGAATTTATTATAAACCTTATTTATATATACACTATGTCTTGTAAGGTAAGATATGTCATGTTAAGGACATGTTCATAACCACGCGCGTGAGCTTGAATTTGAAAGACAGAGTGTGCAAGTCCCAATAGCAGGAACATGGTATCGTCACCGGCAGGTGACATTTTGCCATCACCAAAGCGTAAATACACCATTGAATCAGAACTAGTCATCCAATCTCACGGACATAAATGGATCCTACCCACAAGCAAGTTTACACGTTCATACGAGTAAGGCATCGTTAAGTTCCGTTGCTGATTATGTTTATGTAATCAGCTGATTATGTTTACGTAATTAGTAAGGCATCATTGTGTTTTTTACTGTAAGGCACTGACGTGGAGGACACAGAAACTTATTTCAAAGAATTTTCACTTAAAAAAGCCACATGTTAACTGCGTTCCAAGCTAACAGAAAAAGGTTTTTTTTTTTTTTTTTTTTTTTTTGCTAACAGAAAAAGGTTTTTTTTTTTTTTTTTTTTTTTTTTTTTTTTTTTTTTTTTTTTTTTTTATAATTTGATACTATGAACAATGAATGTCATTACACCTGCCACCAGGGCTCTTAGTTGCCTTTACCACCAGGTCAAGGGATCATTTGCAACAGAAAATGTTCACTGCATTTTTGTTGTTACATAAACAATAAATTAGATATTTTTAAGTTAAAAATTAAAATTGATACCCCCATTTGGATGATTACCTATATATCCATTCAAGTGAAATTAACTCTCTGATGTGTGAAAAACTATTTCTTAATTTAATGAGATTTAATAACAATTTATAAGAAATTGTCAATTCAATTGGTCATTTCTTTACCTGATGCATGTAAATCTCTCAATTCCTACAAATTAGCAAAATACATTTCCATCTGCTGCCATCCAACCAGAAGGACAAACTTCAAATATAAAAATATAAAATAAAGCTTGTACAGAGTACAGATTGAAATCATGGCATAAAATAGAAACTGAAGTGACGTCATTAATGCACTCTCATGGGTCAAACTTTCGATATAACATATATAATCCTTGGTATGTCTTAACAGGTCTAATTTCAAAGATTGAAAACGCTAAACATTCCTTAGAAAATTGACGTAGCATCTCCAAAACAAAACATAAAGCAGAAAAAATTGGACACTTAGGTCCTAGCAGCAACCCCAGCACCTGCAGGACGAGTTCCTTGACCAGGCTGACCTGGCTGTGCAGGCTTTGGCAGGTCATCCTGAAACATTAACGCAAAACCAATAATCAAACTATGAAATAAAGCATGAAAACTACATAATTATACTACACTAGTGTGGAACAAAGACAGAAAAACTACTACTTAGTATTCTAATACAATCACCGATATATTTGCAGGAATACAAAATCAGGGAGAAAAATATTGTGATTAAACACGATAATCAAATTCATCACACCCTTATGTAATCAAAATCAAGCTAAAAGATAAAGATAAACCAAACTGCAACTATAATTACACCTGAATTGGCATAGAGCACCTAATTAAAGACTCCTTCCCCCCACCCCACCCAAAGAAAAAAAAAAAAAAAAAAAAAAAGAAAAAGGAAAAAAAAAAAAAAAAAAAAGAAAAGAAAAAGGAAAACAACAATAACAACAACAACTAAAACTCAATCCAAAAAAAAAGTCGAATTTGCATATCAAATATTGCACTAGAAAACTAATTTATTTAGCAAGATATTAGAATATAATTTGAAATAACAAGCAATAGGTGAATATCCTTTCTGCTTACTTACAGGTTAAAGCAAAGTCTAAAAGGGTAATGTTATTGCCTAATTTTTTAAGAATAAATTATAAAGCAAGAAAAAGAATAAAAGATATAGGCATCAAAAACAAAAGCAAATAACATATATAATTGTAAGAGAAAAAACAGAAAAGAAAAGAAATATTACCCTGCGCCTGAGAAAGCGCTGTGGTGGCTCACGGTTCCTTCGCGCAGTGCGAGAACGAACCCTAACAACTCTGGAGTGAATAGCACATGAAACACAGTACTGCATCTTCACATACAGCTTAGGAAGAACATATCCTGAATAATCATTCAAATCAATCCTTTATCTAACACATAAACTAAAAGATTAGATTTAATAACAATTAGTCCTAGGAGAGAGAGATATACCATCATAAACACAAGAATCCTGGACATCCCTAACTGCAGCTTGCTCAACAATGTTCCTCACAAGAAATCTCTTGATGGCTTTATCCTTTAATCAATCAAAAATCAGGATTTGTAATCAATAAATAAAGGACTAGGATAGTAGTGGGTGCAGGATACCTTAGGGCAGCATTTGCCACAGTTAGAGCAGCGAATGAACTTGACATGACCACGACCATGCTTGTTGCGGCCGCCATTTCTTCTCTTGAATGTCTGAGAAAATTTAAAAAAAAAAAAAAAAAACATAGGAGAGAAAGTGTTAGAGATTTTGAGAAAGATTTGACATTGAAGGATAGATAAAAGAGAAAGAGGGAGTGATCTAACTCACCATGGTTGATTGCGCCGGTGGTGGTGCTTTTGACTGGAGCTTAACAGCTGCTACTGCTGCTAGGATTTTGCACAAATAAGAAATGAGACTGAATGTTTTAGGAGGCTTTTATAGCCAGAGTAGGCCTAGCACTTAGTTAATTACTAATAACAATAACTTTAACGTAACAGCATGAAAGATTAACAATAACTTTAACAATATATAAGTTTTAAATTACTGAATAAATCATACACTTGATTAAGCATTTTAAAACAATTGCTTAATGCCAGCCTATTTCTTTATTTGTAGGTCTGATCAAATGATTGAAGTTTTATTTTCTGCTACTTTGACAGACTTTGTATACTTGCAGATCTTATGCCACCTGAAGTGTCCAACTAGAAATTAAAAAAGAAAAAGACACTACAAGAAGGCAAATTACGAAAAACCAAGAAAGAAGATATGCTCTGAGCTCAACAGAAAATCGAAAAGGAGTTCTTGAAAACAAAAACACTAATAACATGAACAGATAGCCGCGTGAACTGTCCCAGATAATTAAAAGACAGCACCAAAAGCCCCAGTTCTATCTTTGTTTCTGAACAAAGCAATTGTGCAGCTACTCTAAAAGAGCCCATGTCCAAAGGGTTTACTTGAATTAAATTAAAAATATTATGTCTCCTCCTTAAATTGGTTATGTCTTTAATTTGCTTCACAAATTGTGATGAATCATTAGATGGCTTGACTCAGTTCCAACCATTCAATTCTGACCGAGACTTGATTAAAACCCAGAACGGAAATAGGAAGCAACTAACCAAATAAAAGAACAACATAACCATTTCAATTCCATCAAATATATATTAGTTTATCAAGAAACTGAAAACAACAAAACACATAAAACAAACACAAAATGGGAGGAATCAAAATCCTAGAGTCACTACCAATACACTGGAAGAAAAACAATCAAACAAGCAATAATTCAAAATCCAATAAATCCATGATTGTAAAGAAAAATAAAAAGTAAAGAACTATAATAGATTCAAAATTCAAACTTACCAACCAATAAGGCAAGCCAGTGATAGTCTCGCTAACGCAAGCCACAGAGCTTCCCTTCAACTCGAAGAAAGCGGCGATGTGCGATTGATAAAGAAAACGAGCTCTGTAATTCGAAACCAAGCAAGCTTGCTTTTTTATCCAAAACCCTACATTTAAACGACGTAGTTTTGATGCAGATTAATTTAACTTGACTGCGCTAAGTAACATTTTGGCACTGGCTATGCTGCTACTAACAACTTTATATATATATAATATAGATATAACCTGAAGATGTAAGTTACTAATAAAATTCTAAAATATACTAATTTGTTTATTTTTATAATTTTCTTGGCTAACCGTTAATTTCACCCCAAACTTTTAAAGCAGTTGTAATTTTAATAAAAATCGATCATTGCATCCAGGACATTGCAAACTTATCAATCTAGTTTTAATCACACTCTAATTTGCTTTTAGAGTGTAATTACATCGTAAAAATGGATTGGAGCACTTTAAATTTGTCAATTTATTACAATTCTATCCTAAAAACAAATTAATATTAAAATTTTGATTAAAATAATGTAAAAATGGACTTCATAACTAATCCAAACTAAAGTAAATGCAAAACATAATATTTTAATTAAAAGAAAGAATCAATCATTCTGCATCTTTTGTACTTCAATTTATTATCTCTCTCCAATGTAGAAAATTAAATGATGGCTATTGACAGTGGTAAAAGAATCACCATATTTATTTTATTGTACTAAGAAATATACCATTGAATTAATATCCAACTTATTATTTTTGTATCTTAAAATTAGTTCAATTTTAAAATCAAATATGTAATCTTGATTTTTTTTATTTATTATATGAATACTCGGGTTTGATTCTATTGTTTATTATTTAAATACTTGGTTGGTTATGAAGTCTATTTTTGCATTATTATAATCAAAATTTCAGCATTATTATAATCAAAATTTCAACCTTAGTTTATTTTTAGGGTACAATTGTATTTTTTTATCAAATTAGAATGTAATTGCAATTAAGTTGATAAATTCAAAATGCTCATGGTAAAAATGTCAATTTAGAATGAAATTGTAACTATTCGAAAAGTTCGAGATGAAATCGAAGGTTAAACCATTCTCTCCTTATTTTTTCTTATAAATACTAATTTTATTTTTTAAAATATATTTTTAAGGTTATACAATTTTTAAATGTTTAAGTAACAGGGGGACAAGAATTTGATTCTTAGTCTATTATTAAGTGGTACATGCATTTATATTACTATTAGGCTATACATTGATATGGTTTCCAATATCGCGCGCCTATTCAACAATATTAAGGATTAAAATTATCTCCATTAGTTTTAATTAAGAAAAAAAGGCAAATTTTAGTCAAATTATCTATCAATCTATTTATATAAATATATAATTTATAAAGCATAAATGTCATCGCCCTCCCCTTGGTAAGTATTGTCCGCTTTGGGGCGTTACGTATCGCCGTCCCCCTCACGGTTTTGTCCCCTCAGGCAGGCTTTGCAAAAGTAATTGTCCCGCTTGGGCGTACGTAATCGCCGTCCCCCCTCGAACCGGGGTTTGTCCCCTCAGGCAGGGCTTTGCAACCTCCACCCAAAAGGCACCTTACCAAAGTTGAGGAACCACCCCCTTATGTATACGGACCGCCCCCTATACTTAACTCGATGTGGGATTTGCCTAAGGTGTCACAATACACCCCCCTTAAGGGACTGCAGCGTCCTCTGCTGAGGTTTGGCCCCACCCTACCGGCCAGAGGAAACGAGGTCCGGCTCTGATAACCAATTTGGTTTCATTAGCCCTCCCCCTTGTAAGTATTGGTCCGCTTTTGGGCGTTACGTATCGCCGTCCCCGAACCTCATCGGTTTTGTTACCCCTCAGGGCAGGCTTTGCAACCCACCAAAAAGCGCCTACCAAAGTGAGGAACCACCCCTCTTATTATAGGAACCGCCCCCTCGTACTTAAACCGATGTGGATTTGCCTAATGTGTCAAACAATAAATGTTTACAGAATATTTCGAATAATGAAAGTGATTATGCGACATTTTTATGTAACATCTCCTTCCCGGTCCAGCCCGTTAACACCGAATGAATCGAGCCCGGAGACTCGCTACAATCGGTTGAATTTATTCCCTGTCATGCTGAAACAATCCTGTATGCTAACTATGAATAACAAACATTTCCAATTGAAACTCCAAACTTTCCAATATCTCCACTAATCATTTTATATAATAGTCAAACTGTATAAATCTCAATAGGCATGTTAAATATCCAGCAATTAATTGCAATTCATGATCTATATCAAGTCTTCATGACTAATCAATCATACCAACTATAGTAAAATAGTTCATCTTCAATCATTCATAAGTATTATTCTTATCTCCAACTACTTACACCAACATAATTACATGCTTCACTTATTTTTACAATCACATAGCTCTAACAAATGTAATAATTATACATGCCATAAATCTTAATACATGCCATAATTCTTAATTATATAATTCTCAATCTACTACTCCCAAATTAGTCACTTCTGTTTTGATAGTACTCTTTAAGTCTTCAAGTAGCAACCACGATCTTCAACCTACGCGTGATAAAAATCGACGCGCTGAGTATAAAACTCAGTGGTGCTCAACATAATTCACATACTTAGACAAATGTGTGAATGGCAAACTAACTTTAAAAATACAAATTGCATAAAAGCAATTGAAAATCAAATAGATTCATGTAAATTTCAACATCAATGTATCTTTATAGCAACGAATAAACTTCTAATTCCATACCCAAATAAAATAATTAGTTATAATTAGCTCATAACTCCTTACAGTGAACCTTTACATCCCACATATCATGAACTAATCATGATCTTAACCCCTGCTGTTCATTATGTTGTATGAAGAAATCAATAAACATGTAAGAATACATACACAGTATAATTTTCATTGTCTTACTTGCTATTCATTATGCGGTATGACCTATGCACTTTTAGTCAATATCAGATAAAGTTTATATTAAATAACATCTCATGACTTGTATGGCTTCCTATAAATTGTAAGCATATATAAGCATTTATACTTTATGAATCTTAACCTGATGTTCTTTAATGCTGTAATGAATCTGCAAACTTTGTTAAAACTTAGTGAATATCGAAACGGAGATAAAGAAACATATAATACATACAATATGTAAAATAAACATGTACTCAAACATATGGAATGTAAGCACACATATCATGAATACCTTCCATTTACCTTGATGATCTTCTGGCTGTTTAGTAAATACTGGTATGAATTCATGGCCAATGTTATGTCAAGATAGTCTGTATGGCTCCATAAGGTATGGGTGAAGACCGAAAGTGATAAGAAAAACTGTATGAAAATTGTAATATGCTTGGCTGCTATGGCCTAAATATAATCATATCCACTTCAAACGGCTGAGCCGGAGTACCAAACTGGATTGGGGCGCACAGATCTGCTATTCTATGTTGCGACATAGCCTTATCTACATGGTTTCTACCTAACCTCAATGGAGCATATTAATGGTATGTCAATAGATAAAACAAATGCACAGTAACTGTGTCATAATTTGCATGCTTGTGTCATGAAATTAACTGCTTCATCATTTCATAAAATTTACTGCTTACCTGTATGCTAATAGCCTCTCCAAGCGGGCAACTTGTGTCATGTTAGTTTCACACCATTTGCATGCTTGCATTTTGTGTTTATACATGTATTCATGTTGTCTTTTTGCTTTAAAATGATTGAAGACATACAAGTTGAGAAAAGGAATACAATTGCATAGCATTCATAACTTCATACACCATAGTGTTTGTTTTAACCTCATTCACATCATTTTGCCATGCTTGCCATGTTGTTTTGATGCATGTTTAGATGTTGTTCTTTTGTTTTAAATTGGAAGGCATACAAGTAGTTTTGAGCAAATGAATACAATTGCATAGAAAAAGAGGTCCAAAAGAGCATCAAAACACAAGTCGCGAGCGCGCCATGCAAAGTCGCGAGCGCGAGAAGCACAAATGAGGGTCAGTGAGTTTACAGGTGAGATTCGCGAGCGTGCAATGAAATCCATGAGCACGAGAAGCACCCTTGCGAGTCAGAGAGGTCACAGGCACAATTCGCGAGTGCGAGTCGTGTTTTCCAGCCTGCGCAGTGTGTACTATTTTGGTCATATCTCTCAATTTATAACTCCGATTTAGGTGATTCAAAAACCCACGGACAGCTAATGATTCAAAAACCCATTGAAAGCTAACACATAGAGGAACAATAACTGCCCCTTCCTAATTCCATCATTAAATAGGGCAAAAATCATGGTGAAGTTACTAGTTACTTTTCCAGCAAAACCTGTTTCAGTAAAAACTCAATATCTACGTCATTTATTTATTTCATCTCATGCTTTTTCACCATTTTCAGTCATCTTACTCAATATTAAGCAACATATCTTCTCATTATCAACACACCATACAATTTATCATGCAAGGAAATGAATTAAACTAAAAGAGATAGCACATCTTCACTTAATAAGCTTGGAATCTTCTTCTTAGCTTCCTTCTACCTTGAGCTCACCTCTCCTATACATAAGAATTCTTATGAATACTCTAAAATAGAATTCCTTAGCTTATGAATACTCTAAAAATATCACCAAATGATTCAAGTATGAAATTTAAGAAGGTTTACTTACTTGGATAGAATAGAAGTTGAATTAATGCCTGAATCCCATTAAAATCTTCACTACCATTAAAAGTGATGGAGAAAGGAAAGTGGAAGAGGAAAGGAAGAAGATGAAGAAGATGAAGATGATGAAGATGAAAAATGGGAAAGTGGAATGGAAGTCTCGGGTAGACTCCAAAAATATCATGATTTTGTGTGCAAAATTACCAAATGGTCCCTCAAGTGTCAATTTGTTCCAACTTAATACCTCAACTTTATATTTTAGTGCAAGCAAGTCCTAATCCTTATACTTTGATCTTTTTGCTTCCTTCAAGTAAGTCCACTTCTTTTCCTTTCACATCCCATTCTAGCCCACTCTAGACTCTAATGGATCAAACCGAGTTTTAGATCAGCCCGACTCGACTCTAAGCATCAACTCGATTCAATAGAAAATGGGACGTTACATTTTAATTTTTCGATATGATTAATATATTTTTTTACATTTAATAAAAATTAAAATTTTTTTGTTAAATACTAAAGTTATAAACTAATAAATCTAATGGAGGATTTCAATATAATTAATATTTTTTTTGCATTTAATAAATATTAAGTTTTTTATTAAATAGTTTTTATTCTATAAAAACAAACTAATTGAGTTATAATAGAGTCATAGTTAATAAAAATTAGTTAAATATATAGTTATATTAATAAATAGAATTAAAATATTAATTTACTGAGTCATAGTTAATAAAAATTAGTTAAATATATAGTTATATTAATAAATAGAATTAAAATATTAATTTCAATTCACTAAAATTTATTTTATTAACATGAATATTCTTATACCTCATTTATTCTGAATATATGAAAATTTCAAAGAGAAAAATTAACAATTAACTAAATATATTAGTTAAATTATAATAAACTGCTTATAATAATTAATTGTGCTAATTAATATTTCAGTTTATTACTTGAAATTTTCAAAAAGAATGTATAATTTTACTTTTCATCGTTAAATCAAAATTATATAAACAAATTATTTAAATTAAAGCAATAAAAATATAAATTACAATAATTTTTCTTGAAAATTAAACTCAATTTAATTAAAAAATAGAAAACTATATGATCCGCTTATCACGTAAGTATATGACTAGCTAAGATATACTTTTTTGGCCTAAATGAATTTTAGAAAATTTTGTAAAATTTATTTTGAATTATTTGTTTTTATATTTGTTATGAAATTTAATTTTCACTTTATTATTCTCCTTAATTGAATTTTATGAAATTCGATAAAATAAAATCTTATCTGTTATAAGTTAATTTTATGTTTTCAAATGCATTTTTATATAGATGAGGATTATAGTTGATTTGCAAATTCTATTAAATTTGGTTTAGTTTAAGAATAGATAATTTCATGAAATTAGTGAATTTCTAAATGAATTTATATTCATATCAAACATAAATTTATGAACATGTAAATCAATTCCGTGAAAATTCAAAAATTAATTTTAGGGGAAAAAAAAATCATATACTATGAGCTTTAATAATTGTATTTTTAGAAAAAAATAAACAATATGATGAGATTTCTGTCCTGACCTTGTACCCAAACAACCACTAACTCCAAAGTAATCCGTTCCGATATTAAGTTTCCACATTCCGTCATCCAAACAAGCCCCATCAGCTGTCTGCAGAAACTCCATTTACATTTCAGTCTGCACCTTCAAAGCAACAAACAAAACTCTTTCTCTCTCTATGCATACAATTTTCAAGTAGAATCAGTGATATAGAAGATGTTCCCGCAATTCGGTGCCACAGCAGAGACACTGAGCAAGGCATCTACGATCGTGTTTCGTATAGGTACAGACGCTCACTTATATGACGATCCTGAGGACGTGAACATCGCTCCTTTGCTCGATAGCAAGTTCGACTCCGAGAAATGTGAAGCTCTTAAGCGCCTCCTCGCTCTAATCGCTCAAGGCTTTGACGTTTCCAATTTCTTCCCTCAGGTCCAAATATTTCATTCTCCTTCGTAAAATTGATAATTTTACAATGTTGAACTAGTTATTTGTTTTTAATTAGAATATGAAAGATCTTCAGGTTTTATAGATCGGATTTGAAAGAATTTAAAATGTTAAGCAATTAATGAAGTAATTGCAAACTGTTATGGTTTAAGTATTTGATTTTGATTCAATTGTAAGAGACTTAATAATTGCTTTGTACAAGTTAGTGCAATATGTTAGAGTGTGTTGGTGAAGCAATTAGGATTGAAATTGGTTCAAATTGCTTGCATTATCAATATTAAATAAGAATTCTTCATGAATTAATGGCATCTGATTTATTGTTACTTACTTTAATATCAATCCTTTTTCTTCCCTATGATTTAAGGGAATTACAGGTTGTGAAAAATGTGGCATCTCAGTCATTGGAAGTAAAGAAGCTGGTTTACTTGTACTTGCTGCATTATGCCGAAAAGTAAGTAATGAACATTAATTTACATGAAATAATTCCTTTGAAAGATCATGTTCATAGCTAGAGCTATTTGGCAATCATGGCATAAAAGAACTGCAAGTTGCAAATTTATATGGTAGTCTATGGGACTTATAGGATAGACAGAAATGTTAAGTGTCCTTTAATTCCACGTTGCATTAATCAAGAAGATGGCTGAATGCTTTTTGATAACTGGAAAATAAGATGGTAATAACTGAATTTAGTTTCTAGCAATCAAGGACAGAACCACTTTCTTTTTAATGGCAGTTCATGTTATTGCAAGGTCATTGTTATTTATAGCCTTGGCAAGGTTCTTTCTCTCCCACCTTTTTCGTGTGTGTGTGTGGGGGTGGTTGGTGTTTGACATACGAGTTTATGGTTTTGGCAATGTGCTTATTGAGTTAAAGGATTATGCTTCAGTTGCATTTGAGGATAGATGATAAACTTGTGCTTAAGTTGATTCTATCCTACCATGTGAGATATATGGTCCATTCTCTTATTTCTTATCTACTTCGTGCAATGTTCTTTCTAGGCGTCCAAATGAAGCTTTGCTGTCAATCAATTCCTTCCAGAAGGATTTGGGAGACACAAACCCATTGGTGAGGGCTTGGGCACTTCGTACCATGGCAGGAATCCGTCTACATGTAATTGCACCTCTTGTTTTGGTGGCTGTAGGCAAGTGTGCGAGAGATCCATCTGTTTATGTCAGAAAGTGTGCTGCTAATGCTCTTCCCAAGTTGCATGATTTGCATCTAGAGGAACATTCCTCAACAATTGAAGAGGTGTAGTCAATTACTTACAAAGTGTTGCATCGCATTTCTTCTTTGCTTGTTATCATTGGGGCCTTTATTGGACTAACTGAAAAACATTCATATTTGCTTATGTATTGTTTGCTGGTCAACTAGTTTTCCAAGTACCTATAGGATGTTGGAATGGCTATGCTGAGATGCTACCATTATGTCTATCTTTGGATAATCATATATCATAAAAAGTGAACATGGGTTTGGTCTATGGATTTATATTCTTCTGTTTTATGCAGATTGTTGGAATATTGTTAAGTGACCATTCCCCTGGAGTAGTTGGAGCTGCTGCTGCTGCATTTGCTTCTGTTTGTCCAAATAATTATAATTTGATTGGAAGAAACTATAGAAGGTTATGTGAGGTTCTTCCCGATGTGGAAGAATGGGGTCAGATAGTTCTAATTGGAATCCTTTCGCGCTATGCAATAGCAAGGCATGGTCTGGTAAAAGAATCTATAATGTTCTCTTTACATGGCAAGGAGACTTCTCAGTCTGAAAATGATGGTTTAGATGCTGAATTTCCATTAGAAAAAGACAGTAGTAGCGTGACTTGGAAATATGACTCTGAATTGGCAAGCATGGTCTCCAGGTGTTATATTGAAGGACCTGATGAATACTTATCGCGGTCAAATTATGCCAACAAGATTTCTTCTGAATTTAGTGGTGCAAAATTTACATCTGGCAAAAGTAATGATGATGTGAAGGTCCTGCTCCAGTGTACTTTGCCATTGCTATGGAGTAACAATAGCGCAGTTGTACTAGCAGCAGCTGGTGTCCACTGGATTATGGCTCCATGTGAGGATGTCAGAAGAATTGTTAAACCACTTCTGTTTTTGCTGAGATCTTCTAATTCTTCTAGATATGTGGTGTGTAGCATTTCCTTCAATGTATTTTACCTCCTTTGAATGTGTGGAGACCTGTGTGCGTGTGTGTGTGTGTGTATTGTAATATAAAAGTACTATTACAAGAATTTCCTTTATAATCATTTCAAGAAACCAACGAATGTGGGTTGTAGTAGTGAAAAGGGGCTATGGTTGCTAAAGCCTTATATACAATGTGTGAAAATTAGGTAATTAGTAAAACCAGAAGGAGTGGAACTTCGAAAAAGGAAAATGAGATTCATTAGAAAGGTACAATTTTAGACTCTATACTATTGGTTCTGGGAAAATATTGAATGTTTAGGTGAATTATTCTGAACTTCGATTGGAACCTAATAAAATATGTAAGATCTTTTGTCCATTGGGTTATTGCCCAACTGGAATCGTAGAGAATATGGGTATTTGGATATTTCTTCATTCAGTAATTTGTCTGGCCACTGTATCATTTGTCTACCTAAATCACATCTTTGCTTAAAATATGTTGATCATCTTTATTTGCAATGTCTTTAATTTTCTAGTCTCAGTTCAGTTAGGGAGCTGCTTAATGGTGTGATACCTTGTTTCTTATTATACATGTAGGATAATGTGGATAATGCAGTGCAATTTAAAAGTTTGCTTGGTATCGGTAGTTCATAATGTTGGATTGTTATTTTTTGATTCTACAGCATTTGAAATGTGTATCTGAGTTATGAATGTTACCCAATTCAGATTTGGATTTTTGTTAAAATGTTCACTAAAAATTTCAGTTTTACTTGGTAATGCAGTGAAGCTTATATGTATTGATCTACCTGTCCAGGTCCTTTGCAACATTCAAGTGTTTGCTAAAGCAATGCCTTTCCTCTTTTCTCCGTACTTTGAAGATTTTTTCATTATTTCTTCAGATTCTTATCAAATAAAAGCTTTGAAGCTTGAGATTCTCTGTTCTATTACCACAGAATCATCTATTTCATCTATCTTCAAAGAGTTTCAGGTATTCTCTCTGCCCTTTGTTTGTCTGAAGTTAGGTGCCATTTAGGAAGTTTGACATTATTACTTTTCACTATAGATATATTGGAAAGATAATAATCCATTTTTTGTTGGTTATCTTTATCAAAACGGGGAAAAAAAAAATCAAAGACTTCCAAAAATTGCTTATCTTTATTAAGTGGATGCTTATTTTTAACTTATTTCTAGGATTATATCAGAGATCCAGACAGGAGATTTGCTGCTGATACTGTTGCTGCAATCGGTTCATGTGCTCAAAGACTTCCCAAAATTGCCAATACATGCTTGGAAGGGCTGTTGGCTGTAATTAGAAAGGGTATAGTTTCAGTTACCTGACTGAACTTTAAGCAAATGGGAGAATCTATTGTTTTCTGAAGTAACAGGACCTTTTGCAGAATTTCTTAACAGTGATTCAGGATTTATTGGTGGAGAAGGGGGCGTGTTAGTTCAAGCAATAACATCAATTAGATCAATTATAAAACAAGATCCTCCTTGTTATGAAAAGGTATAATCCTGTTTTATTAGTCTATGATTCTTTAAGGTAAATACTTGTTGCAGAAAAGGATGTCTTGCTAGGCTCTATTTGAGCTGGTATGTTATATGTATTAAGCTTAATTTGTTCCATAATTGTGCATCATTATGTCATTTAAGGCAAATTTAGATTTTTGAGGATAATGGGGTTTTCTTTGATCCTTCGGAGTTGCTTGTTCATGTAAAATAGAGAGGTTTTGTTGAAGTCCTTTGAAACTGCATTTCCTTCACTTTGTTTGGAACTGATTATGTAAGAAAATTTAATTTAATTTATAATGGAATTCTTATGTTTGGAATAAATCAATAACAAACTAAAACTATCTAGTTTCCTATATTATCGTTATTTTGAGCATGCTAGTTGGATGGGGTGGGGTATTGTTGTAATATGAATGTGGACCCCACCCCACCCCCCAATCCCAACCAAAAAAAAAGTAAATAAATAAAAAAAAAACTCTTTTGCCAAATGAATTAAAGTTACCCCTTGTGGTCTGATTTCTGTTACTCCCAAGCTGGCACCTTTTTTTTTTTAACTCAAATGAACTGAATTCTAGTAGTTATCTGCTTCCCAAAAATGAGATACTGGCCCAAGTAGAATTCAATTATGTAGAATTCCGGCATTAATAGTGTCTCCAAACACAGAATTTTTGACAAAATTGTGGAGTATTTAGATGAAAGGAATGCCCGTGTTCTTATCTTAGGGCTCAGCTCAGGTCTTGTTCTTTAAGTGGTTTTCTTGGCTTCTTGTGGTCTTCTGCTTTGACAGCTTTTAGTTTAGATGAGCGCCTTTAGAATTAATCCTATAGAAGAAAGCCTCTATTGTTTTATATTTTTCTTATCTGTTTTATCCAATTTAAATCTAAAAATTATTCAGAACAAATAGTTGAGGCTGAAAATAGAGTATATGAGAAAGGCATCAGACATGCTTTATGTATGTTTTGTACATAATTCTATACTTGTTAATTTTACTTCACAATAAGTTCTGGGTATGGTTATTGTTTATTGCTATGTTGTATATAAATTCTCAATTTTCATGATTTTTATAGCTTCTATTTGAATATTAATATTTAAATTGTGTTAAAAGTTGTTGCTATTTTGAAGAATTAGTTAGAGTCATCGTAGTCTAGTCCTAAGATATCATCCCTTCCAATGGGAGCAAGTGAAGGAAGCAGTTTGTTCTAATGCTTTGGAATCGAGCACTCTATGACAAATATGGACGAAAATGATGATGGCACGTTTCGTTGGTGAAAATTACCATGAATAAGTGATTGTCATCCATTTAGTTACCAAAAGTGGAAAACTTGCCATAGTACTAGTCCTTTTAATTAGATGTTTTTCTTTGGCATCTGATGTCTTTTTCTGGCTTCTTTTTATTTTCTTAAGGTTGTAATTCAGTTGGTTCGTAGTTTGGATTCAATCAAGGTGCCTGCAGCCCGTGCAATAATAATCTGGATGATGGGAGAGTATAGCAATTTAGGGGATATATTACCAAGAATGTTAAGCACTGTACTTGAGTATCTTGCATGGAGCTTTTCTTCAGAAGCATTGGAAACAAAGCTTCAGATTCTCAACACTATTCTTAAGGTACAAGAAAGAAATTTTTCTGGTACTTTTCTCCACTCTGCCATGGATATGTAGTCATAATGCACAAGTAACATCACTGTCCCATGTGTTTATGATGAGCTGTGGACAATAGTGTATGAACTGGAAAAATCTGGACGCGAGTTTTTTTCTTCACTATCCTTTCTTTCACTTTCTGTACTTCTTGGAATATTACTGGGACATAATTAGTTTTGCCTGTCTGATTTTGATGCTATAGAAAAAAAAAATGTGCTTTTTATTTTTCAAGTGGCTTTTATGCACAGGTGCTGTCAAGTGCAAAAAAGGAAGAACTTTGGACTTTTAGAAAAGTAGGAAGCTATGTGCTTGAATTGGCAGAGTTTGATTTGAACTATGATGTCCGTGACAGAGCTCGCCTTATCAAGAAACTTCTTTCATCAAAATTAGATTCTCAAGAAATTCGGGATGATATGAATTGTTCACCTCAAAGGGAGGATCTGCCCCATGTGCTTGCCGAATGCCTGTACCGAGGACAAACAAAAGAATCATCTTTGGAACCTATTAATTATCGAATATACCTTCCTGGATCTCTCTCACAAATAGTCCTCCATGCAGCTCCAGGATATGAACCTCTCCCAAAACCTTGTACTTTGCTTCATGATGAGCTTACCCAGCTATCAGGCACTAATCATGAGAAAGACATGTTAGGGGAAGGGACAGATGGTTCTGACACAATATCTGGATCATCAGACGAGGAAACTCTTTCAGATTATAGTGTAGAACATTCTATTACTGATTCAGGTGGTGATGGCGGCAGCGATGATGTTGGTTCTGCTAGTGAGAGTGGAGATGATGTTGATCCACTGATTCAGGTATCAGATGTTGGGGATGCTCACTTAAATCAGAATGAAGTTCCTCTGTCTGCCTCAACTGATTTGGAAGAACTGGTGTCAAAGAGAGCTCTTGAATCATGGCTGGATGAGCAGCCTGACTTGTCAAACCCAAGTACATCTGAACGAAGTCAAGTCTGTAGATCATCAGCAAGAATTTCCATGAGGGATATTGGAAGTCAAGTTAAACCTAAACGCTATTCACTTTTAGATCCTGCGAACGGAAATGGTTTGAAGGTTGATTATTCATTCTCATCTGAAATTTCAAGCATATCTCCTGTACTTGTGTGCCTTGATGTTTCCTTTGAGAACTGTTCCACTGAAACTATTTCAGAAGTAAAGTTGGTGGATGAGGAATCTAACAAAGCTTCAGATTCTACTGAAAGGTGACTTTTCCTGTTGCTGTCTGTGAAAGTTTCTTTGGCTTTGTCCTTGGTTCAATGATCTAGGTTTTCACTTGTGAGGCTTGTATACATGCTGGTGAAGATGTTGACCACCAATTCTGACATACCTGAAAAAAACCCACCATGCATTTTCTTTTACGTATATATATTTTTGGGATCCTATCATTCCAAACCTCTAATGCACACGTGCACACTGCAGCACCTGACCTTAATCTTTAATTTCAAGGTACATTAGTAGTTCATGTGAGAAAATCCAATCTTTTCATTACTTATGGGTCGCTGCACATTAGTACGTCAACCAGGTGTAATTTGTTTAGAAAGCAGAAGTTATCCGCTTTTTCATTGGTGTTACTTTAATTTTTCCTATTCTAAGTCACATGATTCAGTTTCAGGTGAACTTGTATTTTTACTTGCCATTCCTATTCTCTTGCCTGATTGTAGTATATATTCGCCTCCCCATAGGCATGGCCTATGTTCTATTTATGGCCCAAGCCTATCATGGTGAGTAAAACCTATTTGCTATTATTAATCTTCCTTTAGGCATTTGAATAGTAGGAAAATTACCTATTCATAATTATCAATCTTCCTTTAGGCTTTCTACTTTAGGAATATTAAGTAAAAAACTTTCATGTTTTGGTAGGGTTTTTTCTGTATAAGACTGCAGTCTCTACAATTCTATTGAGTTTTGGCTGAGTTAAGATACTTTGGGAGTGAAAACATAGAGTTCTACATCATTACCTTTTTGTGAATGTCCGGAAATTACTGTTAAATTGCTGGATGGAGTATTCTTTTGTTATTTGATTTTTATAAATGCTTAGTGCCTGTTTGGACAAGTGGCTGGAACTGGTTTTTGGCATTTGGGATCTGAACTCCTAATTAGGGGTTTTCAGTAAATTCAGCCTTTCGAGTCGTGTTTCAAAGTTTAATGTTTAGCAATTCAAAATTATAATTGAAACGCTGAAAGCTGATATCTCTAGTAGTTAGCTAGTGGTTTTCCAATGGCTAGCCATTAGCTGCCAACTCCTACCCGCTAGCCATTAACTGCCAACGGCTAGCCACAAAGGCTGAACCAAACAGGCCCTTAGTAGTTTCATAGTTTTCAACTGTGGTTCATACTTGGGTGGCCTTTCATGATCTCCTTGATCTTTACCTGACTATGCAAAGTCTATCACGAAAAAGAGGAAAATAGGTGACCTGGCAATGTTCTTTTGACTATAGGAATATCGTCTCTTGGCTTTAATTACTAATTTTAGCCACTTGCTTTTATCTTGATACTGCAGCTCCTTGCCTTCTCATAACAACATACCAATTTTGGTTCCTATGGAAGAGATTACTTCTCTAGAGCCTGGTAAGATGATGAAGAGGATTCTCCATGTTCATTTCCATCATCATCTATTGCCTTTGAAGCTGGCACTATATTGTAATGGCAAGAAACTTCCTGTCAAGTTGCGACCTGACATCGGATATTTTGTAAAACCACTTCCAATGAACATTGAAGCCTTCACAGATAAGGAGTCTCGTCTCCCTGGAATGTTCGAGTACAAGAGGAGGTAGTTACTTCATAATATAGTGAAAAGAAAATCTTTCTGTTTCTTTTTAGTTGATCCTGTTATCAATTGGTAATTGATATGTTAATTCTTAGTATGTCAAGGCATCTTAGGGACTGAATATAAGCCATTCAAGACATTGCATGGGTGGCATAGTGGTGTCTTCAGAGTACTTTTTTTGGTTCTCCCTAATAGTAAAAGTTTGTAATTATTCTAGCTGCAAATTGAGAAGAGTTTTTCAAAAATGTCAAAACAATTTCTTATCTTTGCCTTGAACCATTGGAAATAGACATTTGGCCTCAAATCCAATGCAATCTAGTTATGTGCTGTTTTCTTTATAACCTAAGTAAATCTCTTTCTGTTAGGAACGTAAAAGGTATTAGTCTGCCTTTAAAAAAAAGTGTTTCTAATGAATTGTATGCTATCATTGGAATTAGTCTGCCTTTGGCTATCATCAGAAATAGTCTGCCTTTGTAAAAGGGGTTTGTGATGAATTGTATTTTTATGCTATCATTGGGATTCATTCGAGTTTAGGAGGCTTCATTACCTCAAAATTTGGAATTGCCTTTTCGTGAAATAGCGTAGTGACTGAATTGACTGCAACAATATGAAACAAACACAAATCCATGTGTATGATAAACCTCATCAACACTGATAAATCAAGTGGTGAATCCCATATAATATTGCAATATAGGTCCTGTGCCAGTAACAGTTTATCGATTTGGTTACTCAAAACACATGCTTACATGGTCAAGAAAGGAAATCAGATTCTTTATCACCTGGAAATTTTCAATTGAATGATTGTGGATTTAATATATGTATGTAATGTGTGTAAATATATATATATATATATATATATTTCCAAAAAGCATGCTTACTGGTTCAAAGAAAGAAATCAGCATTCTTATATCACCTCGGCAAAATTTCAATTGACCTGAATTGGGATTATTATGTATGTAATGTGTGTACAATATTAATATATACTAATATATATAATTTTTTTTTTTTCTTCTCCCTTATATGTCTTCTTCTTGGTCTATTGTTCCTGGATTCGTATATTGAATGTTCTGAATATTATTTTTTTTTTTTTTTTCTTTTGATCCTTTTGTCTTCTTTTTCTTTTTGGATCTATATTTGATGTTCTGAAATATTTGTTTTGTCTGCTGCATTTTTGTTGGGAACCAAGTTGCACCTTTACTGACCACATTGAGGAGCTGAACAAGGACAGCAGTGACATGTTAATGAGAGATAAATTTCTCTTAGTCTGTGAGAGCCTAGCCAGAAAGATGCTTAGCAATGCTAATCTTTTCCTTGTATCTGTTGACATGCCAATTGCTGCCAATCTGGACGATGCCTCTGGTTTATGCCTACGGTTCAGCAGTGAAATTCTGAGCAACTCAATGCCCTGCTTAATTACCATTACTGCTGAAGGTAAATGCACTGAACCATTGAACGTGTCTATAAAAATCAACTGTGAGGAAACTGTATTTGGCTTAAATCTATTGAATAGGATTGTGAATTTCCTTAGTTGAGCCCCCTTTTTGCCTGCTTGTATTTGTCGATTCTGTTTAAAGCCATATATTGTTGATAATTTAGTTCAGGGAAAAGAGAGAGAAAAAAATAGTGAATCATCAGAGAATGTCTTCGGTACCATTGTGCAAAACTGTAATTACGTTTTGTCAGTTCTTGCAGTTGTTTTGAAATAGATTTGATATCTGTTGAAACACCTTTATCGTACAGAACTATTTAGTTTCAAGATCATGCAATAACTTGAAGTTTTGTGGAGCATTCACTCTATTGAGATTTTTCTTTTCTTATTGTTTGTTTTTTTCCACATTGCTGGTGCTCTTAAACTTCTTTTGTTTATCATTGAATGTTGATGTTTTTCAATGGAAGAAGAATGCTTTCTTTTGGTTACATGAAGCTTATAAATTCTAAATTTTTCTTAGTTTTCCCAGTGGAAGTGGAATTTGCAAATTTAATTGCATTATTATTGCTAGTGGGGCATTTGCTGCAAATGGGGAAAATCGTAATGATTGTTATGCTAAGGAAGTTTGTGATTTGAATTGATAAACATTAGAATGATTGTGTAGGACAACTACAAGGTACCCCCAAATTTACGGTTCCTTCAGTCATTAGGCCTATCGTGTATGTAGAAATGGTGTCTTTATACCAGTTGATCTGTTTGCTGGTTCATTTTACATCACTTGGGTTGTATTACAATTTGGTTGAATTCTTGTGTGGATCAATGGAAGAATACTCAAACCTTTCTCTCCAAATGGAAGACAAAAATTCTTAGAATTTGCATCATTAGAGAGTTGAACTTAGTATGCAAACAATGACTTGGGGTCATGGTTAATAGTCATAAAAATTGATGAGCTAATTAACACTCAAGCCTTGCAGGCTTTATAGGTTAAATTTTGAGAAACTTGGTGCTTCTATTATATGTGGAGGCATAAGCTGAGGTAGAAGTTTTTCTTTTTCATCAGTTACTTTTCTTCTCACAAGGGCAGTAAGTAGCGGAACTCAGATTCATAAGGCTGAATTTCTATCATTTTTGTTGAAGTAGATTTTGTTTCTCCATTTAGGCACTCCATCATCAATCTTTTCAATGACCCAGAGCGTGGCAATTGGCTATAAATCCATTCTAGTAGTGATTCCATGCTGTCTGCAAAATCTTGCATGTGCCATTGCAGAAGCTTGGGAACCACAATCTTTCTCTTGCTTGTAACCCCAACTGAAGCTTCCAGATACTCGACTTTTGCTCTCCCCAATTCATTTACCACTTCTTCTGGGGTATAGACCCTTAGCTGCATAGATCAGCTCGTGTTTATTAAACATGCTGAACATTTATACTCATGATCTACGAAGAAATGGATTCAGAAGCATTAGAAATTTTATATACTCACTGCTGGGGAAGACCATGTGCCCCGGCAAAGAGCAAAAGTCACATTGGGTTCTGGATACCCAAGACCATAAGCATGCCGTAATAGCATTTCCTTCTCATCTGGAGGAGCACCCTTGGAGATTAAAACATCAACTTATCAAGCTATTATATTAACAGAAGCACCTGAAAGTATGACTTAGCCTAACATTTGACACATGATGCTGTTCTGAGTGAGACTTTTCCTTCAGAATTCTGTGAGATTTTTTGATTTGTGTTCTATTATCAGCCATATTTGAGATGGCTTGGAAGAGACATGAATTAAGAAAATTTTGAATTAGCATATAGGTATCTATTTGACTTACATGTTTTGTTTCACATGGATGCCGGAGAATAAAATGCTCGATGGCCAAAGCATTCAGCACTATTCCGCCCACATTCAGTGCAGCCTGGTAAAATAATCTCACTTCATTATTGATGGTAAATTACTATTTCAATTGGATATTTGTGGATTCTAAATCTTTGGGTTATCCATCTTGCTTGAGGTTTCTTGTATGACTTCTTCATAAATATTCCCAGTTTAGGATGATCATGTTTGAGACACTGACATACCTTGTTCATGATTGCCAGCAATTTCTCCTGTGATGAAGGCAGTCCGTGTTCTAGAAATGCCTGAAAATTCAGGAAAAATACAAGTGGGATTGATATTATTAGACATTTGATTTAGGCCAAATATTTAAAAAATACCCCTGAACTAACTAGGAAAGCTTATTGAATCACTTAACTTCTAATTTTGATCTGTTACGCTCTTATATTTTATTTTTAACCTAATGCATCCTTAACTATTTTTATCTTTGTAACTGAAAGGCACCATTTGCAGACTCATCAATGGATAATATGATAAATATGTTTTATCTCTTTATTTTACGTATACATGATTATTTACTCTTTATCCATTGATGACTCAACAAATGGTGCTTATACTTTACAAAATGGAAAATTTAGAGGGTCCAATTGGTCAAAAACAAGAGTTTAAGGGTGCAATAGGTAAAAAATAAAAAGTCAAACGTGAGATGGACTTTTCCAAACATGTACTCAGTCTTTGATTTATGCGGTCATTTATTCTATATGAAGTAGCTCAAGAGGTCTTACTGTACATGCATTATGCAGGCATTGTAGATATTGATCCAAAATGCTAGCTTCTGCTTGTAGGTCAAGAATGTCAAGTCTACATTACCTAGTTTATGAATTAAAACCCTGAAAGAAGTAGCAGAAAAGAAATATCTATAAAAACTCAGCTGATATCTGTTCAAAAAATCACCACATTCTTTTGAAACCTGAAAGAAACCTCATTTTTCTGGCCAATGGTAAGCATTCCAAAAACCGACTGACATCTAATGTGCTTCTTGCAATCTGAATGAAGTTCTTATATGGTCCAATATCTCTGATAACGCTGTCTAAATCTGGCATAATGCAATAGGGATCAAGATTCGATGTATTGTGATTGAAAGCAAATACCGACGCTTTACAACTGAATGAGGTTTTTGAGCCTTTTGGATTGATGCAGGAGAGACTAAGCTTTGGAACAATAGCTAATCCTTCTGTACTCTGTGGTGCTTGATTTACGTCAAGAAATATGCCTATTAGACATCTGATTAGTTCTTCTGAAAGCGAGTTTGGTTTCTCGTCGCATATTTCTTGATACACATAATGCTCCTTTTGCATTCTTCCTCTTGATATTTCATCACCTGATGCATAAAAAAACCAACAGAAAAGTTATAATTAGTTGCTGTGTAGCCATAAGAAAGAAACTTCTACACTATATGACACTAGCTGCGATAATTTAAATTTCTCATTACATGAATGTTTGTAGCTCTGAGTCGATATTAATTTAGGCCCTGAAGATTATAATAATCCTGGAATTTTCTTATTTTTAGGTAGTTTGATACTAGTTAGACTGCTTTATTTTTGTTTCCTGTTTCTTGGTTGTCATTATCTCATTGATGCTCGTACATGGTGTTCCTCGAATGAGACCATTATTTGAATGAAACGGAGTATTTTCTCCTAATTATATATATCTACTCTGGTTTTATAATTTTTATTTATTTTTGTATCAATGAAAAATTCTTGTGAAAAAGGCTAGAAAATCAGAAAAATCCATGAATTTTCAAAAAATTAGAATTACATAACAAATCAAATAAATTTCAGAAGTATCTACAGCTGGTGTTGATGTCATATTCACAGACAATAATCTTTTGATGGAGAAAATGAAAGCTTACTAGTGGAAAACAAATATGACATTTCTTCTGCAGAACCTACAGAAGATCTTTTGAATTTCATTTTATCTTTTATGTACTCTTCAAAATGTTGCGATCTGCATAGCTGAGAGGACTCATCATCAAGCACCAAAGATGGATTTCCTGGTCTGCATGGTGGTAGCTGCCTTAGCTTCCTCCGCTGCTTCCTTTGTAATTTCCATTTCTCTGTTAGTTTCCTCTCCTGGTACAAGCTCAGTTTTAGCTCATCAACTCTTCTCTCTAGCCATATAATCTCTTCCTCCACCATTGCCAGTTCTGCAAGAAGTCCTTGAACCTGCACATGTATATTTACCTCTGTATAAGATCAATTTCATGCAAAAACTACTGCTTCTATTTATTTAGTGTCCGTTTGGCAAAATTAGTTATTTTGGTAAAAATTAGTTGTTTTGGTAAAAATTAATTGTTTTTAGTAGCATTTAATTGTTTGAGAAGTTTTTCATTAAAAGCTAAATATTACAGGAGAACTAAAGTTTTTTAAAATGTTACTGCTAGTTAATATTTTGACCAAAAATTATTTGTTTGCGAAATTTATTTAAAAAGATGTTTGCGAAAAGTATTTGTTTTATCAAAGTTTTTTCAATTGCTTTGCAAAATTGTAATTTGACAGGCTTTCCAAATGGACATTCAGGGCTTGTTCGATTGGCTGGCCGTTAGTGGGGAGAAATTAGCTGTTAAAGGCCAGTAGCTAGTGGTTAGAGGGTGAAGTTTTAATAACTAGAAAGAAATATTAGCTTTCAACATTCCAATTATAATTTTAAATGGTGAATCACTGGATTTCGGAACGTGGTTACATGTACTAAATTTATTAAATACTTCTAACTATGCTTCAGAATCTAAATGCAAACGCTGATTTCCATTTGCCTATATCCAAACGGACCTCCAGTCTATTCAATAACAAATTTGAAATTTATTTTTCTGAAAAACACTATTTGACATCTAAATACTTAAAATGTTAGGAAAAAACAGTTCGAAGATACTAATATTTATTTGTTCTGGAACTGTTATATCAGAATTGAGTCTGATTTCATTGTAAAGACAAGTTTTTAATGGCATTATTGAACTTTTTGTTTTGTACATTATTCACAGTAATTTAAATTACTCAAAACAAATACTCACCAAAAAAAAAAAAAAAAAAAAAATACATTATTTCACAGTAATTTATTACTCAAAACAAAATACTCACCAAAAAAAAAAAAAAAAAAAAACTCAAAACAAAGTCTTAATAACTCTACTTGAGTGTGGAAAGCAAAGAGGGCCTAGACATGGATCGTGCTAAAAAAAAAAAAAAAAAAAAAAACTCAAACAAAGTCTTAATAACTCTTACTTGAGGTGGAAGCAAAGAGGCTAGACATGGATGTGCTGAGGCAGGACCATGAAGTGCACAGTGTAACACCTTGTTTCTTGCTTCTTCTTCTTCTAACTCTACTCGCAAATTCTCAACCTGCAAAATTTTCCAAGAAAAGCCTCACTATCAAATATATATTACCTTCAACAGCATAAATTCTGCTTGATGTTTTTCAGTTTTCACCTCCTTTTCAAGATCGAGTCTTTTCTGCTTATCATCACTTTGCTGCATCAGGTAGTCTTCAAATTTCATATTTCAAGAAATGAAAAATGGAGGGGGAGAAAAGAATCAAACATTTAAGAAAATGGACAGGCAGAGGGTCCTAATAAAAGAGAGAGAAAGAGAGTCGTGGGTGCCATTAAGGGTTTAGTTAGAATGAATGAAAAGAACCGCGAGAGTGAGAATGTGCGGTGGAAAGAATCTTTTGGAATGTGATTTGTGGCGGTGAGGGTGATGGGTTTGGCTACTATTCGTGAAGGACATGGCTATCTCATGAACTTACAACGTGTAAAAATAAGAAAAATTAAATTCAAACAAATTTAAGGAGAGGGTGATGAACGTGACGCCCTTGAACAGTTCGAAATTTTCCTCAAAAAATTTTTTGAACAAAAGGGTAGACAAAACCCAAACCCTTCGGTTTGGTTTCTTTGTCACGGATAATAGAAAAATAAATCAAAAGAGTAGACCGAGAGTAGGAAAGTAGATCAAAAGAATAGACCAAATACAGACCATTTGGTTTGGTTTTAGCATAGATCAAATGAACCAAAATCTAATAATGTAAAATCGCGCCGTCTGTGGGAATCGAACCCACGACCACATGGTTAAAAGCCATGCGCTCTACCGGCTGAGCTAAGACGGCTGTGATGACAGCTAACCAAAGATATACAAATTTATCTTCTTATTCAATTCCGATTCAGTTATGATGAAGTAAAGCGTATTCCAATCTATAATCTAACAGAAACCACGTGTAAAAAAATATATAATACTTTTCAGGTTAAAATATTAAAATCCATGTGTAAAAAGGTTTTCCTCATAAAATTAGGATTAAAAAATCCTTAAACCTACAAGAATTAGGATCTTCCAAAACTAGTAATATAAATTCCTTAATTTAGAAATCTTTTAGTATATCTTCAAATATATCATCTTTTTATTTAGCCATGTCTAAGCCTGAAAGCCAAAAGAAGAAGGCAATCAAGAAATCTTATACGAGTAATATTATAATCAAGAAACGAACAACTAAACCTAAGACAATTGATTATTTATCTTTGGATTCTCAAGTTAGAGAAACCAAACCCCAGTGGAGCAATAAGAAAAGAAGGAGCTCTAAATATACTATCAGCATACGAAAATCAACTTCTTCTTCTTCCTCAACTTTTTCAAGCAATCGTTTGCCATGTCTTTCTGAGATTGTCATTCCAGACCCTATTCCTGATTTTGATACTATTGTTTGGGATGAAGATTTTGTTTTCAATTTTTTTGATAATGTACCAGAATTTGATCATCTTTAGAATTTTTTTTTTTTTCAATTTTTTCAATTTTGACATTGATTGAATCTATGTAAGTAACTTCTTTTTTAATTTTTTTTCACGAGAGAATCTAAACCATTTATAATAATAACATATAGGAATATCAATGAATTAATCCTTTTTTTTATTTATAGAAAAGAGTTAATCTCAATTACTTCATTGGGTCATTTTCTATGTATCAGCAAAATAAAGCAGAATTTGGAAATTTTTCATAAACAAATGAACAATACACTGTCAAATGGTACAGAATTAGAGAGAGCCTAAATGATATTCACAGTAAGAAAAAAAAATAACTTCTAACAATTTCTAATTGGCAAGAATACAAGTTTCATAGCAAATAGCAATCTTAAGAACTTCATCTTTTTACAAACTTGCAAGTGAACTAGAAATAGCTTTGCTTCCATCCGCCATATTCTTCTTCACCATTGTCGTCTTCCGCCTAATAAACCAAAAGACACGATTCAGAAATAGCAAAACTTAACATAATTATTCTAAAACCTTCCATATTAATTTTTTTGCATTTCATATTTCTTTAAAAAAAAAAATCACAGCATTCTTGATTATTTCCATATAAACGAACGAGTTCAAGAGTCAAACTTCGCTTTCTATTTTGTGTAGTCAAAAATTATATGAAAAGTAAATTTATTTATCGATTGAACTAATTCTTAGAGTTTACATTTAGAACGTTAATAATTTAAAGTATTTATAAAGTTTTTCGAGAGATTTTAAATTCAAATCTAGGTTGAATCGTGATTTACACAAAAGAAATAACTATTTAAAATATTTAATCAAATATGTATATGTACCTTGACAGTGAAAGTTAAACCAATTTGAATCTCTCCAGAATAAGATAGGTTAGTTTGAACGACGTTATACTTTTGAGGAACAAATTCAGCAGTTCCATTCTCCACTCCTAATTCCAATAAATCCTTCACATAAACCCTACATAACATACCAAAAAAAAAAAAAAAAAAAAAAAAACCAATTTGATCTCTCCAGCCAATCAGATAGCGTTCAGTTTGAACCGACCGTTATACTTTGCAGGAACAAATTCACGCAGTTCCATTTCTTCCCACCCTCAATTCCACATAAATCCTTCAACATAAACCCTACAAAACATCTCACCAAAAAAAAAAAAAAAACAAAAAAAACCCTTTCTATCAGTAATATTTAATTTAACCACCCAGTTAAAAACTTTGTCGCAATAGTCACTTTCCAAGTTTCACCATATATCATTCAAACTCTATACTAATTAAGGATTTTTGCACTGAATAAAAAAAAATATATATATATTATATATATATATATTTATGCTTAAAAAAAAAAAAGAAAACAGAAACATTATTCTTAACGTGGCTTCCAAGAAATAATCATCCTCTGGGAGAAAGTATCCTTGTCCATGACTTTTTAAAATGAGCGCTCTGTAGTCGTCAACCTACACCTGGATATATATATTTATGTTAAAAAAAAAAAAGAAAAAGAAAATTATCTTACGTGGCTTTCCCAAGATAATCATCTCTGGAGAAAGTATCCTTGTCCATGATTTTTAAAATGAGCTTGTAGTCGTCACCTACACCTGGATATTCCACTTTGAATCTCAGTTTCTCATTCCATACTGGACTCCCACCTGCACCTGCACCTTTGTAATTTTCAAATTCATAAGTTAATTATACATTAAATTTCTTTTTTTATTTTTTTAAAAAATTCCTCCATTTCAATCAAGAGTTAGTTCCAACGAATTAATCTTTTAATCAAGAATAAGCAAATAAAATTTTTTCCTTACAAAAATAAATAAAGAAGTACTAACCGCTGGCTACACTGCTTTCACGTTCTTGGCCTTTGTATTTTACTATAACATAAGGATCAATTTTACCTAAAATCATACAAAAAAAGAATTAATATTTTTAATCCACTAATTATCAAAAACCAAAATGGAAGTTCAAGTTCAAAATTCTCTAATTAAACATATGAACAAAGCAGAAAAAACAATGAAAGAAAAGCAGAAGATGAATATCATCAGATACCTAAAAAATCAGTGCCTTTTAGGCCCTTAGCTTTCACCAACTCAACTTCCAAAATCCCAATAGCCATCGATCTTTATCAATTATTTCCTTCTTTTTCTCTTATTCACTTTCTAATTCTGATTGCTTGGCTGAGGATTTGATCAACAGTAATAAGAAAGAAGAAGATGCTGCTTTGAAGAACAAGTGTGTTTGGATACACGAAAGGAGGACTAAAACGCGGTTTATATAGAAATCGAAACGACAAACCAAATGCATAATAGTCAAAATAAATAATTGAAGTGGTTTTTTTATAATTTTCTTTCATGTTGGGTAAAGGTTTCTTTTCTATTACAACGTACAAGACTTGGTCTTGTTCTGATAAAATTCTACTTGTTTGGAATTTGGGAAGAAACTTCATATGGGAAGTTAGTCAAAAGTGGGAAATGTCAAAATCTCCACCATAGAAAAAGAATTTTTTGGTAAAGGCCCCATTTTGTGAACCTTAAGACAAATGCAGAATTTCACAAGTGATTTGGAAAAATAAACTTTTAATATTGTAGATATAAGATCGAGTTTTACGTTGGTATATAAATTAGTATTTGAATTGATGAGTTCTATCTACACTTTCCTATATATATATATATATGAAGAAATACTTTTTCATGAGAAAATGTGAAAAATCTGAATTTCCATACAAAATAAGATATTTGAAAAAAAAAAAATGTAATATCCTTAATTATCTTATTTTCTTGTAAAAATTTTTTTGTTTCTCAAATATGATTAAGTTCCTATTTTTACACTTACATTTTAGAAATCTTTTTTTTAGAGGACAATAACTTTCCATGAGAATGTAAAATTGCGATAATCAAATACTTCCGTAATACTATGTAATGTAATATATTTCTAAAAAAATATATTTAAATTCATTATAATAATTTATCGATAATAAATCCAGATTTGAATCTCCTTTTCCCAATACTAAAAAAAAATTATCAAACAAAATATAAATGTTGTCTTTTCCACAACTTATAATAAAATAAGCCATTGAAATAACAATTAAATGATGTAAATTGACTTATTTTTTCTTAAAAAAAATTTCCGAGCTTAATCACAATAACTAAATGAGGATTAAGTAATTGAAAGTCATATGGGAATCAAGTTTAGGATAGTAGGTCCTCTCGACCAAAGAGTCAATGGCAATGCCATAAGATAGATTTATATATTATTTATTTTTCATGATTATTAAATTGATATAAGAATCCTATTATGATTTTTAATTTTTATTATATTTCAAATTACAATTTAATAATCTCAATAGAGTTTTGTCTTGTTGATCAAAACAATACTAATTCTCAATTCTAACTATTTTTTATAATGGAATTATATTAAAATTACTTCTTAGCCGCCATTATTTATTAAGATTTGTTGTTAATTAATAAATGCTAATAAGAGTTAGTACAATGTACCAAGTCAACACTGAACGCAGAAATGAAGAATTTTCTATTCTAGACTGGGTCGGGTCTACCACTTAATTGTTCAATTAAGGACGCTTTGACTGCTTGGTAAACCTAGTAATTTTGCGCATAGAAGGACTTTTTTTTTTTTTTTTTTTTTATTAAGACGCCTTTGGATGCTTGGCTTGTAACCTAGTAATTTTGCGCATAGAAAGGACTCTTTCTTTTTTTTTTTTTTTTCGTTGAACTCATCAAAACTTCTTGATTTCAAGCTGACAGAACATGAAAATTTTGAAAATTAGTTCCCTTTCTAATTCCAAAAAAATGCTAAGCGTTTCATTAGCTTTGTTATAGGATAATTATATTTTGATTTCAAATCTTAAAAATTAACGGGCGATAATGTTGTTTTGTGTCCTGAGTTGAACGGGGTTTTTTTTTCTTCTTTTCTTTTTTTTTTTGCTTTGGGTTTTTTTTTTTTTTTTTTTTTTTTGCTTTTATTTTGTGTCTGAACGGAAAATAGTAACAATCGAGTGCCTAGATTTATAATTTTTTTTTTTCAGTTTGGTGTTTCACGATGAAGTAGACAGTCGGATTGTACAACAGGAGGAAGTGAGAGCCCATTTTTGTCTACATGTCTACTTACATTATTTCACAATTAATCCATGTAAGCAATCCAATGTGATAGATAGGGTTAATTTACAATTATAATAACTGCTGATGTGGACTAATTGTGTTTAGACACATAGGCAAAAGTGAGCTCTGCTTTGTTCTAGTGTACAATTCGACTGTCCACTATATCAGAAAACACCAAATTGAAAAAAATTATAAATTTAGACACTTAATTGTGATTATTTTTCGTTCAGACACCAAAATAGAAAAAGAAAATGCAAATTCAGGCACCAAAAATAACATTATCCCTTTAATTCATGCTGTAACTGTTTTTCATAAATTAAAATAAAGAATTAGAAGGTAAATATCCACGTCATTTTCTTGTATGTTTAGACTACATTTGATACATGGAATGAGAAATTGAATAACGAATAGAATGAATACGCAACATAGAATAAGAATTTCAATCATGTTTCTTTGTTTGGTTATGAAATGGAGACTACAGTTAATTTTATTTATTTAATGAAAATATATGAAATCATATATGTATTTTTTAGTTGTAATTGAAAATGAAAACTTCGAGGAAAAAATTACAAACTTTTTGAATTACTAACGTTATATGGAAATTCAGAAAAAAAAATCTTTTTTTGACATGTAAAACTAAGGTGAATGTTGGAGTATTACAACTTCGAAATTAAGAGAATTAGATAAAATTGAAAAAGAGAACTGATGTGTAAAAATGTTCTTATTTTACTCTTTAATGTCTTCTAAGGGTTAAAAAAAAAAAAAGATTTCTACAGGAAAATATTTCAATTTTATTATTTGAACAATTATTAATTACTTTAACAAAAAAAGGAATAATAAGTCATTCAACCCCTCCTCCAAATCAAAAATAAAAAAATAAAAATAAAAAGAAAACAAATTAAGAGTTCAATGCAGGAATTCTTCCACGCCTTCTGACCTTATAAATCGCCTATCTAGGAAGCATACTAGTGAGGACAACAAAAAATATATATAGATATATATTCAAGAGCTCTGTTGATCCATTGACATTATAGTGCAAAATAGTAGTTGTCAAACCAGAATTCTCTTTGGCATGGATTAAGAGTTTGATAGTTAACAAACAAGCATTAGGGTTCAGAAACTTCTCAACACATTTGTATTCTAATACAAATCCACATGATTTACTTCCATGCCTCCATCACAATATCAAGTTCCCGATAGAAAATCATGTTACCACCTGCTGTATGGAAACTAGCAAACAAAATGACAGACATCCTCCTGGCATCTATCTGCTACGCCTGGGTGACAAGTCAGCAGATCTAGACCGAGATCCAGAAGGTGACCTTGATGCTCTACCAGGTGATTGCCTCCAAGCTCGTGCTTCCTCAGAATCATAGGCAGGTTTCCTACAATATATTTTACATATTTTTTCAGTTCCATTTATTATTACCAATTAGTAACATTAAAACAATGCATCCTTCTCAGAGGAAAGGCTGGTCTCCTGCCTCTCTTAGATTTGCAGGGTCTGGACAATTTCATGAATCTGTCCAATTTCATGTTTGCTTTTACGAATGAAACAATCACTCTTCAAGGCAACCCAATACGAACACATGATAATTACAAAACCTCGAAGCACTAGTTTCCACTTACTCGCCATAACCATTGCCATTTCCATTTAGATCATCTACACCATATCCAGGAGAATATGACCTGCGAATGTGGCCACCATCTCGATCTGGTGGAGGGCCTCCAGGAGACCTTAGATGCTCTGCATGCCTTCTACCTGGGGAAGCAGAGTAGTCTCTCCGTCTTGGGGCAGGAGAGTATGACCTGCAAAATTTTAAATGCACATTTATTCATCAACTTTGACAAGCACAGTGTTAAATTGCTACAGTGACAGCTTACCTTGAGCGGTATCGAGACCTAGAACTCATATGATGTCGAGGGGATCTTGATCGGGATAGTGAACGTGACCGAGAACGTCCTGAAGCATTATTGGATACAGAACAATGACCAATTCTGTTAGTAATAAGAGATGTTGACGATGGAAGAACAAGGGCATTCATACTAACATTCCAAGAAAGTAGCTGAGTATAAATTTACATCACATAAATCATCAGTACCCATTGCTACAACTATGAAGTCACCAATGATTCATCAAATTTAAATCATGGAAGAAAATCAATCATATTCCTTGAGAGGAGCAAAGCAGCAAGAACCATGTATGGAAAATAGAATCAGAAGAAGAATCAATATCTGCTTATTAAATTGAACAAAATTATACTACCTAACACTTTTTGACTTTTTTTGGTTCCACTTAGATGAGACTTTAAAAAAACCATACTATTAATTATTTTATTCTAATTTTACATTTATCCAGAAATCTCCACCAAACTTTGTCTTTTTTAATTATAAAGAATTAATTAAAGGGTAATTTAGTCAATTATCCTTATTTTTTCTAGAATTGACGTAATCCAATCATTTTCTTAATATTGTGAAAAGTCAAAAAGTATTAGAATTAACGGAAAGGCTAAGGTCAGCATCACTTGCACCAGCAGCTAAATGTGGCGGATCAAGGTGAGTCCTAGACAGCTTTGTACAGGAATATGAAAAATGAGGGCTAGGAGAGTATGAAAATATGCATCACCATTTAATGCAAAACAGGAAAACCTATATTGCAGACCAGGTGAAATGCATGTAAGGATGAAGCTCTGTACTCCACAAAAGAGCATCAACTGAGCTTTGACAATCAATAATAAAAAGGTTATAAGAAATTAAAACTTGAAATTAGCAATGCAAAGAGCAATCACATTCAATTTTGTGCAATAAAGCAGCAGCAGGAACAACAAAAATGAATTGAGGCTCTGAAGAACAAAAATCTTGACAAGTGACAGCATGTCATACCATAATAAGATGATCGTCCTCCATAGCTTGATGATGGTCCTCTGTGAAATATACAGAAAATCAGAGAATTCTAAAAGAAAATTAAGAATCATAAAATCATTTAGCCTCTGCATCAGGAGAAGTGATATTACCTAACCCTGGCTCTGTGGCGCATCTCTTCAGGCCTTTTCCTTGTTTCAGCAGCAACCACCACAGTTATTTCCCTCCCAGCAAAAATTTGTCCATTCATTCGATGCTGAGCTTCCATAGCATCATATGGATCCACGAACTGCACAAATGCAAACCCTCGAGGTTCCCTGAATATAATACATGAGAAAGCATCAATAAGAGAATGAATAGATGTGTAGGAGCCAACATTTTAGTGTCTGAGAATAGCAACTTACTAAAATTGGATTTTCTACTTTTTGCAATAATACAATTACCAGTGCACCTTTCTTTACACATCTAACAGTTTAGCTCCTGAGAACTTGCACGTATTTTGACACACAATTTACATAAGGCAGGCTTAGTGGCTGACCTTTTCTTTAACAGCCAAGTATGAAAGGCAACTTCAAAAGAGGGAAGTGACTTGAAAATTCTTCATATGCTTGTAAATATAAGACTTGCAATCAACAATTCCCAAACTTAAAACTCTCCACACCTCGTCTTCAATTGATCAAGAATCAATCTTCTACCTCAACAAACTTCTAGTGATTGTGTAACTATATAAATTTCTCTTCATAAAGGAACATTCTTCATTTCAACATTAGTCTTAACACCCTTGAGACCAATATGTTAAGGAACCATAAAGAGTAGGCCTTCATCAATTGTGGGGCTTGGTCTTGATTTTAACTTCAAACCAACATACCCCCTGACAAACCAGTTCAAAATTTAATTCACTACGGAAAAAAAAAAAGAATACCTTGACAAATAGTTTAGATTGAAACTCAGAAATTCTTTTCCCACCCAAAGTTTTATTGTCTATAAAAGTAGCTCCAACACATGCATGCATGTGCAAGCGCACAGACAGACACGCGAAAAAAAGGACCTCTTGCATTGAATTACAAGCTACCTTACACAAGATAAAAGAGGATACGTAAAATACACAGATCATACCACAGCAACATCACAACATGGTGAATTATATTCCCAAAAGAAAAAAAAAAAAGAATACCTTGACAAATAGTTTAGATTGAAACTCAGAAATTCTTTTCCCACCCAAAGTTTTATTGTCTATAAAAGTAGCTCCAACACATGCATGCATGTGCAAGCGCACAGACAGACACGCGAAAAAAAGGACCTCTTGCATTGAATTACAAGCTACCTTACACAAGATAAAAGAGGATACGTAAAATACACAGATCATACCACAGCAACATCACAACATGGTGAATTATATTCCCAAAAGAACAACTCACCCTGTGTAGTAGTCCTTTGGAATATACACGTCTCTTACAACTCCAAATCTCTCAAATGGAACTCGAAGTTCTTCTGGTCTATAAAAAGGAAAAATACACATCAATAGAAACTTTTAAAGTTTGCAAACCCATGAATTATAAATTCACCTACCACCATCCTCTCCAAGAAAAAGAAAGAAGAAACTCGTGAAATATAAATTCACCTGCAATCAAGAGGGATATTTCGAACCAGAAGGCTCCCATGATTCTGCTCCTTGCGCCTCCCATACCCACCACCACCACCACCACCACCACCACCATATCCTCTCCTTGGTGGGCTTCTTCCTCGACCTCCATATCCTCTCCTCGGAGGACTATAACAAGGGGGACTGTACCTCCTCATAATATTGCCTGTTGATAAAATTAAAGTATATCAATAATTCTTAACTGCAAATTGATAACTCTCGTAATTCAAATTTACATGATATTAAAGTGCAATTTGTTGAATTTTTAATTCAAATTAAATGAAAATAAAGCATAAATTTTGCACTTTGTTTATTAATCTGGGTGATAAAAATTCCCATGACCAATTCAATTAGGAAAGTCTCTATTGAGAAACAACACGGACAGAAAAGAAGCCAAAGGGTGACATTTACGACAATGCAGACCCTAATAACATAAGAAAAACAAAAATAAACTTTCCCTTCCAAAACCCACAAACCAACAAAAGAAGAACAATTAATGATGATTATTTAAAATTATCAGCAAGAGGTGTAAAAGAGATCAAAAGTTAAAATCCCACAACAATTCAATCTATTTACAAAAATCCAGTTTGAATTTCACGATGAAAAAAGAAAATCGAACACTAACCTAAAGATCGAAACTTAATCAAACAGAAAAAAAAAAATCAGAAAATACAATTTGGCTTCGATTTTTTCTCTCTCTCTTTTTTTTTTTTTTTTTTTTTTTTTGTGCGAGTATCAATCGAAAGGAAATTAGGGTTATTTTTTTTCATTCAATCTGATTTTTTTTTTTTTTTTTTTTTTTGCAGTATCAATCGAAAGGAAAATTAGGTTATTTCTTTTCATCAATCTATCATAAAAATAAGAAACAAAAATTATAATAATTGAAATTACCTGGGACAAAACCAGAGAGAAGATTATAAGAAGCGAAGCTTTCCCTTAGATCTGAAACCTTTTACCAGTATATAGAACTGTTATGTCCATGACTAAAGATTTGTCATTTTATAAAGCGGTCAAAGGTAGAGCCTTTCTAATTTCTATAAACCCTAGAAATTGGATTGTGATTACGAAGCGGGTTGACCCGATTTACGATGACGATGTCCAAAAATAATTGCCTTTTTGGGCTTTATCCGGCCCAAATCTAATCTAGATAAACTAGGTTTAGGGTCAATTTGAAAAACTGAGCAATATTATTTGTTCCACTTTTTTTTTCGAAAAGATATATTTGTTCCATTTGAATAATGTATATGTAGAAGTACTTTTTCTTAAGGATTATATTCTATAAATATATATTAAGAAAATTATATTTTCTCTATATATAAACAATTCCAATTATGAAAATATGAAATTAAGAAGTCTTAAATTTAGAATTCTATTGTTACATAATCCAACTTATGTAACTAAATATTTCATGATTTATCTATTTTAATAATGTCTCATGGAAATTAATTACCTACTTCCCCGGTGTGTGTGACCAGCATCAAGCCAATAAGTTTCTATTTCGTTTATTACTGTTTGATATAGTTGAATTAGCTATGATTGACTTGGTGTATGGATAATCACATGCACTAGATATAAATAAGTCTAATGCATTACCCATTATTTAATAATTCTTCAAATAGCTCACAGACACAAATGAGTCATGTAAGTATAGACACTCTCTTGAATATATAAAATTTATTTATAAACAGTAATTTTTGATTTAGTTATGCTAAATTCTACAAAATTGAATTCATTGGAATAAAATACACAATGTATTTACCAAATATGAAATCAGAATTCCTAAGAAATTCGACAAAATAGGAAAATTTATGTATATAGTACACTTGCATTACAAACATTGGGTTGGATAATCTTGTCTATATATCCTGCCTCAAAGATTCAAAAGAGCCGAATCTAACAGCAAGTTAGTTCCACGCAAAGTAGCCAATACTACTAACTGTCTCATCAAGATCCATTTTTCCTCCGTCAGAAAGTCCTCATTCTTCAGTCGTGCCACCGCTCGCTATCTAAATACCGTCTAGCATCACCAGTACCATGTCACTGCTTAATTTCAGCATCTGATGGGAAAAAAAGCTTTTGCTGCTAGGATATGAGTGGAAGCTCTAGATCATGTCATAATTAAGATTGCAGAAGAACCAACTAGCCTCATCATCAAACATCAAGCTTTTGGATGAAGAAGACTGGGTGAGCATGTGTATATAAAAATTGTGTGTAAAGGTAGTCAATCAGAAAGCCTGTGGCATCAACATAGGACTGCAATGTCTGTTTGTAATGGTAAGCTGTCAGAGTCGGCAAGTAAAGGACTTTTCTGGAACTCATTTCTTAGCTGACCACAAGCAGCACTTGCATCCAGGCCTCTTGTTTGACGAATGCTTACAGTTATTTTCCGGGATTCCAAAGCAGCTGTAAATGCTCTTACCTGCCGAATGCAAAAAAAAAAAAAAAAAAAAAAAAAAAAAAAAAAAAAAAAAAAAAAAAAAAAAAACAAAAAAAAAAAAACAAAAAGAAGAAACAAGGGAGCTAATTATAAAAGCATGAAGGAGTGGAATGGAAAAAAAAAAAAAAAAAAAAAAAAAAAAAAAAAAAAAAACAAAAAGAAAGAAACAAGGAGCTAATGATAAAGCATGAATGGAGTGGAATGGAATCTAATGGAAAGTTATCATTTATTGTTCTTATGCAAGTGATAAAAAGGAGACATGGTCATACCGCCTTTTTCTGTGGTCGCTGATAATCAGAGCCTTCAATTGGATTGAATGGTATCAGATTCACATGAGAACCACGTCCCCACTTCTGGAGTAGCTCAGCAAGTTCTATTGCATGCTCTGTGCTATCATTGACACCAGCTGCCCAGATATTACAAAGTTGATTTAAGGAAAGATGTCCTAACTCAGCTTTCTATAATAAAGGCTTAAGTTTGAAAACGGGTTGTGGGTGAAATTTTCTGTAAATTGAAACTATAGTACCTAAAAGTGCATACTCAAAGGAAACTCGTCGACTGGTTTCAAGAAAGTAGCCCCTGCAATCTTTCATAATTGCATCTAGGGGATATGCTTTTGCACTTGGCACAATTGTTTCCCTAAGTTTCTGGTTTGGAGCATGTAAACTGTCACACAAAAATTTCAACAAGCAGACAAATTTTGGTGTCAAGAGAATAATTAACATTAATGCCTCGAGATAATAACACAAATTAAGCTAAAACCAAGCTTCTAGAAATTTGCAGAAATAGGAAACCAATGTTCCCAAAGATAATAAGAGATTTATTCAACCGTACATCCCCCAAATTGAATTACCTAAGGGCCAATGTTGACTGAAGTTTATGAGAAGCAAGCTTTTTAATTGTGTTAGGGACTCCCACAGTGGAAATTGTGATCATTCTTTGCCCAATTTGCACATCCTGGAAAACATGAATAACCAAAAAGGTATGAGTTCTAGTCAGAACCTCCATACTGACATTTGTTGGGATATTTCCAATAACAAACAAGATGCTAGTTGTTTCAAAAGGGGGAAAAAAAGAGCATATGGAAAAAAAAGATAACATGATCCTGGTTGTTGGTAATACAATATAGCCTATTTTGGAAGCATGTGCCTCATAATTCCATAGCCCATAATAATAGATTCAACATAATTCTTTTATCTACCGATCTCTGTACAATGAACCTCAAGAGAATAATTCCAAGTAAATTAAATCTTAATTTTACAGGTTAACATATCAAAATTCCAACCATATTTATCAAGTAACTGTAGTATTATACCCTGAATTCTTTCATGGTTTGTGGAAGTAAAAGGCTAACCTCTTTTTTTTTTTTTGAGAACAAAAAGACATATATATAAAAGGAGGCAATAAGTAATAGATATTTAATATTCTAATCAATCATAGGAAAGCATGAAAGAGTAATTGCTGACGGAAATAATTGAAACTGCACCTTATTCAAGCACCTGTGTGCTTCAAGTACTGACTTCAAGTTTAACATTGGTTCACCCATTCCCATGAAGACAACATTTGTCACTCTATGGTTGAAGACATCCTCAATGGCCAACACCTGTGCATTTTAAAAAGTTTATAGGTAACGAATGACAGTCATTTTTTTCCCTTTTTGAGAGACTTAAAGTAATTAAAATCCTAATTTCACCATATCTCAATGGTGGGAAAAATATTGCAATCTAACGGTACTACCCAATCATGTATTATTATGAACAAATATGGAACAGAATAAAAATACAGACCTGCTCAACAATTTCATGCCTTTTAAGATTTCTTGAATACCCGCCTTTTCCAGTGGCACAGAATGAGCAGCGTAATGGACAACCTACCTAAAAAATCAAAGTAAAATTTAAAAGACAAGAAATTTATTGTGTTCTCATAACAATATTATGGGCACAGAAATAAAGGGAAAAGTAATCCTAAATTTGCAAAATCACCTGAGATGACACGCAAGCAGTAAGGCGCATTGAACCTTTCTCATCTTCAACTGGTATGCCAACAGTTTCAATCAATCTGTTGTCCTCCAATTTTATCAGCAACTAAAAGTGGTCATGAACAATGGCAAGCTAAAATATGTAAGTAAAAACATAATTGTAAATCACAGTTAAGTATATGCAACTTCTCTTATACAGAATTATAAGGTCAAAGGTGTGAAATTGAAGTGAAAGTGGATAAGGATATGTGTTTCAACTAAAAATCAAACAACAATCAATTAAGATACCCCTACTTTTCAGATTCTTGTCTATCAAATGGACTCAAACAGTATTGAATTAAGAAAGAAAGACCAAAATTGTTCACATGATAAATCCATATTTACTGACTAAAATCTTTTTGACAAAAAAGACAGCATTAAAAATGCTTTGAAGAGTTTCTGTTCGGCAGAAAATTAAGATGCAATAACTGATTTAACATATTCCACATAAAATCGTACTAAAAACATAATCTTTTTGAAACCTTAACAGTGCCATCAGCTGCAGTGACAGTGCGATAAATTGGCGATCGCCCAATTTTCCATCCTGCTTCTTCAAGCTCATGTCTGAATGCCTGCGGCACTTTTTTCCCCAAAGCCGATAGGGAAAACAAAATAATAAATTAGTTCAAAAAACAAGAGGCTAGATATCCAAAAAGAAAAAAGAAAAAAGAAAAAAAAAAACTCACATTGACTAAAATCCTGGATTTCTTTGACCTTTCTCTCGTATATTAGATGATGTAGCTGCTTTCCTCTGTAGCTTTGCTAGAGCAGGAGAAATTAAATGTAAGCATGTAAATTAACACAAAAAGGACACTGAAGGAATTTTTTTTTCCCCTTAATTCAATCAATTCTCTCTAAAATTCCAAAATTATTTTCTTTTCCTACGTTTTCTCAAAAAAACAAACAGATATATTCTAACTTTCAGGCTTTACCTGGCCAAAGTCGTTGGCCAGCTGTTGAAGTTCTGGCTCGGACATGCCAAGCAGTACTCTAGGGTCCACGTGCGAGGTACGGGGCGGAGACACGGCGGAGGAGGTGGTGCGGAGTTTACGAGAGGATACAATTGTAAACGAGTGTGGCTGACGAACGGCACGTGCGAGGGGCACGGAGCACACATGTTGGAGCATCGCCATTGAAGTAGCAATCATAACTACTGATACCAGTCTCAGAGGAACACAAAAATGAAAAACCTCACCTTGTGACCTCTCCAATCGGCTAAAACCTCAGCCTTTCACTAAAATGACGATACTACCCCTGCTTAGGTCACTTAAAAACGCACTGCATGTCTTGACAGACGACTGAAAATAATCATTGTCGTTTGTAGGAAATTCCTTGTCATCTGAAACGCTCATGCCTGTAAAAGGACGGAAGTGTGACTGGTACATGCTAAATTTACGTTACCCATTCCAAGCCCGCTTAAATTTTTTAATATCTAAAACTCATTTAAAATTCATTTTATAATACTCACACGGAAGTCCATTTAAAATTTTAATACATGCAACTGCACTGGCACCAGCCATTTAAAATTTTAATACCTGCATCCGCACCCGTACCAACTATCTTACACTCACACTAGCCATTTTAAATTTTAATATCTGCACCAGCACCAGTCCTCTTACACTCGTTTAAAAAGGAATCGGTTTAAAATTTTAAGTTTAAACAGGAATCGGTTTAAAATTTTAATATACGTGCCCAATTTACACTCGTTTAACTAGTACTTGAACTTGCTTGCTCGTTTGTCCGGAAAAGTTCTGTTGTAAAGATAGTGTTGATAAAAGAATGTTCTAAGCTTAGGACTAGCAAGAATAGAATGGCTTCTACAAATACAAAAGGTTTCGATGGCAGCAAAAATATTGTTTCTGCAAAATGAAAACTGTGCTGCTAACAAGCTTGTTGACAATTACAGAACTTGTATGTTTGTCATAATTGAAATGCATGAAGAAATTATGTCGAAGAAACTTGGAATTCAGATGTTATTGATAATAGAATTGAAGAACTGTACAACATAGATCATTATACAACATATATTGTATACATGATATAATGCTCATCAAATGCAATTATAATTTTACTTGAATAGATGTGAATGGCCAAGCATATATATATATATATCTACTATTTTTATACACGACCAGGAGAAACAGATTGCCGCGGACAAGAGGCAGCTTTTCCATCACAAATTTCATTAGTACTTCTCCTACGATATTTTGGACCATTGCCTGAACTTCGATTAACTTTCCGGAGCATTTCAGTTCGAGGGCCCTTAGATACCTCGTCGTCATTGGACTCGAGCAGTTGTTCTAATGCTTTTACCACTTCTTCCATGTTCGGCCTATATCTCGGTTCTGTAGATAGGCATTGTACAGCAAGAGTAGCCGCTTTTAGTGCATCTTTTAAAGAATACTGACCTTCGATGCGAGCATCCATAACTTGGAAGATTTTGCGTTTGCTGCCTAAATAAGGTCTTGCCCACTCAACTAAATTTTGTTCTCTGGAAGGCTTGTTTTTGTCTATAGCTCGCCTGCCAGATAGCATTTCGAGAAGAACAACACCGAAACTGTATATGTCACTCTTTTTAGTGAGATGACCTTCATAAGAAAGAAACAAAATGAGATAAAGTAGTTGCAGGAATTATTCATATCAAATTCAAAGCCATTGCCATTTCAACTGATGCACAAACATCTGAAACGCAATGCATAGCAAAGAACCAAATTTCTTTACAAGAAACACAAATGTCAAACGTGAAAATTAGCAATGGAAACTGGAAAGAACAATACCTGTAGCCATATACTCAGGAGCTGCATACCCATAGGTACCCATTACTCTTGTCGAAACATGGCTTTTACTACCTGTTGGCCCATCCTTGGCCAACCCAAAATCAGATAGTTTAGCACTGTAGTTCTGTCATTTTACAATTAGAAAAAAAGTGTCAGGAAGATGCAACCATCATGACTGCTGTACAAGCCAAATTTAAAACATTTTCACATACGGAATCCAGCAGTATATTGGAAGCTTTGAAATCTCGATATATCACTTTGGCTTTATCACTATGAAGAAATGCGAGACCCTTGGCAGCATCAAGAGCAATCTTCATTCTGAGATTCCAAGAGAGAGGTTGAACGTAAGAAGCCCCTGGTCCACCAATATGATTATTTAAGACAGATTTTATTTGAGATACAAAAGCCATAGAACCTCTTATCTAGCTTAGAAAGGTTGAAATGGCAAAATAGAGGACAATATGAATTACTTACTTCTGAATAGGTGATTCTCCAAGCTACCCTTTGGCATAAACTCATATACCAAAAGCCGATGGTCATCCTCTAAGCAGAAACCAATCAATTTCACAAGATTTGGATGATAAAGCTGCCCAAGGTAGTTGATTTCGGTCTAGATTCCAGGAAACAAAACAAAGCTCATCAATATGCTGTCTTTAAATGTTACCGTCTATTTACATGAGCTTCCAAGGCAAGATCCTTAAAAATGTTGACCTATCCCAATTCTAACAGGGTTAAAGTTTCAAAAGCAATTCTGAAGCATTACAAATTGGTTTTTATTGGGCAATACCTAAAATACAATATGTAAATGTACATTGAAAAGATGAAAAAGATATCTAAGCATTGACAATAGGCAGAAAAACCAAATGACAAAAGGATACTTACCAGCCATTCCTGGTGACCCTGGAAACCATCTTGGTTAAGCCTTTTCACAGCAATAACCGTGCCCATTCCAGGCTTGGCAGCTGTTAGTGTTTGCTCATCAATCCATCCTTTGAACACAGAACCAAATCCACCTTCACCCAACATACTATCTGGACGGAAGTTCCTAGTGGCTGCTCTTAATTCACTAAAGGTAAAGCTCTTCAAATTAGAAGATTGCAAGATCTCACCCTCTGTCCGAGGAGTTGAAGGCACTGTGGCCGATGAATATTTGCTGCTAGACCGACTCACTTCATGTCCAGCTCTGCCACCATATTTTGGGTCTGCCCCTGTAAAATTAAACATTACAGATCTTGTAAATTCATCTAAATCTCTACAATGCCAATTGCAAATCATAAATGAGACTCTTAACTCAACCTCTAGTCAATAGCTACCAGAAAAATAAACACCCAAAACCTTACCAAATTTGACATTAAATTTGAGGGTAAGGAAATAACAAGAAGCACAACTTTGATCATTCATATTTATCTTCTCGCAGAAATAGAAGCCATTAGTCAGCCATGCCAAATAGTTATATTTCCGCTAAATTGAGTATAGGCTTGTGTTTCTTTATCTATTTTTAATTGTTTAAACTTTCTTATTAACCCAAAGGAAGAAGAACAAGATCAATCGACTTAAAAAACGAGAGACGAAAGTACTAATTGACCAGAAGACGAGTACTAAAGACAATGGATCAAACTGTGGAAGCTTAAATTGGATCTTAGTCTTAAAACCAAAAAAGTTCTACGGATCAAAATTCTTGCTTTTCCTTCCACCCCTATCTTTCTCTTAGAAACCAAACAGAATTCAACATCAAATTCTAACCACAGCGATATAAACAAAAATAATCCAAACATATTCATACTTTCCAAGAGAAGCAACTAAAAGCTGCTGCCAAATATCCTATTTCACTAATAAAAACTAAACAATACCCACTATAAAGAAAAGGTCAAAAACACAAAAAACTTGTATTTTTTATATTACAAAGCTCAAATTAGCATCAAAAGACGTTAAAAATAATAATAACAATAAATCACAAACATACCATGGTGAAAAGGGCTCTCAGCTTTGATTCTTACACTAAAACAGGAACCCATCAACAAAACCTCAAAACTCAATCACAGAGCTCTTCACTCCTCTCACCAAATTCTAACTGCAAAAGATTTAGATAAATACAAAAATCCCACTGAAAAATCTCGACAATAACAAAGCAGAGAAGCTTAAGCCCGTAAACAAAGGAAAGGTTCTAGTGTGAAAACGAAGCTTATATAGGTAGAGTTAGCTGTCACCTACAAAGATGACTGGCCAATTGTTATTTTGACCGATTAAAAAACAAAATAAAAGAGAGAGATAGAGAGATAATAGTCATAGAGACAGATGGATGGATTTTTGGTGTCTTGTGTTTGTTTGGCTTCTCAGAAAGTTCTTTTCAGTATTTATTAGACCTTAGCCAGAGACAAAGGTGAAATGGTTGACTATGCCTTCAATAATGTTCTTAAATTTACAAGTGGAAAATTAGAAATGGAAGTCTTCTGTATGTGTGGATGGGGCATTTACAAATATTTACTTGCATACAGGTGAATGAAGGCAATCAATTTTCCTTTCACACACACACACACACACACACACACATCATTTCCTTTTCCATCACACACACACACACACACACACACACACACACACACACACACACACACATATATATGTATATAATTTTTATCTTTATAATTATCTTTTTCATTATATTTTCATCTTAATTTTAAATTATTATCTTTAATCTTGAATTATATATATATATATATATATATACAGTTTAACGGACTCTGTAATTTGCACAATACGTCTAAGTTTCTATATGGGGAAGTTGGCTTTTAAACTTATATTAACTCTTATATTCTTAAATAAATTATTATCCTATTCTTTTTTTTTTTTCATTTTTTCTAAATTGGTTGCCATTTATGATTCACAAATTAAATATAGTCATCATTAAATTATTTATAGAATTTATAATAAGATATAAAGTCAGACTTTAAAACGAAGGAATTCAAAATTTTTCAAAATTAAAGGGTTAAAATAAAAAAAAATGTACTTTTTTATAAAGTAATTTTTTTTTTTTCAGAAAAAAAGTTTAAACTTAAGAGTGGAGGGCCATTTCCTTATACATGCCTCCACCCTTATCATAATGCATTTAGACATCTAAACATTAATGAACAATATTATGTCAATAAGCTAGCAAATTATCACTATTACAATAATTTAAAATTATCAAATAACATATATCAAACACTTTAATTTATAAAAATCATATAATTAGAACAATTAATGAATAGTTAAAAATATAAAATTATTATTATTTCAAAATTTTACTCACTACACATCAAATTAATATTTTTTATATGAAAACTTAAAACTCTAAAAACCACTGTTGTTGGTGTAGAGAGTTGAGCATGTCACCAAAATTCAAAACTTTAGAGCATAATAATCCTCTGTAAAATTTTTAAATACCATAAAATATCTCGCAAAAACTGCAGTGAATTTATATATTTGGCCACTAATTCATACATTAATAAAATATAAATTCTTTTAGACCAGCTTAAAAATACATACATCATCATGCTTTATTTATGCATTCAATATTAACTTTTGAGAATTCAATTCCAAAAATATAAACTTTTAATTCCAAAAATATACATAAATATTTAAAAGTGTTACCATTACATGAAAGTCAATAACATCAAAATACTGAACATATACAAATATAGCATTCTTGTTCAAATTATTGTTAAAAATTCACAATTATTTTGTCATTAATATTAAAAAGATTTTATTATTATTCTCTCTGTTTTAAAATATAAATCATTTCAGCACTTAATTTTGAAATAAATAGAGTAATTTTGAAAGTCTATTTATCCAGATAAAACTGAAAAAGAAAATTTCCTTTTTAGAAAAAAGTTTAGGAAAGATCAAAAGGTTAGGAAATTCCTTAATTCCTTATGTAGCATTTCCACCATAATATTATATATATATATATATATATATAGTTGAATAAGAATTCTACATATTTGTCATTTTTAATATATATTAAAGATTTTTTATTATTATTATCTCGGTCTATGTTACTAGAAATACATTAATCATATGCAGCCTATATTTTTGAAATAAATATTGAGTAATTGTTTTTAGTATACGATTCTATTTATCAGATAATGACAAAAGAAAATTTTCCTTGTTTAGAAAAAAGTTAGGAAAGATCAAAGTTAGGAATTCCTTAATGCTGCCTACTCGTTTTAGCATTTCCCATTAGTTATTTATTGACAGTATAGTATATAGTAGTATTTATTTGTGATTCTTTATATTTACAGATGCTATTAATTTTTTGTTTGAGAAAGTCACAGTGGATGGGAACATTGAATTGTCCAAAATTCTTGTTCTTTTGTCAAGAAAGGAAGGGTAGTGCCATATGGCTGCAGTTTAATTTCGCGCACTTGGATTAGTATAATTAGATATTATTTGTCAACATTAGCCAATATTTTTATATTATGTATCGATTATTTGTTATTTATGATCAACTATTGTATTGACTTTATATTTATTATTTGCTTTAGCCTTCATGAAAATGGTGGTGTACTTTCTTGGATGAAGTCTCTCTCTTTGATTCAGTTTCCCCCACTTTTAGGGTTATAGAGAATTGAATTCATATTAGGGGTATAGTCAGTTCATATTGTAAGGTGTGTGGAAATCATTTGGCTTATTTATTCCTTACGCTGGTTTCAATAATTAATTGAATTTTCAATACTATTTTTATAATATGCTTGGGTTTTTTTTAGTCATTCATAACCTTTATCTTTAGGATATTTCTAATTGAGTGGCTTTCGCTTTTATTTTGAACACTTAATCTGCCATGTAATTTCTAACTTTAGCCTCTTATTTTTAAAATTACACTTAATAGCTCAAGTTGTTTTTGCGTTATGATTCGATAATTTAAAAGTTGAACATACTTTTTATATTTCTTTTGACAGAAAGTTGAAGAGTGATCTAGTAAAAATTCATTTCGTGAGATTAAAGTTATTCTCTCAGTAAATTTAGTTTCTTCTTCCTTCACTATAATATTTACTTCGCAGTCATTTTTTATGTTCTGACTGTATCTATCTTTTTTTATCTTATAAATATAACAAGTATTGTTTGAAGAAATACATGCATTATTTTTGTTTGAGAAAGCACATGGATGGAACTTTGAAGTCCAAATTCTTGTTTCTTTGTCCAAGAAAGGACAGGGTATGCATGGCCGCAGTTTATTTTGGCCATTGGATTAGTATATAGATATTATTTGTCAACATTAAGCAATATTTTTATATTATTATATTATAATTTATGATCAATTTGTATATAACTTATATTTATTATTTGCTAGTATGAAAATGGTGGTGGTAGCTTCTGATGAAGTCCTCCTCCTTTGATTCAAGGCCCCACTTTTATTATAGAGAAATCAACATATATATGCATTCATATTTGTAGGTGTGTGGAATCATTTTATTTATGCTTTAGTGTTTCAATAAATTAATTGAATTTCAATACATATTTTATAAATGAATTAATAAATTATTTATATATTTCTAACTACCTTTGCTTTTAAGTTTTAACACTAATCATAAATTCTAATTTACCTCTATATTTTTAAAATAATTATAGCTATTGTTTTTTATGACTCGAAATTAAAAGTTCACACTTTTTATATTTTTGAAGAAAGTGAAGATATCGTCAAATCATTCGTAATTAAAGTTATTTCTCAGTAAATTAGTTTCTCTCTTCATAAATATAAGTCATTTTAGAATTATTCTTTTATTTATAAATATAGTTTGTTTTGAGAATATCAAAAAGTAATTAATGATATTTTTTCAATTCTATCTTTATTTATATTAAATGCAATAATTAACTCAATAATTTTCTAAAAATAATTTAATTAAATTAATAACGATTTTATTTTAATTTAAAATAATTAATTATTTCTATAATTACTATGCAACAACTTTAAACGACTTGTATTTATACCACGATGAAATTCGTTATAAGCCATTTGTTTGATGGATGAAACTCGTTAAATGCCCAAGCTTTGACATATATGCCTTTCTAAATTCACTTCTTTAATTAGAATACTAACAAAGCCAAAATTTATAATTAGACCAACTGTCTTTAATTAATTGATGATTTTATTTTAATACCATGTGTAAAAATTCACCATAGTATCATATTATTGTTAAAAAAAACTCATTCTGATTATATTATTTTTGTTTTCACACATCAACAGGTTGACTTAATTACTAAATATAGTTATAATTAAGTTATTCCAAGTGGGAGTTATAATTATAAGTAGAAACTCTAATCAAGTTTGATTAAATAAAATGGGATTATAATAAGAATATACTATAATTATCTATAAAAATAATTCTTTAACTAAATAAGAAAATCAAGTTAAAAATCCTACATAGGTGTTAACTATCATAATTGAGATTTGAGTGTATTTGAGAATTGGTCTCCCTTGGAGTAAATTTGGAGTGTATATATTGGAGTCAAAATAAATTCTACTTGTGAGAATCCTGTATTATTTGTTAGTTAGAGTTTATTTAGGAATGTAATATGCTTTAATATATTTATATATTGTTTTTTTTTTATGTATTTTGTTATTGTATATTATTAGTAGTCCCATAAAATGTTGGTAATTTATGTCGAATAAATGTTTAAATTTGAATTGATGGACTGCTTAAGTATGAATTGTTTAAACTTGAATGAGTGGACTGTTTAAGTCCGAACTGAAAAATGATTTATGTCCGAAATGGAGGACTATCTAAGTCCCAAATTTGTTGAGGTTCGAATTTATTAATCTCGGTTGTGCTACCTGGCTTTTATTATGATGAAAAGAATAAAAGTGCAATAAACTAATTAACAAAATTGCTTTATTTTATCAAATGCGGAAAAAAAAATAAATATGGTTAATTTATTATCAATCCAATTAAAATTTTCATCGGCTATCATTAGTACCTTAATATCACCTCACTCACAAAAAGAAGATAAAACATGTTAGCTCAAGACTAGAAGCAATATAATTGGCTAGATGATAGTGAACAGTTCCCATTGTCACATAAAACAGCTCCTGAACGAGAGCTCATTGATGCTCATCTATGAAGTCAAATAAACGAGTGTGAAAGCAAACATAATTGAGCTTATGTCTATGAATAGGCTTGTTTGTAGCTCATTTATGTTTCTTTCATCACTCATCTAAAAGTGAACAGAAATAATATTCTTGTCGAACAATTAAAAGAAATTACTGTTGTACCAAAAACATAAATTGCTATATTCTCAGAAAATAATTCAAAGAATACAACAGAGTCCTCTTTGCGTTTTAACCTCATTGGATTATATATCTAGTTCCACTTCTCAATCACAATTTAATTCATTTTTAGATATAATTTAATTCTGTCATAACAGGAAATTTATATATCCTAATCTAAACTCAATAAGATTTCTTATCAAATGAAAACTAATGAAACAAAAATGAAATTCAGGTTATTCTGATTTATTCTAGTTTAGTTTTTATTTCAATTTAAAATATATTTATATTATAATTTTAACATATAATATAAACATGATAAAATTTAAAATTTAGAAAAATCAAAATTAAAATTAAAATTAGAAAAAGGAAAAAAAATTGCTGTCTTGTTACCACTCTCACCACTACTCACAGGTATTAGGTAATTAAGCAACAATTTCATCACATACATTGTAATTGTAGTAGTAGAAGACTCTTTTTGGAGAGTTTCTTTATCCTTTTTGTCAAAAGAACAAAAAAAAAAAAATCAATAGGAAAAAGGAGTCAAAGGCAAGTGGCAGTTTTCATGCAAGAGCCTTCAATAATCTTGAAGATGATAATATTTAAAATAGAGGGGAAATGAATGTGGCAAAGATTGAAAAAAGTGAGGCAAATAAAAGAAAGTCTTGTGAAGCCAAACTTTAGGTTTGACTTTTTTTTTTCTTTTCTTTTTTTATTTTTTGGCAAAGAATGAAAAGAGGAGAGACATGTGATGTGATTATAAGATTCCCCTATCCATCTCTATGACCCCATCTCTTTCATTTGGTATTCTTTGACTCTTCTCTATTACAACTATTCAAAAATTATTATTATTATTATTATTATTATGATTTTATTATTTCTGCTCATGTAATTATTTATTCATAACCCATCTTTAGTCAAAGCTTAAAGTTAACTTTTTTATTTTTATGTTTTATTCCTTTTTTTTCTAGAAATTTGAAGACCAATTGCACTGCACACACCTACCTTTCTATTAAAGAAGCACAAGAGTTTATGTATGAATTATCTTGCTATGTGCGGATTGTCAATTTTATAATTATATTTGGATAAATGTCAATTTTATCTTTTATACCCAAAAAATGATATTTTAAATTAAAATATATTTGAACGATTTTCCTTTTTTTTTCTCCTTATTTTTTAAAAACTTTTAATCACGTATAGACTTTTGAGAGTTGTGTACATTTAGCAAGTGGATATGTACCAAATTTAATTAATTAAATCTTTCAATTGCGCCGTCATTGTGCTTGTCTAATGATGATGTCATATTAAGCATCCTAATTTTATAATTGTGAATGTCATTTTTCTTATGATATTAGTTTGGCATTCATTGAATTTGATGCAAGTTAGCATTAGATTATAATATTTAAACAGTATGAAAGGATTATTATCTTATCAGCAAGATTATCTGACCATCATCATAATTGCGTTGTTAATATAATTTAAGCAATAACCAATTTAATTTCGTCTGTTTTCAGTAACGGCGGATAAATTTTATTTAGTGATTTACATATTGCACTCGCAAATTTAGAGTATAATTAATTTTTTAATGGAATTAATTAAAAATAAAGAGAAAATGCTTCTTGCTTGAAATGGGAGTTATAGAAGGCTTAAATATTTGTTAAGAAATTGTAGATTGTGTTACACTCGTATTGAAAATGTGATTCACATTGTGTTTAGTGTGGTAGTTGTTTTTATGTTTTTTTACAAAATAATCGTAATGTGTCCAATTATTTTACTGCTAAAGAGTATGTAATTGCATTTCCAAATGATACAGTTGGAGAAATGAAGTCTGAGATTATAAAATTCCTCCATGCTTTAAAATGAAAAGAAAAGAGAATTTATCAGATAAATAAATAGTGATATTGGGGACTCAATACCTAATAATGGGCCTTTTTTTCACATTTGTTTCATCACCTGTTTTCCGAAAAGCGAGCTTTCAAAATAAAGAAACAAAGACCAAAAACCCAAAACAAAAATGATATGTGACACCAAAATGAGTGTTTTAACTGCTTCAAAGGCATCAAGAAGAATTTATTCAGACATAAACCAGCTTGAGATGTGGTATGCCATTACAAAAAGAAAAACAATTTATTTCCTCAAAAATTAAGTGACCGAGATTATACATTATGGATTCTATACCTCACAAACATGAACTTAAAACAGTCATCAGCTGATCCTAGTGCTATGCTCAGGCACTTTTCTTCACCTCTGCAGACTTGATAATTTCAATGAACTCCGGCTGATCACAACAGCAAAAAAAAGGGAATTCAACTTTTAGAAAAGGATAGGGAAAGAATAAAACACATACAATTCAATAAGCAACATTCTTTTTACCTTTAGAGAAGCACCACCAACTAAAAAGCCATCAACATCAGGCTGTGCTGCCAATTCCTTACAGTTTGCAGCAGTGACTGATCCTGAAAGAGGCAATTAGACAATTAAATATGGAGGAATATGGGAAGATAATTAAATGAATCCATTTATTTCTTGCAACCCATTGAATAGTTAAGGAGAAAAGGAAAAAATGCAAGCCAACAGCAACCAAAATGCACAAGAATTTCCTTTTTATATGTTTCACATTTTGAAAAGCAATCATGTTTAAGCTAAAGCCAAAATTGAGAGATCAAGAATATGGAGGGGCTTCTAAGACACAGAGGTGGTATCATATCTCTTTTCCCTGAGACTTATTGTGTAGATGCCAATAAGATCCAATATCAAGTCTGCTTTACAATATGACTCATCAGATCCCAGGATTAAGCTGACAACAATAAAAAACAATAAAATCTTCTCCTTATGGATTTTGGGAAGCTTCTGTTTGTATAAACAGAAGCTTTTGCTTTAGAATATGTCTCATCAGGTCCCGGGATTAAGCTGACCACAATTAGTCAGCTAAACAATAAAATCTTCTCCTTATGGATTTTGGGAAGCTTCTGTTTGTATAAACAGAAGCTTTTGCTTTAGAATATGTCTCATCAGGTCCCGGGATTAAGCTGACCACAATTAGTCAGCTAAACAATAAAATCTTCTCCTTATGGATTTTGGGAAGCTTCTGTTTGTATAAACAGAAGCTTTTGCTTTAGAATATGTCTCATCAGGTCCCGGGATTAAGCTGACCACAATTAGTCAGCTAAACAATAAAATCTTCTCCTTATGGATTTTGGGAAGCTTCTGTTTGTATAAACAGAAGCTTTTGCTTTAGAATATGTCTCATCAGGTCCCGGGATTAAGCTGACCACAATTAGTCAGCTAAACAATAAAATCTTCTCCTTATGGATTTTGGGAAGCTTCTGTTTGTATAAACAAGCACCTGCTATAGTTTTTACACTTTGACTCCATTATTCTTATACTAAACATCAATAACAAAACAACTAAAGGTTATATGATCTCGACTGACTTTCCATAAGTTCAGATTGGACACTCCTTGTCCTTGTGCTTGTACTTTAATTATAAGCTCAACGATAGACGCATGTTTACCTGCCATTTTTAGTGATTTTTCACTTCATAAACTTGATTCTCTTTCAAGAAGTGAAGAATTTAGCAAATAAAAGGAAGTACGCCAACACCTCTATCATTTTCAAATTCTAACAACAATGACAATGAGAAAATATAATAGCATGATGTCACACTGATATATGGAGGTACCTCCATATATAATCCTTGTTGTTTCAGCAACTTCTGGACTGGTGTTCTCTTTAAGCCATTTCCTCAGTTCAAAATGTACCTGTTACATGGGCGAAATAATTGCATGAAAAAAGAAAACATATAAAAGTGAAAATTGGATAGCTTGATATGTTACATCCACATTTCTATAGGGAACATCCCAAGAAATCCACCATATAGTTTGAAAACACAGGCAAAGTGGAAATCAAGAAGCAGGGACAAAAATGGTCACCAATACCATTTACCAGGTAAAAATTTAACATCCACAAAAGGAAGTCCCAGAGCTTAGAAGAAAAGTTAGAATCAAATTCCATCTGCATGTTTCAGATGTCAGTCTATTTGTTTCAATATCAACAAATATATGCAAGTCATTTTATACAAATACAGCATTTCATCAAGTTCATATAATTAGATTAACTGGAAGGATAGCCTGTTGAGAACATGATTTAGCTAAGATGCCCAATCTTTTGGCCAAAAACTATAACAACTTTTACTTCCTCAAGTCAAGCATTTTAAAATAATAAGAACCAAATTTCTAATCCTCTATAAGATTTTAAGAGGTCAAAAAACGTAGATAAGTTCTTTGCATCTCAGTCTTAATCCAGTTCATTGTTGTTACTTCCCCTCTTTAGCTCTCTCAATTCTCAAATTCATTATAGGTCATTGCATACAAAACTGACGAAAAATAAAAGCAGGTTCAAAACCTCCAGTATCTTTAGATCAACTCCTTCATTGTGTACAAAAGTTCTGAATAGATGATCATTTTAAATCCCTAGCAATGTCCTTCTAAGTCATTCATCATGGCCCTTGTACACAATTCATCAGCCACATTTCTAGCTCTGAAACACTGTAAACATTTACTACCGTATTTGAAGTACAAAGAAGCATTGAGGCGATTGATATACAAAGTCAGCATAATTTCTATAAAAAGGCTAGGTTAGACTTACTTCCTGTGCCTGAGCAGGAGTTGCAACCTTCCCTGTTCCAATAGCCCACACAGGCTCATATGCCAAAACAACATCTGTCCAATTCTTTATACGTGCTACCACCAAAGCAAATATGAAACTAAAATCAGAATGTTTGAATCTTGTCACAGATAGCAACTATCTTGACACATAACCAAACATTCAATGGCATTCTTCACTATATGAGACAATGAAAAATCATGTAATCTCTTACTTAAAGACACCCTTAGCAAAAACATCTACCATTTGCAATTTCACCACTTGCACTAATTTGTACATCAAGTTTAGGACCAGTGCACTAGGGATTTTGTATGAAGTCATTTTGCTAACCAAAAAGACATGTAGTTGACATGTCCAACCAATTTCATTAAGTAACAGCTGGTTGACTAACAGCTTAAGTTCAACTGTGACTTATCACTTGAAATGCTTAAGTTAAAGGTATCTTTTCCTTCCTTTTCTTTTCTTCCTCTTCTAATATCTATCTTTTTTACAAAAATTTAAAATTTAGAAAGAGAGGGAAAAACCAAGACTAATATTTATTTAAGCAACAAACATGTTCAACAGCCATATAAAATCCAAAAAATACCAGCACCATATAGTCCATATACATACCTGCTATTGCTTTGGTTTGTGCAGCAACAACTTCCAAGGTAGATCCTGCTTCACGCTGTTCGAGAGTCTCACCCACACAAGCAATCACCTTTAAACCTTGTGAAAGTGCATATGCAACCTTATCTCCAACAAACTGAAATGAAATGCTTCCAAATCAGAATATATCACATGTGTAAGAAAATAAACATTGAACAATGAGCAAAGAATAGGCACTTATGAAGAAGAACTCATTAGTACATCAACTGGCAGAATATTGCTCTACGTAACACAGCCTACCTCATTTGACTCAGTTAAGAGAAGTCTCCTTTCAGAATGGCCGAGAATGACCCACAGAATAGCCAGATTCACAAGCATTTCAGCACTGTATATAAATGAGGCATGAATTTTAGAACTCTCAACAATTTTTGCATATGAGATAATATTACCTTAGTCATCAAAATTTTGAAAAAGCAAACAAAATAAACTTAAGCACACCTAACTTCACCGGTGAAAGCACCTCCTTTCTTTACCCAACAATTTTGTGCCGCAACATGAAAATCGGGCCTCAATGAACTTTTCACCAGTGGAAGAAACACAAATGGAGGGCTTATCACCACCTCTGGAAAAGGAAAAAAATTCTCAACGTATCAATATGTAAAAATGCATCCCATCGATCACTCTCTTATTGTTGTGTTTCAGACAGGGATCGCAAGTAATGTCGACCAATAAATTCCTCTATACAAAATTGCCGTTCTGTAACACTCTTGACACTTAATGACTCTCCAAATTAGTCATATAATGATATCAATTATCGTTCAAGTTACAGTAATTTTAGCCCTTCATTACAGTAATCCTTCCAAATTTCACCATACAACCACAAGAGACCGCCAATGGGAATAAAACTATAGTTCTGAAAAAGCCATTATATATTCCCAAATATATTTTGCATTATTCATTGCCTACCCTTCAAATCATCCAGATTCAAGTCGCGAGTATTTACCACGGTTACAGCAATATCAAACACAATGCATAGAAGTACATTAACAGATGCAAAGCAAAGAGCGGAGACAGAGATCAGAGCATTCCACCTACCAACAACATCAGATGACGGCACCTGACCTTCGTTGAGAGTGGAGACTATCTTCTTCACATCTTCAGTGGTTCCATTCTACATTCAAATTCAATTCAAAACGAACAGATAAACGAACTTCTTTTCACATTATCAAAATGACATTAAGAAATCCAAAATCTATTCGAATTCATCATAACATTCTCTCAGTGTTCGAAAATCAGCAAAAAAAAAAATAATAAAACTATCAGCTAAAAAATTAACATTCACCAGCTCGATTCAACCAAACACACACATTTGCAAAAGTAAGCTCTCAGATATAAAAGATGTAAAAAAACGATAATTATAAAGGAAGAAAAAAGGAAATGGCCGGCGAAGACTTACGCATTTCCAATTGCCACCGACGAAAAACTTCCTGGCCATTGTTGTTGATGATAATAATCTTCGATTTCTTTAGCAGCAGATAGTAGCCTCTCGTCCCGAGTCGCCCGTTGATATTTATGGGCTTCTTCATGGTTACGAGAGACTTGGGGCCAGAAAAGAATTTAAACAATGAAATTACGATTATAGCGTCGCATATAGGATATGCCTTGAGCATCGGAGACTTTGCTGGTTTAATCAAGGGCACTTTTGTAAATTCAAATAAGGTTGTTGAGGTGAGGTGTGGTCATGTGTTTTGGGACGTCATAGGAAGTAAGTGGTGCGCATGAGGATTGGGTCATCTTTTTATTGCAATTTTATTACACTATTTTCTCAACAACCTTTCCTAGGGGTGAGCAAATGGTGGATCTGATTCGAACCTAATCAGTCTGTTCGACCGCTTTTGTCATATTGGTTGATTTTAAGCACAATCCATTAATTTCTATAAATGGATTCGAATCAAATAGTAATTTTGATTCAAACTAACTTTTCGATAAATCAAACCTCTCTTAAATGAAATAATCAAATTGAATTAGATCGTTTCAAATTTCAAGCGTCAAATTTCAATGCGGTTGATTTGAAGCTTTGCACACCTAAACCTTTTCCTTTTAAATATATATATATATTTCTTAACTTCACATGGAAACTCTATGGTCCAATATTATTTAAATTTATCATAAGTATCCAACATAATAATACCGAATATGAATAAATGTATAATTCCATTCACATTAATTTTACTTATTATATTTAATTAGTTGAAATCCCGCGCCTCGCTTACGGGTATTGGTATTGTCTGAATAATTATTATGCATAAATTATATTGCTAATTTAAAAAAATATATATATTTGCAATTTCACCTTGAAATCAATAATAAAGGTGATTGAATAGATTTTTTTCTCTTTATGTCTTTTTTTATTATTAAGTATGTTGTCAAATTATTTGTATATAAATAGTTGTAGATGTATTTAATAAAAATTTAAAAATCAATTAAAAAAATAAATATTCTATTATATAATGAAAAGTAATATAAACCCAATAAATTGACTTTTATTAAAATAAATTAATACTAAATTTATCAGTAAATTGGTTATAATAGATAGAATTAATAACCAACTATTCTATTGGCATTAATAAAATTTTAACATGAGATACTCAAGTAATATCTGGCGTTAATTTTTCATTATAACCACTATCTCTATTGGCTTAATATAATTTTAATCGATACTCAAGTAATATCTGGGCCCGTAAATTTTTCTATATAATAAAGTAGTATATATATATATTATATATATTATATATGATTAATTATGAGCGTGAATAATATGCTTTCACGCTAATTTGTCAAATATAATTTCACGTGTTATATCTTCACTTAATAGAAACAAAACAAATATTTTCAGATTATCTACCAATGCAAATGAACATATTGTTGCAATCTCATGTCTCATTTTCTTTTAAACTGCAAGTAAGAACTCCCCCACATGATCCTTTGTAACTTACTCTTTAGATCGGATCTTTTATCATATACACATTAAAAGCCTGTAAAAGAGACTTGTGAAGAAGACTTTCAATTTTGTCTCATCATTATTTGGTAATTCAGCTGGTGTTTTATCCTCTTGAATTTAGTTTCTTATCCCATAAAAGACCTGCACTTGATGCCATGGCTATGATGTTGTTCTACGACTATTAGCTTTTGATCTTTTAGTTACCCAACAATAAAATCAATCCATGTTATTACAAAATAAATCAGCCAAAAAAATCACAGCAAAAAAAAAAAAAAAAAAAAAACATTTTAAACATCAACATCTTTTGTTGCCTTCTACTTAGTCTTATTATCAATCATGGCCAACACCTTTAAAACCACCTTCAGAGTACAATAATAATCTATCTTCTTAATACTGTTTATGAAAGATTTACATAAAACAACTATTTGAAAAGCAAACGGAATTAAATAATATTCGAAGGGGAAGATAAAGAAACTAAAGAGAGGTTACTTAAGCCATTAGGATTGAGTACGATAATAACATCTCCTGTTTTAATTCAAGTTAATGTTTTAGTTGAATTAAGTTAGATAATTAGATTAGATAAGATTTGAAAAGACATCAATTGTCATTATCATATACTAAATATTAAATTAAAAATTTAATTAAATTGACCAATCAAAATATAGAAAATAAGAAAAAAATTTGAAATTTTCTTGAAAAAAGAAAAATAGAATGCTCAACAAAAAGAAGGGTTCTTGTCGCTTCAGCTTTCATATGTATATATAAGCATTGTTTATTTTCAGAAAATATTTCATTTTTAAAAAATGTTTTGCAAAATATATATATCATTTAAATATTTATTTTTTATTATTTAATTGTAATATTAAAAATTAATATAATTTAATAATTTATAAGATTATATAAATTTTATACTTTAAAAATTAAAACAATTGCTTAAGGTGATTAATGGTGATAGGTAAGTATATTAATATAAATGTGGTTTATAAAATTATAATAATTTTATAAATGTTTTAAAAAAAATGAGTAATCCTATTGTAAAATGACTTAATTTTCATTTGGAAAAAAATATTTTATTTTTATTAATTTTATTGAGCATTTCAATTATTAGAAAATTATCTTATTTTGTTGGTAATCTAGCTTTATGGTGTAGAGTTTGGGGTTTGGATATATCCCGTAAAGGTAATTTGATTTGGCAAGCCTGCATGGATATAATTAGGTGAAAGCAATACTATATTTTTAACCGAAAATTGAACCGAATTAATTTGTTTTGCCGGATTAAGATAATTGTTTTTAAAATGTGGTTAATAGTCGATTTGAATACATAAAGCCGTTTGGTTTTCAAATTTAATTCGATTATTATATATAATTAATTAAATTTATTTTAAAATGTGGTTAATAGTCGATTTGAATACATAAAGCCGTTTGGTTTTCAAATTTAATTCGATTATTATATATAATTAATTAAATTTATTTTTAAATTCAAAATTACTAACTCAGTTTAGAACAATTGAATCAAAACAAAAACCAACTGATTCAATTCGATTTTGACAAATTATATACCATTCGGTTAGACCAAAATGAAATTAATTCGATTTCATTCGGCTTGGAACTAAATGCTCTCCCATAACCTTAATGACGTAACGAAGATAATGAAATATTCTTTCTATTTATTACATTAAAAGACAAGCAAATAAAACTGTTTGTACTTTAACAATGAATTCACTTTCTTTACAAATAAATTCAAAATGACTTGTTTGAGAGCTAAATCAACTCACCTTGATATAAATGAATTTAAAATTTAAAATTCATTTATAAATAATTTTTTCATAATAAGAATAAATTTAAAATTGAAAATTTATTTACTTTTATTCCGGATTAGAAAGATTTTTATGAAATGTCTTACTCCTATTTGAGTTTTTCAATCGACCAACTTTATGTCGGGTAGGGCCAGGAATCTCTAATTAGTTGAATGAGCCCATCCCTCTAGCCTATCATTTATTGGTCGATCCGGCTGGTGGCCCCCTACATCTCTCGCGTCTCCACGGGACCTTTCATATAAATTTGTTGTTAGGAGCCCCTCTAGTTGAATCAATAATCAATAAAAGTCCCAACAGAAATTCACTGACTCGGCTCGTCAGTCGACGATCTATTGCTCCCTCTTAATTGCAGATGCCCATGCTTTGATTCGAACGTCCTAAATAGTGATGAATCCCCAATAGTTTTAAAAGGTTAAAAAAGCATATAGTTTTATCATAAGTTTTAGATGATTTAAGTTTGTAGAATTCATTTGAAAATTTCACATTTTTTTTAGTAGAATTTGGTTTGTTATATTTAAATCTATAGAATTGAACTTGTATAATTTAATTATTCATTTTATACCAAATACAAAAATTTGAATTTATAAATAAATTCCACAAAATTTTATAAAATTTATTTATTCGAAATATGAGGTTAAGGTTTGAAGTCCACTCCTAAACAAACAGTATTATTATTTTTTATTGTAGCTTAACTTTGATGCACTAATATAAGTATTATTCATTCTAAAAAAAAAAGAATAACTACATTTTTTATTTATCATAATTTATCATTATGAGTTCTTATAAATTTGGAACAAAGCTCGATTTGTCGGTTGAACTTAGACACAATATTTAATTTGCTCAAAAATGAACTTTTCATATAATTTGTCTTTTAAATTTGCACCAAAAGAACAAAATGTCCAATTTTGTCAAAAAAAATATTTGAAATAAATCAAATATGATTAAAAAGTAATTAAATGTATAGTCTAAATCAAATATAATTATAAACATAATCAAACAATAAATAATATATTTTTTTAACTAAATATTTCAATACAGTCAAATCTTTTTCTAATTTTATACTTTTTTTTAATCAAATATTTGCTAAATTATTTTTGAATCAAATACCGTAAATTTTTTTAATTATTATTCTAATTTTAAATTTTTAAGTAAATTTTTTAGTTAAAACTATAAAAAAATTTGTCCCTTAAAAAATTAAACATTTTATTCTTTTGGAGCTAAATTTAAGAAATAAATTTTACAAAAAAGTTTTGGACAAATTGTATCATGTGCTCAAGTTTAGAGGGGTAAATTGTGTTAGGTCACCGGCAATAAAATTACGAAAATAATTACAGGTCACCTGGCAATAAAATTTACGAAAATAATTACGGCCAGCGGAAAGCAAAATTGTGACACTGTCCAAGATTACGTGATTTCAAGCGCGTTTGAGCGTGTTTAGGGCTAACGTCCCACTTGGGACCAACTCCGAATATTTTTTCCACTATTAAAAATATAGACTTACAAGGAGTATACAAATATGGCACTCAAAGTGTTTCCCAAAAACTACCCCAATAATCTTCACTATTTTTCTAGACCTTAACTTTTAAGAACCCTTTCTTAAAATTGAAAAACTCTCTACATAATGAGATTATTAATCTCGTTGGTGTGTTGAACTTGAAGGCAAATCCTCTCTTATTTACATTATTTATAGGAGAGGAAGACGAGAGAGCCGTGTATAACTCATTCACGGCTCTCTATCTTTGTCAAAGTTGCATGCCAACTTTCACCTATTTTTTTTTGTTCTTTTCATCACATGTGTGGGTCCCACTGAGTGGGCTCCGCCACACCAATAACAAAGCGCCAATAACAAACATGTGGGTCCCACTTGAGTGGGCATCGCCACAACAAATCTCCCCTTGCACACTCAAGTGGAGACGTTAGCTATGCTCTCCATCATCCCTGCAGCTAATCGACAATATTCAAATTTGTCTTTTGGAAGAATCTTCGTTAACATATCTGATCCATTTTCATATGTATGGATCTTCTCAAGCTTCTCAAAGGTATAACTGCTTCATCTCCAGTACCATCCCTGTCCCAATGATATCTAATATCAATATGCCTTTTGATCTTGAATGAAAGGAGGAAATTCTTCCTAAGATCATTTGAATATTGTCCCGATTAGCTGCAGGATGCATAGAGCCATGGCTACGTCCCCACTTGAGTGGCAAGGGGAGATTTGTTGTGGCGGTGCCCACTCAAAGTGGGGGTCCCAATATGTTTATTTGGTGTTTTGTTGTTTTGTTATTGGTGTGGCGGTGCCCACTCAGTGAGACCCACACACGTGATGAAAAGAAAAAAAATAGGTGAAAGTTGGCATGCAACTTTGACAAAGATTGAGAGCCGTGAATGAGTTATACACGACTCTCTCGTCTTTCTCTCCTATAAATAGGAGAGGATTTGCGTCAGTTCAAACACACCAACAGAGATAAATAATCTCATATGTAGAGAGATATGTAGAGAGTTTTTCAGTTTTAAGAAAGGGTTCTTAAAACTAAAGGTCTAGAAAAATAGTGAAGATTATTGTGGTGTTTTTGGGAAACACTTTTGAGTCACTTTTGAAAGTTTTGGGAAACACTTTTGAGTACCACTATTTTGTATTACTCTCTTTGTAAGCCTACTATTTTTAATAGTGGAAGAAATATTTGGAGTTGGTCCCGTGGACATAGTCCTAAACAAGTTAAGGGTGAACCACGTAAATTCTGTGTGTCACAATTTTACTTTTCCGCTACCGTAATTTTCTCTTAATTGGTTGAAAAGGCCCAATGAGTGGTATGAGAGCTAATGTCTAACAACTGGTATAAGAGCTGATTCCCAACACTACGTCCACAAGACCAACTCAGAATGTTTCTTCCACTATTAAAAATAGTAGGCTTACAAAGAGAGTAATACAAAATAGTGGCACTCAAAAGTGTTTCCCAAAAACACCCTAATAATTTTCACTATTTTTTTTAACCCTTAGTTTTAAGAACCTTTTCCTTAAAACTTGATAAACTCTCTACATATGAGATATTAATCCTCTGTTGGTGTCTTTTTTGACCCGAGGCAAATGACCTCTCCTATAATAGGCAGGAGGAAGCTATTAAAAATAGTAGGCTTACAAAGAGAGTAATACAAAATAGTGGCACTCAAAAGTGTTTCCCAAAAACACCCTAATAATTTTCACTATTTTTTTAGACCCTTAGTTTTAAGAACCCTTTCTTAAAACTGAAAACTCTCTACATATGAGATTATTAATCTCTGTTGGTGTGTTTGAACCGAGGCAAATCCTCTCCTATAAATAGGAGAGGAAGACGAGAGAGCCGTGTATAACTCATCCACGGCTCCCCATCTTTGTTAAAGTTGCATGACAACTTTCACCTTTTTTTTTTCTTTTCATCACGTGTGTGGGTCTCACTGAATGGGCACCGCCATACCAATAATAAACATGTGGGTTTCACTTGAATGGGCACCGCCACAACAAATTGAGCCATATTCTTAAAATTTTTAATATGAACTAAGAAAAATAATTTTTTTGGGGAGAAATAATGAAAAACCGTTAATTAGTTAACAAGTTTGAAATCAAAATAAATTAAATTTATAAATCAAGTTAACAAGCTAACAAGTTTGATTTATAAATTTACTAGTAAAATAAATCCGATATGGAACGACTAGTTTTAATTTTTAGCGCGTAGCCGAAAAATCAGATATAAAAATGAAATTTAAAACAAAAAGTTCGTTTTTCCTTTACCAAAACCTCAGATGCACAATTTCCCGCCACCTAGGGTTCACAGTCACTTTCTTTTTCCACACTGATCTTCTCCTTGTATTACCGCAATTCCTTCGACCAATATCCAAATCATTCTTTAATTAGATAGAAGAAAACCGTTGATATACTCAAAATCGCAGAAATGGCTGGTCAATCTGATTCCCACCTCTCTCTCTTTTCACCTGAAGAGGTCTCTTCTAATCCACTATAATTTTTATTTGAGCATCGTTTATAATTTCATGTTTAGATGGTTTTTCATATGTTTGCTTTATAATTTATTGATGTTTCGTTTCTCAGGTCGAGTTTATAGCTGAAGATGAATTGGTGGAGATTGTTCCCAATCTGAGGATGGATTCTCTAAATTTTATTTGTGTATTTCTCTTTATACTCTCTGATTCTCTGTTTGTGAGTATATGCGTAAATTTGCATTTTGTAGTTAAATTTTGTATTTCAGGGGGATTATGGTCCATTTTATCCACAAATAGCAACGCAAGTGCCACTTTGGTTAGCGGTGGCGCTGAAGAAGCGAGGGAAGTGCACAATTAGGCCTCCTCAGTGGATGTCTATTGGTAAGTTTTTGTGTATAAGATGCAGATATGGACACACAGTACAAATGTTCGAATTAGAGGTACAAATATAGGTTTATATATTCGTATATCAATTGTAGTTTTATAGGTTTAGTTTAGTATTGTGAGTGGTTGATAAATCAGTATTAGAATGAAATGTCAACCAATTAAGTAAAATGAAAAAGTTTTGAGGGGTTTATTAGTATTAAAATTAAGAGTTAATACCCATTGCAAACACAATTATCAGTTTCATCTGATAATAGTTTTTTGTTATGCCCGAATGTCATCATGAATGGCAGCATTTTTTCAAGTCATATGACTTTCAAGTAGGATTTGCTTGTTTGACGACTTAAGAACGACTTAAGAAGTTTGAACGCTAAATTATCTTCCATGTATATTGGCATCTTGAGAATTGGATGCTTGATTTGAGGGCTATGCTTTGCTGGAACAAAAGGATACACATGCCTGAATGTGCACTTAGAAGGATGTCAAGGTGCATTACAACAGGACAGTGCTTGGACCTTCATGATATTATTTTTCTGTTTTTCTTCCAATCATATATGGCCATTCACCAACTTCTATTAAAGATTGCAGAGTCTTCTTGTTGTGTTATATAATTTGCAGTTTATGTTAGTTAATCAGACAATTCCATAAGCTTCTCTTCTGTATCACATTCACGAAGTTAAAAATTTTATTGAATGTTGGATACTTCCTTTCCCTTGTAATTATTAAATTTTAGGACCTCAATGATTTTACTGTATCTGATAGAAATTAAATATTATATTGTAATCTCCCCATAATTTCTATCTCTGTTGATCAGAGAATTTGACCCAAGTTCTAGAAGGAGAACGAGATTCGCATGCATTTCAGCCTATTCCCTTTCATTATGTGGAAATATCAAGACTTCTTTTTGACCAGTAAATACTAAACCCTTGTATTGTAACTTGTATACTTCATTTTACTGCTGAACAACATGAATAATAACTTTGATTTTTGTGGACGGCAGTGCACGTGATGACATTCCTGATATGTACATGGTTAGTGTGAAGATTTTTTTTTTTTCAATCTGCATGTGGGTTATTTCCAGGAATTCCTCACATTTCTTTATTTACAGGTGAGGTCACTTATTGAGGACATCAGGGATGTACGTTTTCATAAAGTGGAGACTAATCTAGAAAAGTTTACTGCATCAACCGTGACGGTATGCTTCCTTTATGAATTTGTTGACATTAATCACCAATTGGTTGTGTTTATAGCCTCTCAAAGTTGCATCGACATGTGTTTTGTGAAATCTGCTCTTTGTTGGAGAGTTTATGATTTTTTGTTTGTTTATTTCTAAAAGTTAACTAATGGGGAAAAGTGGAGTGTATCTCTCGTAATTGTTCATGTGTATGTGATCCTCTTGTCACTGGCAACGGATACTTCAATCCACTAAAAGGTCGTGTCATTCTTTTTCAATCTTTAGCTAAACAAATGTGAGACCAGACCCCTAAACTGAAGTGAGATAGTGATACATATATCAGGGATAATTTACATAGCAAGAATTTGTTGATGGCAGTATGCCCAAGGCATTGCAGAGAGCAAGAAATACACCATGGAAATTAGGAACCAAAAGCTGTTGTTCCGCCTTCCCAATTCCCATTTGGAGTTCTTGTAAAATTCCATTATCCAGATAAAAAAAATGAAGTAACATTTATTATCCCTATGGGAATTAGAAATATACAGTTCTGAAGAGCATTAGATCAGAAAGTCGTAGCTCTATTCAACTAGCTTTGCTCCTCCCAATACCCTGTTTTGTCCACACACATCCATCAACTAAGGACTACAGAATTCCAAATTAGCAATTTGGCTTTTCAAATATATCATACTTGTATCGAGAAAAAAAAAAAGAATATTAAGATAAGTACTAACCATGAACAGATCAGGAAATGTAGCAAGATTTTAGTCAATTGCATGTGGTGTCAATTCAAGAAATGAAGGGGCTTTAACCACCATGAGAAAATAAGCCTAATTGTTCTCATGGGTTCATTTATGATGACAGCTTGTTTAAATTTCTTGAATTCATGAATTCAGTAGTGAACAAAGGTAAGCTGGTTAGAGAAATTATTAATCACTTGAATCCAGTTAATATAGTGATTTAAAATCTTCTGAATATGGGTGCTCTCAGCTTCATGACTTATTCTTGGTGGTAGAGTGAGAAGGCAAATATATCAACAATATAAATAAGTGAAGGTAATTAGAAATGCGCCAATTCTAGGGTTTGGGCACCTTTGATCTGTGAATTGCTTATAGTTTGATTGCTATAAATTGTCATATTGCGGTTGAGTCAATGTCTTGTGGCTAAATTGTTATGGTCACAGTTGGCGCACATTGGTATTTCATAGATTCACAGTAATGATTTGACTGATACCATATATAACAGTAGGTATTTAAAACAAAAGAGATGCTTATTGTTGGGTTTAGCAAATGGTTGTTTACTTCTCATATGTAAATCATTTAGAGCATGATTGCAGTCTTTCTGCATTGTGTCCTGTGATTACTCCTGCATTATGTGGGTTTCTGGAAGCATGGATACACTTTTGGAGGCACATTGTTTACTGACATATCCTTTTTCATAGATTACATCTCTGCTTCGGAATTTGTTTTACTTTTGGCATCTTTGCCAGTGATATGTTGAATTTGATGTTGCAGTGGAAAAATATGTCTGCAATGGAAGTCAATATAATTCGTGCATTCGCTGGGAGAGCATTACAAGCATTCTATAAGCATGAGAGTGAACAGGTGATGCCAGATACAGATAGAACACAAGATAGACAGCCGCAAGCACCTAATGTCAGGCCAAGAGTATGTTCCGGACTAAACATATCATGTCTTTTTTTTCTCCTTTTATCTTATAACTATGATGATAGGCAAAGGGAATAACGTTTTCTATGCAAAGTTGAATGTTTGTTCATGCTTTATCTATACTTACTGAATTGCAGGAACAGAAATTGTGTAATGGCATCAAAAGTTGCTATCTCCTTCTTTCTAGGAGTATTCTACAAAGAAAAGTAGGCAGTCTTTATTTAACCGATCTTTTTTGTTTTTGCAGCGGAACCTGAGGCCTCGATAATAGGTAATTGTCCATCCAAATTCCTTTCTCATCTCGACCTCAAAACAATGATTTGAGCATGCTATTACAGAAGGTATTTCCATTTGTTTCTGATCCTTTCAAAAAGAACATTTTCTGATCTTATTGTAGTGATGAAATAGCAATTCTCTGTTGACCCCTTTATGATCACTATGCTAATAAATCATTTACTATTTTACACAATAAATTGTGAAGACAAAATCACTGTAAATGGATACTATGTGCAAGGCCTTGCCACATTTACATAGGTGTCCTAGACATTTTTCTGCTAAATTCTAGGTTTTGATTTTATATTACTATGCCTTTTATGCATAACATGGATTCATGTTTCCTCCTGCATTTATATCCCAGTTTCTACGCTCGTTGCCTGATGGTTCTTATTTCTAGTCTAGACTAGAGTTTTCCACGAACAACGATTACCGCTATGCCTATGATGCATGGGAACTCTCAACCACAGGCAATTTTTATATTTTGAAAACGTTTCTATGTATCTATTTTTCTATCTAAAATATTATATTATCTATTTTTCTATTTAAAATATCATTTTTCTGTAAAATTATATTTGAAATGTTGTTTTCTCCTTTTGTTTTTACGTTTCAACGTGTCCATAATTTTCATTTCCGGGCAATATAATCTACATCAATCAGGAATCTCTCAGAAAAAAAAAATATCTGCCTAGTGTCCAGCCCATGTACCATAAATCAGCCTAAAAAGAAGGATATGAATATGTCGGATATTCCTTGTGGAGCCAGTTAGAAAGGACTAGAATATGCTCATGATGCCTTCTCTGGCCCTCCCCTGAATTATGGAGCTATTAAATTATTGTTTGTTAGCACATGCTGTGGGTCTTCAAGTCTTCTTGTCTCTGTTGCAAGTTCAACGCACAACCTTACTTAGTGAATGAATGACAAGGATGGCTGTTATCCACAACTATCATCTTTGTCAGGGTAGTTTGCTACTTGTTGGGTTGAGCATATTTGTATTCAAATTAAATAAATCCGATTCTGGTCTGAATATTATATATTTATATAATACAATACTTCTAGGATAGCGTAATTATGCCTATAATTTGTGGCTGCAAAAATAATAAAATATTTTATTTTTATTTGATTCGGTTCATTTTAGTTCAATTTTGATTTTTTTTTTTCAATTTTATATAAATAAAATCAAATTTTCAAATAAATCAAATTAAATTTTTGAACTAAGGCGGTGAGTTTGATCTTGGGTCAAAATCAAGTGTAGAGATTTTACTTGGCTGGAAAACTATTTTGGTTGCAGTTTATTTATTTTTCACAGCAATTAGATCCCTTTGTTTTTTCTTTCCCTTTCTTTCTTTTAAATGCTAATATGCTATGATGAGATTCTCCTGAAAGATCGACCTTTTAATAGCAATGATTACATCCAGACAGGAGAGAGAGAGAGAGACAACTAAGAGTAATTGTTTTAATAATGAGCACCATGTGTGAAAGATTGGCTCAAATTTTGAACCAGATTCCTAGGTTTGGCAAATCATGCATTGCTTATATTGATGCTTTTGCTTTATCAAACAAACCAGTATTTGGTATAATTTTTCCATAACAATGTACTTGAGCAATATGATTTTTAGTGCTCAACTTTTTCTTATTGCGTTGCTCCTTTACAAAATTTGAAAATGAAATCAAATTCTAATGGCCCTTCTATGTGCTTGATTGTTGATTCCTTTTGCCTTGCAGCAAGGACCACATCATAATAATAAAAGTTTATAAAATTCATTTTATATCAAGTCTTAGATAATGCAATTGACCGTTGAAAAGGGACGATATGAGTCTCTTTTCTCTTAATTAGAAGTCTCGAGTTTAAGTTTTGATATAAAGTTTTTAAATACTCAAGAGAGAGCGTTTTACTTTTTTTTTGTAAACTTGTCCATCGTGAATATAGATTAATTGGGTTAGAAATTTCATATATTGAATGATTTAAATCATATATACTATAAATATCTTTAATCAAGTTATATTACATTCTATTAGTTATTTTTTATGTAGAAATTGACTAGTATAACATATTTAGCATTGGTGGGTGATGGTGCTATTTTATCATAAAGTTTGCAAGTTGAAGCATGTGCTTTTCATCATTCTTTCTTTTTCCTTTTTTAAATGAATGGTTAAAATTGTAGCGCGGCTCTTAGTTATATTTTTGTTAGCTTTTGGCAACTTAAACATGTTAGATGGAAACTAGAATTGTATATTGTTAGAGCTAGGAAATGAATAGATCCTCTTAAAACATTGATTTCATTTACCTAACGTTTTTTCATGTCATTTGTTTTATATTAGGATTGAGAAATTTGTACATACCTCAACTGAGTCGCGTCAATCAAAATTCTGAGCGGTGAAATCGTTTAATCCAATGTGAGCCCTCAATCAAAAGCCACAGCACACCAAATGATTATGCCAATTGGACCCAAATTGACTTCTAAGTTGTCTTTTAAAGCCATATATGTTGTTTTGGTACAATGATATTTAAAAGGTTGCCCTGTAGGTAATAACAATTATTAGACAAGAAAAACTAATTAGTATGTTTCATCCTTGCTAGTTGCTAGACAACAAATTGGACCATAAACAATTGGATACTGGAATTTGTTCCTTCTCTGTACCTGAAACCAAAAGTTGGCATTAAATATGAAGGAATTCTTCGTAATCAGATGTGATTTGATCGATCTTTTTATCCCTCGTGGAAGATGTAGAAAGTAAAAGGTTTCGAATTCAAGTTCTCTCTCTTATAAAAGTTATTATTAATTTGATGAATGATAAATGTAGGGAATGATAGATGTAAGGAGTGTATAAAAGTTACCACCAATTTGATGAATGATATGGAAAGAGGAGGAATGTTTCTGTTTAGTCCACGATGTTATTCCTCTGTATAAAAAAAAAAATTGAAGGAATTGTTGACCCAATAATTAGCTTCAGTCAATCTATAAGTTTTGCTGTTCAACAAAATTTCAACCATTTTTTTAAAATGAAATTTCACTGAGAGGAGCTCTAACAATTGCCTGTAAACATGAGTATTAAGTTAGTTTTCTAATCCACTAACTGACTTGACTTTCCCTCGCGTGAACATAGGAAAATGAAAGTGGTCCAATTCCAACTCCAACCTCTTTCTCATAGGATTCTTGGTTGTCCTAATTGGCCGACCAACTTCTTTTCTAAAGTGTGAGATGAGAGTTTTGGTTGGTTAATTTTAGGCCTATGATTAATCGTATAAGTGGCAATTGTCTTCTTCTTATTTCCTTTCATTTAACACAGATAGACACTGCTAGCAACCGTGTTTGTCCCACCACCATTAATTCTTTCTTTTCAGTTCTGGCTCTTCTCTGTACTTACCTTGTAGGTCACCCAGTGCTTTCATTTTCTTTTCTTTTTTTTTTTTTTAATTAGGAGGTGTAATTCTTCTTCTGTCACAAAGATTTTTCACCCTATTTCCTAGAAAATGAACTTTCATTCTCTTTTGTTTCTCCTTACTTGCTCTCATTTCATCACTTTGCTATTTCCTGTTCCTAATTTGATTCACAGGCTTCATTAAAATTAAATCCATTGTGAATCTTTATGCAATTAGCATTTGAATTCCTATAAATCTGATATAATCTTTCAAAATATATTAATTTTTAGATTATTCAATTCTAAAAAAAATAAAAATAATTAACTAAATTACCCTTTTATTAATTTTTTTAATTAAAAGAGGAAATTTAGTGGAGATATTTAGATAAAAATAAACTTAAAATACAATAATTAATACTATTTTGATTTTCTAAAACTGTCATATTAATGGAATAAGAAAAATTCAAAAGGGGTCAAAATTACGTATGCTTTCTTATTCCGTCTAAATTATTTGTTCTACTACCATATTAAAAGATTAAGAAAGATTCATTAGTCTTTTTAAAATTTAATAATAACTTAAGGAAACGACTAATTAAAATATGCATTTTATATTTTTATTTAGAAGAAAATTATAAAGATGTATTGAGAAAAAACTAAGTAAAAGTTACATTTTATTTAAAAGTCAATAATAATTATTTAAAATGTAATATCCATTATTAAAAGTAATTTTTGGTTTTTGACAGCAGCGATCAAAAAAGCATCATTGGTAATGGAAACTTAACTAAAAGTGTAAATAAAGCAAATATCACTGACCAAATGGGTTTTAGGCACAAAAGCAAAAACATAACTAATTACTCATTAGTCATCACCAACCAATTGCTCGTAACCTTCCGGACGATTTAAAATCGTTTTAAAAATATGATTAAAACAAATAAATACATTTTAATTAAACAATTAAATAAGAAACCAACGGATATATAATTGATCTGTCGAGTGGATAATTAATTAAACCAAAGCTTAATTATTGTCCGCTTCTTAGACGTTGAGTTGGCTAATTATATATTATTAAATTAATTAATTAATGTGTAGTAATTTTTGGTGTGAGGATTTAAAAAATAAATAAATAAAATATAAAAATACAAAACTGAAAAAGTAAGTCCAAAGTCACGGGTCAATCACTTCAATATTTATTGCAATGTCACTTTAGAGGGAAGGTGTCTCGAAGCTCACGTCATCTTCCATTTAGGCTGTATATGTTTGTAGAATATACTCCGTCAACTTTTATTAGTGTCTTAAATTATTCGGTGATTAAAAAAATAATTTTGATTGTGTATTTCTTAATTTAATTCAGTTATTTTTTATTTTTATATAACTATTTTTAATTTTAATAATCATTTTAACCTATAATATGTCTTACTGAAAAATAGGCATGACCACGGTTCTAGAACTGTTGATTTTGATTATAAAAAAAATAGAATCTGAACTGAACGATTTTAAGCGATTTCTAAGATAGCATAAAACTACTGGTTTCGATTGTATTCACGTTTTAAATTAAAATTAAATAATATATTTTAATTTTTTTAAAATGTTTTTTAAATGTGTAGCTTAAATAAATAAATAATAATAATAATAATAATAACAACATATTAATATTGAAAAAAACTAAAGCAATTTAATAAAAAATTTTAAAAGTTACTTTAAAAAACTATAACAAAATTTAAAAAAAAAACATCGGTTTCAAAGCACCATTACAAAGAACTCCCACAAGCCGCAGGCTCAAATTTTTTTAGTAATAAAAGTGAAAATAAAAAAAAATAAATACTATACAGTGAAGAACAAGCTATACGTGATTTATTAAAATAATAAGAATTTAATATTAGTTAAATTAGAAGTAAAATACAAAATTAGTTAATATTATTTAATCTTCTAAAAATGACTTGAATAAAATAATTTATAAAAAATAACAAATGGAGATCGACTGTATATTAGACTATAGAAATAGTATATCATAAAGTATAAACAGTTACAAACGTGTTTTTAAATGTTTTCTGTTTCACACAAATTACAAGCTTCAGGGTAACTTGGTCCCCAAGAAAAAAGAAAAGCAAAGAAAAGTTGTTCTGTACCGAGGAAATTCTCTTTTTATCCCTGCCTTTTACTTTAATGTCTAACCTTTACTTTTCTTCGACTTTTTGAGTTCCACTAATTAAATTTTATTTCCTTCTAATACTCATTTTATAATTCTTGGTGCTTACGATAACAAGCGAGACAATTTGAAAAAAACAAAAATGTTATTACCAATCCATTTATTTATAGAAAATAACTTGTTTTGTTCGAAATTATTTTTAAATCTTTTAGCATTTGGGATGCTTAAAAAATCTGTCAGTGAAAAATATTTTTCTAATCAATGAATAAATTACTATTTTAAAAAAAATGATTTTTCATTTTCAAAAGAGAAATATTTTTTGGATATTAATAAATTTAAATTATTAATAGTTAACTACCATTAATCATCGGTCATTATCAGCAATGCCATCGGTCACTGTCGACTACTATGATTTATTACTAGAAATTATCATAATTTATCATTATGATACTTTGATTTTGAAAATATTTTTGATTTTTTTATTAACATTTACAAAATTAAAAATCTACTAACACTAATAATTTATGAAAAGAATAATACTCATATTGAAGAATAATATTGTAGAAAATGTCAAAGATTACTAGATAATGTATTTGAAGAAATTAAATTTATGAATGATATTAGAATGCCATTTTTTTTCTCTTGTTTATAGACATTTATAATGTTAGAAACTATTTTCTTCAACTTGGAATTCTAAATAAAGAATTAAAGAATTATATAAATATGCCCTATCATGCAGTCAATAAAAGATGGCTTATGCATAGCTGACTAACCCTCAAAATAGAAATAAAATTATATTGATAATTAGTTATTATTTGGAAATATTTTAAATTAAAGGTTTAGTTTGTAATTTATATTTCATATTTATTATCAGATCAAATTTATATGGTCAAATGAAATTAAAAAGATTATTATGTTTTAGTCACAACTATCTATTTATACTGTATATAAATGTGATGATGAAACGAGAATAATGAGATTTTCTAAATTATCCATATAAAATTTAAGATACTCTAAAATAATCTTAGTGATAGCCAATTAAAAAATTTTAACATAAAAATATATATAATATCTCTATAATTTGATTGAATATTTTTTTAATAGATAAATACGTATAGATAATTAAACATTTGAAATTTAAAATTTTACTATTATTATCTTATTGTTTCTAATTATATTTTATTTCATTATATTATTATTCATTATATATTAGTTATAAATTATTAATAATAATTTAATAAATTTATTATTATTATTATTATTATAATTATTTATTTATACGCCTATTGTAATTTATCTTCAATATGTGTATTTTAGATGAATATGTGTAAATGCAATGCATTTAAAAAATTTAATTGTTTTCAAATTTATTAAATAAATATATCTAATAATTAAGATTTTGATCTAAAAAGGGTTATGGTTTAAATTTCTTTAATACAAAATTGTACCCAATTTAAATTGCAAAAAAATAAGATAAAAAATATTATTTTTAAACATCTCCATTTTATTATTTATATTGATACAAATATAATTCAAATCCTTTTCTTTCTATTAAAGAATTTATTTTATTTAATAAAATTTTAAATATTCCATGATTTTGATTGTATAAAAAATAAAAAAAAAATAAAAAAAATTATTATTTATAAGATATTAATTTGATTTATTAGATTAATTCTTATTCTATTTAAAAAGTATATTATTTACTAGAAAAAGATATTTATTAGATTAATTTCTTATTCTATTGTAAAAGTATATTTATTTACTAAAAAAGATTATAGTGAAAATTATTAACAAAACATGTAAATTAATTATAAAATATAAAATAAAAGACATACGATGATTTTTATAAATCAACTTGGTAATTAAACAAAACATAAAAGCAACTACTTAAATAAAAAATAAAAGTAACTAGCGTATAATAAAAACTATATGAATCGATATATTGAAAAAAATATATTTGACATTTTTTATATTTAAATTACTATTTTAAAGAGAGAAAAAAATATATTAATTTTTTTAATTTAATATTACAATGCAAGACAGATAACTAAAAAAATATGTTATTATATATATAAAAATTACTATATTTATTGCAATCTAAATAAAAATTTACATTTTAATTATATAAATAAAAAAATTAAACAAATATAAAAAATGAATATATATCGACATAAATAAGAATTAATATATATAAAAGAGAAAACATGCGAAAATTTCAATTTAATTTATAAATATTAAGATGTATAACAGTTGGTAACTATTAGGACATGTTACTTTCTGGCAATTATTTGTGAATTGAGGGTTGATATTAGTAGGATGATTTTATTGCCAAAATATTGTAACAGATAAATAAATACCAAAAACGTAATTTTATTTTTTCTAAAAATAAAAAAGGACAAATTTTCTGTTTCTAAAATGAAATCTCATCTCCTTTCATTCTCTTTTCCGTCCATATTCATTTTCATTACTTTTCTACCTTATCCATTTGCCCGGCATTTTCGAGGACTTTCTTGGCCATAAAGCAACAATGTCAAGGGCAATACCGTCTTTTGACTAAAAACAACCCACTTGTTGTATTCTTATATGAACTGTGGCTTTCCCGTTTTGCTTTTGCCTTCCATTCTTTGGGTTTTTGCTGCACCAGAAGAAGAAGAAGAAGAAACCTCTCTTTTATCTTCCTCCTCCTCTGCCTCTCGCCCGTCGGATCAAAACTAGAAACATAACCCAAAAAAAAAAAAAAAAATTAATTTAGTTCATTTTTACTCAATTTTGTTTTTTTAATTTATACATATAGAACAAAAATATTTATACATATTTATCAGAATTTGAATTTTGATTCCGATAAGCGTTAAATTAATCAAAAGCATTTCCTTTGAATTTTCGAAATTGTGTTGTTTTGTGATTGCGAAATGAAAATTGAAAATTTTTGTTGATGATTTTGGTTAGAAAATTGTTGAGAGGGGGAAGAAACAGACGACGGACATAACGACGTCGTTTTGGTTTTTGAAGGGAGGTTTTTTTTCTTTTTTTTTTTTTCCGACTCTTTGGTTTTTGGAGGTTTGAAGATGTGTGCTGCAGCGGCAACAGGAGACTGGTGGGCGAGGGGGATAGCGGTGCAGATCGGAGGAGGGTTCAGCCATGAGAGCGAACATGACTTGGCTCTCATGGTAAGCGATTTCCTTGAGAACGGTGGTAGCAGCGGCGCTGACTCTTGGTGTAGCAGCGATAGCGAGTCCGGTCTCTCCGATCTCCACCATCTCGCAGATAAAATTTCGGTAATTCAAAATTTTTTTTCCTTTTCAATTATAAATTTACCATCTCCTTCTTGAACTCTATTGAATTATAGAATTCCTTCTGTTATTTATATATGATTTTGGGAGGGAAATGAATTTAATTCATTTGTTTTTTTTTTTATTGAAATTAAAAGGTTGGTTTCATATATGGAAGATTTTTATATAAATTTTATTTAGATTTATTTCGTAGTTTGTTTTAGCTCTGCATAGAAGGAAAGTATAAGAAATGGAAAGTTATGGTAATAAAGGATTTTCTTTTTCTTTTTGGTTTTTGACTTTAATTTTTCTTTGAATCATAAAGGAAGAAAACTTTTGTACTTAAATTTTCTTTCTTGCTTGTCTGAGTAAAATGAGCTGATTAAGTCTTGTAATTGCAAGCAAACCTTTTTTTGTAATCATGACGCACTTTATTGAGTACAAATTTATTTTTATTGGCATTAGTTGTCTTAGAAGGGGCTTTGATTGTTCTCCTTGAGGTTTGTTTTCTGGCCATGCTTTAGCAAGAAAAGGGATAAGTATTATTCATAGCAAGGAAGCTAGCGGGTAGTTTAGTAAATATGAATAATAATAATGGAAAGAAAATCATCTTATATGACTAGTGTAATTTATTATCATATAAGGAAATACTAAGCTGCAGAGAATTCTTTTGATTACCTTTAGAAACTACTCCATATTTGCCACTGACTTGTTGGATTGCGATAGCCTTCTGCTCTGGAACTTTGAGTAAAAGTTTATATCTTTATTATCTGCTTAATAGTTTATGAATAGTTTACTAAATATGCAATTAGGATTATGAATGCTATTATGGTTCACATCCTCACCACCCCCTTAATAGTTTAGCATTTAAGAGGACCATGGAGGAAGATCTGAAGTCATCACATGATAGTTTACTTGTGGTTTGATCGGCGCTCACCTTTTGAACCGTGTCATAAACCGGCAGAGGAGTCCTGGGAAATTATATCATTTATGTTAAAGCCAATTTTGGTATTGTATGTATGCGATATGTCTGCTTGTTCCCCTTGTGCTAGAATGAATATATCTGGTCATATTATTGTCAGTTGAAGCGTTTTCTTAATGAAATTTCAACAAGGCTTACTGAAAAAAATAATCAGCTTGCTAGACAATAATATCTTCGTTGGCCCGTTGATGTGCTTCACTTACTATTTATCTGAATTTTCATTAAAGGGAATCTCATTGTTTCTTGGGTTGTTGCAGTTTTATAGGCACTCAGTAGCTCAGCATGAGAGTGACTTGCTGTCATTGGTTCATTCTCTTGTGGTATCCATCAAGGAGACAGACCTTCACCTTGTTAAATCAGGTCCATGTAACGCTAGCTGCATTAGATTTTCTCTGGTGAAGCACTTGAGACTTGCTGGTTATGATGCTGCTGTATGTGCATCTAGGTGGCAGGGTGGTGGCAAGGTTCCTGGAGGTATGCGATGTGGCAATCATATTCCAAACTATAACTGGAGTCGTTCCATGCTAGATTTTGAACATTTGCTTGATCTCATCTCTTTAACTAGATTTCGAACATTTACTTGACTTCTTGTCTCCGAAATGGCAATCTATTTCCATTGAAATTATGCTGGCATTTTTATTTATTTTTGTCTCATTTTTTAAAATTATCTTTTAAGTTCCCCACCAAGCGGGAATGAAAGAAAATAGGGCCCTCACGCATCTAGTTTCCATCTTGCATTTTATATCTGGAGGGAAAATATTCTGATGATTTGTTTTGCTTATGCATTTCCATTCCCTATTTCTCCATGTGTTTTATAATATGGATGTCCATATCTAATATCTATATTTTTATCATATGTCTACTTGTTTTATCCTTTTTGAAGAGTAATCATTTCTTCAACCCTTCACAAAATCCTATTTTTATGTTACAGGGGATCATGAATATGTTGATGTGGTTACCTATAATAGTGGTGGGAGCTCTGAGCGTCTGGTTATTGATGTTGACTTCCAAAGCCATTTTGAGATAGCTAGAGCAGTAGACTCTTATGACAGAATATTGAAGTCACTTCCCGTTATTTATGTCGGCTCAATGACCAGGTTGAAACAGTATCTTCAAGTCATGGTTGAAGCTGCTAAATCTTCTCTCAAACAAAACTCAATGCCTCTTCCTCCGTGGAGATCTCTTGCTTATTTGCAAGCGAAGTGGCACTCACCGTACCAGAGGCATTTGACCCCAGATGAGCAAAATTTTGGCAGCTTCAACTCTTCTGACCATAAGCAATGCAGTGGACATTTAAAGAGGCTGCAATCATCGCTTCAATCTGAAATGGAAGAAGAGCGACTCTTGAAACCCATGAACACTGACAGTAACTGGAGAGTAATGCGTGAGAGGCGGAGACATTCCTTCTTGAGGGGTCTTTGAAGTGTATAGAAATTTTGCCTGGGAATGGAAAGTTCCCTTTGTGAGAGATTAATTGTACCGCGGCTTTCATTTGTAGTAATTCTTTTTCCTCAGAAGAAAAATAAGTGTCAACAAGAACAAACTCCAATTATATACAGAGGACATAAAGGCGAATAACACTTCATATTTGGGATCATACAATTATTTTTCATATTTTGTGCGTTGGCAGCAAGTGAGAGTTACCAGGTTTTGCGAAGTTAGCATATGGGACAATCCACAGCAGCATTTGCAGCCAAATCTGTGAGAACTTGCCTTACCAAGGTGCATTTCTTCATAGGTCGCATTATTGTTTTTTTTTTTTTTAATTTAAAAGTTTCATCTTGAATATATTCCTTGCCTTCTATTTTTTGGTCAAGGAATTTTTGTTCTAATTTCTCTGTTTTCCTGTTCATTCGTTTTCTTTTTCCAAAGTTGAGTTGCATGTATTTTCAAGCAATTGAAAGATTGCTTTTGCGATATAATACCCTATAAATTAATGAAATAGTTGCTTCTGATAGTTAATTATGCATAGGGTCTATCTTATCTTGTTATGTGATTCCATTGCAAAATTGGTTCATCTCTTCTAGTTTAAGATGCCAATCTGAATGATTTGCAATTGCAAAGTATCAATCCTAGTGCGGAGATTTTTCTTTTTGAGTATACTTTGTGCGGATATTGATGCTTTTTCTTCCATGTTTTCCTGTGTAGATTACAAAATCCATTATGGAAATTGGTTTCACGGTGATAACTTTAATATAATTTGCAATTTTTTTTTTTTTTTTACAATTTTTCTATTTAAATGACTTTTGGAGTATATCTATTATTAAATATAATTAACAATAAATTATACATGTAATTCTCTAGTGTCCATCCATTTTCATTTGAAGGAATGCTCATTACCTCTCCAACTTATTTAGGACAAAAGTTTTATTTCGTGATTATTTAGGTCTAATTTTTAACTAGGAATGTGAAGGTTTTGCCGTTTTTGTAAGTGGTGGACAACTAAGTCAGATTTTGTAAACAGAAAATAAAAAATGAAAACATAACTAAAATAAAAACCTGAAAGTCCAAAGATTTTGTCTATCTAATTGGAAATAAAGATTTCAATTGGCAATCATAATCAAGCTTTGGCTTTGACAAGCAAAATCAACTGGAGAAATGTTTTGTTCTCCTCCCGATAAGGGTAGTGTTAAAATCGACTCAGATGTGGCTTGATAAAAGGTCATCTTTATTCAGCATTAGAGGCTATTGTGAGGATAAATACTATTAGGGAAAATTATAATCATACCATTATATTTTGTGAAATTAATTACTTTTATTCTTCGTATTTTAAAATACACTATCATGTACTCATGTTTTTAAACATTGTTACCCTTCTATCCATTTTGTGCACTTTGCCATGAAATGACATCAATGACTCTAACTAAAAACAAAATCAAATTTCGGCTTGCCGCCACCACCGCCACCTGCAAGATTAAGTCTGATTTTCCCAGTGTAAATCGCACCACCTCCATTGTTGGGCAAGAGACAACAGCATGCAGTGAGCTTCATCGAATTGGTGAGCTGAAATCAACTCCTTCCCCTCTTCTAAATATCAATTTCAAGTTTCATTGCAATGTGCATACAACTCCCATGTGCAATCGCCGAGCCTACAACGTGCGTGCAGTCGCATACGAGTAAACACCATCCTACTATGGTAGCTTTTTTCTTCTCCCTATTTGATCCACGAATATGAAATGTACAACGAAACAAAAAGATGTGATAAAACCAAAACATTTTCCTGTTATTAGGCTATTAAGAAATGGAATCACGCGGAAAAGCAAACATCAACATTTCTAGAATTACACAGCTTTATTATAATATCTAAAAAATCAAGCGAAGATACAAAATAAGTTGTGTATGATTAATGAAGCAATAAGGATGCTCCGTCCAACTAGACTGGCAAAATTATGAATTTTTGATGATAGTGATTTTGGCTAATGGAGCAATAAACAATAGTAGTGTGGACGCCCTAAATCTGAACTTGCATTTTAGGCTTATTCAAGTGAATCAAATTATCATTATTGAGTTTCAAATACTGAGTTTCAAGTTTGTTTGTTAGAAAAGAAAGAGAGGAGGAAAAAGAGGATACGTTGGTGAAAAAATGATGGAAGGGGAAGATAGTGTAGCGGATAAAAAAAATAAAAGCATCTGGTCTATTCTTAAAAACATAAAGGTAAAGTAGTTTTTTTTTTTCCAAAATACAGGAGTATGATTATAATTTTCTTCATGTTAATGTAGTAGATGGGGTTGTAAAGAAAGTTCCAAGAAATTGCAGTGAAGCTACTACCCTTAATAAGGCAAGATTAACCCTTTTTTATCATTACCAGCTCAATCTTTGCTAATAAAGCTGCAAATGAAGTAGCTCATTAATAGCAAAAGCTTGTTTTTGGAAAATCACATCCTCCTGCTTCTATGACAGGAATATTCTGGTTTGATGCCAATAGGCCTTTTGTTTTGAATGAAAATTATTTCATTCTGTTTTTCTTTTTTTTGTGTTTTTTATTTATTTTTTGGTAAATAAAATTTATTCATTTTAATCATTTATTTATTTATTTACTGTAATTTACTAAATTATATAAGGGACAATTTGGAAAATTAATAAATGAGACACATGTATAAATATGATGAGTTGATGATTTTTTATTTCACAATCAATTATATCCTAACTCTTCTCTTATTCTGTCACGACCCATTTCCGTAGGCCGGACCGGCACTAGGGCCCAAGTAAGCTTAAGGCCCCCGAGGCCCGTAGTAAGCCTGAAACGCTAAAATCTATTATTATCTCGGTATAAATTTCGACATTCAGCTCATATGATTATGAAAAATAAACCTCAATATTTTATTATTTCTCAGCCCAAGTTTATCTTCTACAGCATTCTATAGTTCCGGCCCAATTTAGAATACATCACATTCTAATATGGGCTTACAGAATTATTTTCTCTATGTTAATACACGACTAAATATATATAAATCCTACAAATGCAGAGTCACTAACTGTGTGATATACATAGCTTTTTATACATACAGTTACATGGTAAAATACTTATGGAACTAGGGAAAATTTCTTTATGCCCTACGTCGAAGAAACATAGCCTAAATTGAAATGAATTAGAGAGAAAACTAACTTCCTGAAAAAATTAAAAACAAGATATGGAGCCTTTTAAGAAGTAATACCTATTGCACAACACACGCAATTCACACAAATGAATAAAGTATATCAATCTAGTCATCCGACTAGTTATATCTCACGCATCAGTCACACAAATCATAATCACCCAAGCACCCCACAATCATTAACACTTCATGTAATCACATTCACTGGAAATAGTCAGTGGCGCCACTTGAAACCCCAACAGCCGTCCCTCACCACATCCGTCCTCCCACATGGCTCACCCTCTCATAACGTGTGCACCAGAGAGCCGATCCCCCATACATGGCCAACTGGTCTAATCCTCACCTGACCAGCCCTCTTATTGTTTTTCCATTCTCTCTTTTCTTTTCCATACCAACAGGAGGCAACCCGGTCGTCTCCGTCAAATCTAGATCATAAGGCGCACACAACAGAAGGCCACCCTGCGGGCTACCATCAAATCCAGATTATCAGGTACGCCCAATAAGAAGCCATCCTGTGGTTTCCATATAATCTGTATCATCAGGTGCACACAGGGGCGCCGATCTCCCATTTACCCGGCCTGACGGTCAAATTCCATATCATAACATAGTTTCATCATATTCAGGATCCATATCACATAGACCGTCCTTGCAAACCCATGGTGACCCACTTCATCCCAACTCCACACATACAAGGCATAGCATTATCACATCACAACTAATCAAGCATTGCAATTAAATGAGACATATTGATCAATTAAACATGGTAATGCATTGCACAATTAGACATCCATACTCAAATGCAAATAAATAAATAAATAGTATTAATAATAAATAACAATGATAAAATAAATAATAATAATAAACATTAATAATGAAAATAAATAAATAAATATAATTAAATGAATAATGATGATAAAAATAATTAGAGCACTCTGTTTATTATGTATTAAATTATAGAATTAATCTAGATAAACTTATTAATTATATTATTAATTAAAACTAGTCTAAGTTTTATGGAAATTTCGGCAGCTCCTCCCCTAAAAATTGGACTATCCACCTGTTTAAATATCACAATATTATCATATAATTATCAATCAATACACACAGCCCATCCGTCGGGCAATCAATCAATTTAAAACCTCATCCTCCTTCGAAAACAACAGTGTCAACACTCAACCATTAATTCACAACAATTTCACACTCACATATATACACTTAATAACTTCATATAATTATAACTAGCTGCTATAAGCTAATTATCATAACAAAGAGGCTTAATACATATATAATCGAATAAACTTATATCGTTAAGTTAATTTCAATTACTTTCATTCGGAGTAGTTTCGTAGTGTCTAACTATATGAGTACTCTTTAATCAAGCTTTTTCATTTCTTCATCTTGCTAAAGGTAAAACCACATATTTACTTTATGTAAAAACAAATTGTCAAATCCAAGCAAATTCTTGAAACTCATACTAAATCAACTACTGTTGCATGATTAAGAAAGTTTTTCTTCGAATTCCTATTGACTTATCATAAGCTTGCTGGGCAATTTAAAATAAACATAAACCTCACTTATATTTCAATTAAGATAATATCAAAAATTTTTCCCGAATTATTTTCAGCACAACGTTTATGAATCCCAAAGCTCTTACAAACTGGAAATCATGTTCAATCTTCAAGTCAAAATCTACAAGTGTTACATTCTTATATTATACTTCATAGAAATTCAATTTATTATCATCAATTGGCAGCATTAAATTTGAGAATATATTTAATAATCTCGCAAAGCAGTATCTAAAATCCCTGAACTTCCATCACAACTACCATCCAAGCTCAAATTTCATTAATCTAGTCGCAAAAAAAATCATACTGCACCAAGAATGAAGCTGAAAATACTACTAAAATGTGCAAAGAAACTCCGAGACTCGTTTCCGGATGAACAGTCACAATCAGAAGTCTCTCTCGCTATTTTGCTGCTGCGCCCCAACTAATCCGGAAAATGGGAAAGACAGTGGACAGAGGAGGACCGGTAATGAAGCAAGAGGTCTAAACTGGCCAGTACTTGGCTGGTCTCGCCGAAAAAATGGAAAGCACGGGCTGTGACGATTGGAAAGCATAGCCCGCACTCTTCCTCTTTTCTGCTAAATGAACCCAGAACAGAAAGAAAGAGAGACCGAAGAGAGAGGTGGTGCTGATGTTTATCGTGGTGGAGTCGCTGGCAAAATGAAACGAAGGGGAGGGGCTGTCTCATTTGGAAAGAAACACAGCTCACTCTCGTTACTACACTATCGCTAGACGGAAAAGAGAGACAGAGAGGGAGAACGGCGAGGGAGCAGCAGTGGCAAGGCGTGGCACCGGT